CCTGGTCCAACACTGCCTGACTTATACCTGAGCCAGGCACTGAAAGACAATTAAACCTCTTGAGGGCAATGGGTTGGTTGCAAGAATTATTATTATTATTATCATTGCATTTGATATAGCGCCTTATCACGTCTTCGAGACGTCTCAAAGCGCTTCACAGTGTATACTGCCTTTTGTGGGCAAAACGCGGCAGCCAATTACGCGTAGCAGTGTCCCACAAACAATCGTGGATCGAGTGACCAAATTATTATGATTATTTGGGATGGATTATTACACCTGGAAAGCTATCCGCCAATCGACTAGCAACCGGTAAACAGAGGTGTGTGGAGTGAAGAAACTTGCCTGAAGTTTTACCCCATCCAGTAATTATTATAGAACCTGGGCCCTCTCGCATATGAGGGGAGTGCTCTAACCACTGAGCCGCAGGACTCCCAAGAAACTGCTTTGCTGGTTCACTGGATTAAGCGTACAGGGATTGCAGGTTAATAATTCTGACCATGTACTGGTGTACTGATGATGAACTGGTTCTATTTGTTTTAACTTCTTCCTTGCTGTTTCTCCTCCACAACAACAGCAAGATTACATTTGTAGAGCGCCTTTCACGTTGGGAGGACATCCCAAGGCGCTGAAATTGGTATCTACAATCCCCTGCACTGATATACGGTACATGCTGTTTTGTTTTAAAGAATTATTGCCCCTGAAAAAAGCAATCCGACAATCCACTCACTTGCAACACCCACCCACCGTGTGCTTTGCTCACAATTCTGAGCAACATTGTTTAGTGAGGACACGTTTGCCTGGCGCAAACATTGTGCAACATGGCAAAATACTTTTCTTTGAAAGAATAACTTGCATGTCTCCAAGCCCTTTACAGATAACAATTGATGAAGGTAAATGTTTACAGACAAAACACAGCGGCCACTGTACCAGCAACAGTCCATACGTACATTTGAACGAGGAGGGGAATAGACAGCACCACCAACAACAACACGTTACATTTGTGTAGCATGTCAGCAGGACGTCCCAAGGAGCTGGACAGTTGGGAGTAGAGGGTGGGGGTAGGAGGGTGTCTGAAGGTACGGTCGAAGAGGGGGGTCTTGAGACGGGTCTTGAAGGAGACCAGGGAGGCAACGAAGCAAAGGGACTGTGGGATGGAGTTCCAAAGGGTGGGGATAGAGAGGCTGAATGCCCGACCGCCGATGGTGGGGTGAACAGGGCAGGGGACATGGAGCAGACCAGAGACTGCTGAGCGGAGGGAGCGGACGGGTTGATATGGGGTTAGCGGGTTACAGAGGTAGGAAGGTGCAAGGCCGTGGAGGGCTTTGAAGACGAGGATATCCTCTGGGGGATGACCACCAGCAGAAAGACTTTGAAATAGCATTAGCAGGTCAGTCTCTTTACCTCCACCGGAATTACAAGTTAGACTAAATTAATAATCTAAATAAAGGTTTGAAAAGAAAATGATGGGAGTTAGAGGTTTTATAAATAGGGTCGCGGAGATAATGCAAAACCTACAGATTGTTGTGTAGTTGTATTTCACAGTTGTCACCGTTGTATTTTATCCAGCTCTGGGCACCCCAATTTCAAGAAAAATATCAAGGGCATGAAACGGGAAGGGAGACTATTTATTGTAATGACAGCAAGCGTGAGAATAATAATAATAATAGTAATCCTTGCATTTGATATAGCGCCTTATCACGTTTTCGAGACGTCTCAAAGCGCTTCACAGAATATACTATAAAGCGAATGTATATATTTTGTGGGAGAAACGCAGCAGCCAATTGCACACAGCAGTGTCCCACAAACAGTCGTAGGTTAAGTGACCAAATTCACTCTTCCTTTTTCCGGTAGTGTCACGGGATCTTTAATATCCACCCGAACAGGCTTTAAGACGTCTTGAAGACATGACAAGGCGCTATATCAAATGCAAGGATTATAATTATTGTTATATGTTCTTTGTGAGGGGAAGTACAGTTCTAAAGATACTACGCTCCACTAAAGGTGCTCAGCTTTGCACCACACTTGCCTTCATTTTAAAATTCCTTCCAATTACAATCTGGGCAGGATCAAATGTCTTGACTTGTGCAGACTTGTTAAGAACCTTGTATCATTTCCTCCTTGATCGGGAAATGGCCAGACAGCAATATTGAATGTAAATCACCGTTGAATGTAAATTTACTGTGGTGATTGGGGGCTCGCTGCAAGGAGGGGAGAATTGGCTGTGTAGGAGGTTAGGTGTCAGTCAGTGGTGCCCCTGCATTTGGGTCAGTAGGGTCCAGGTCCAGGTCAGTACTTGAGCTCACTAGATTGACATTTCAGTGCAGTAAAGAACGAGTGATGCATTTTTGGAGATGCCATCTTGCGATGAGGTATTAAACTGAGATCTTGTATGCCTGTACAATTGCATGACAGCGGTTAAGTGAAGGGACTATCCTCCTTGGGGGAAAATGGGTCTCATACTTGGCCACGTAATGTGCCAGTGTCTCTAGTCCGGTTCCTGAGCCAGATGGGTCCACAGTATTCCAGGGCACTGCTGGCGACAGCCAAGCCCCAGCCCGGCTCATCGGCACAACCTGGAAGAGCCGACCAGTCAGGGAATCCTCCCCCTCAGCTCCTGGTAACCTTGCAAGGCAAAGCCCGAAAGGGTAGGGTGGTGGGAGCAGGACAAGCAGTGGGAAATCTTGCCGGACGGTGCTCTGAATGGCAAGCTATGTGGTTTTAGCTAGCCAGACTCCGGCAGCGGGATGTATGCAATTCTCAGTGTGGTTTGAATACTCCGAAGCGTGGCGATGGGTTTCCGCTTGTGTCAGACACCGTCTGACCGCCTCCAAAAAATTGGAAGGGAATTTTTCCCCCCGTGTCTCGACCAGCAGTCCTCCAGAGGGCCTTACTGAGGATGTACAGGGTGACGAAAAATATTTTTTTTCATTTGATTAGACCCGAATAGACTTCTTAAATAGCCCTAGTTACATTTACAGAAATATAATCAAAAATAATAATAATCCTTGCATTTGATATAGCGCCTGATCATGTCTTTGAGAAGTCTCAAAGCGCTTCACAGTACACACTGTAAAGGGAATTGACTGTATGTTTGTTGGGTGAAGCGCGGCAGCCAATGCGGACAGCAGTGTCCCGCAAGCAGTCGTGGATTGAGTGACCAAATTATCATTATTTTCTTCTTTTTTTCGAAGGGATTATTACCCCGTAATAATATCACATGGTCATGGGGTTGGTGAGAGAGGGATTAATTCTTACACCAAGGCCAACAAGTAACATATGAGTCATGGTCTAATCTATTTAGTCAAAATATTTAATCTCATTCATCATAATTTCAGTGACCTAGCAGTTACAACCAGCACAACATGTCCTTTCACGGTTCTCAGACTGTCCATAAATAAAAGATTTAGTTGCACTCCACTGGTTGTACTGCTGCAGTCCTATAGCTGGGGGGTTACAGCACTCGCAAGCTATACTTATTACACTCCAGTTAAACTCCACAAGCAAAGGACATTTATTGTTCAGTGATCCTTAATTTTGTGGGATATAGGGGTATAAAGCACTTTACATAATAATCAGTCACTGGTGCGAGCATTGGTAGGACTGGAATGTCAATTCTCTTAACAGACCTTAGAAATTCCTTATTTATTCATTTCTCTTTGCAGTTCCAAACCAGGTATTTTACTGAGTCTCGAATGTATCATATCCCTTCATCATGTAATGTTCAAGCCAGGCCTTTTCGTACTTTTTGGCTGATTCTAAGTGTCTTTCTGCGAGATAGAGTTCCAAACGGACACCCTGGACGTTTATGCTTCGGATGTCCCCAGCGTTTTGACCATGGTTTAGTTTTCATTTTTACTTTCAGTGCATTGATTGGGACCTCATCACCAATCGGAAGAGGTATTGTCTTCATGTCAGAGTGCTGTATTCTGGCAGAGCATCGCACAAATACACTAAGTTATCATCCAGCCTCTTTTCTAGCTTAAGCACCGAGAGGATCTGGGTTTGATTCCCAGCTGGGCAAAACATTAGGCACGTTTCCTTACTCCACACACCTCTGTTTTCCTAACAGTAAGTAGGAACCCGGTTGTTAGTCAATTGGAGGATTGCTTTTCCAGGGGTAATAATCCCTTCCAAATTACATAATTTTGTGGGACGCTGCTCTGCGCAATTGGCTGCCGCGTTTTGCCCACAAAGTACAGTCAATTTACTTTATAGTATATTCTGTGAAGCGCTTTGAAATGTCTCAAAGATGTGATAAGGCGTCCATCAAATGCAAGGATTATTATTATAAGGATGTTCAATGATTTTTCTTGTTACTAGAAACATTGGAGTAGTGTTTTGACAACACTGTGAATCAATACTGTAACCCTGGATTAACATTTACGGTTTTTTTTGTTTAAATAGGAACGGCCTTGTTCCTGGCTAGAAAGGGAAATAGTTAACCATGCGTTCGCCGCTTCTAGTTGGTGAAGCTGTGACAGCATTTATAATAATATGATAATCCTTGCATTAGATATGGCGCCTTATCACGTCGTTGAGACGTTTCAAAGCGCTTCACAGAACATACTGTAAAGTGAATTGACTGTATATTTTATGGGTGAAACACGGCAGCCAATTGCGAACAGCAGTGTCCCACAAATAGTCGTGGATTGACCACACATTTATTTTAGGGGATTATTACCCCCAGAAAGAAAGCGATCCGTCAATTGATTTAACCGGGTTCCTATTCACTACTGGGTAAACAGGCACGTGGAGTAAGGAAATTTGCATAAAGTTTTACCCCACCTGGGAATCGAACCCAGGTCCTCTCTAACCGACACACTGCAGGACTCCCAAGAAACTGCCCGGTTGGTTCACTGGATTAAGTGTGCAGGGATTCAGCAATGTGGAGGTTAATAATTCCGACCACGTGCTGGTATACTGACGATGAACTGGTTCTATTTGCTTTTGCTTTTAACTCTTCTCCCTTGCTGGTTCTCCTCTTACTGGTATCCACACAGAGATATAGTACGTGCTGTTACACCAGGACTAAGTATTTATAGCAGCCGCATGTGGAGCTGCTACTGCGAGCAGGGTTAAAACTTCTTTCAACACTTGGAAAGGACTGGGAATCGTGCAATTGACGAGAACGAGGGATGTTACATTCCAGGGAAATCCTAGGGATTCAAAGCCCGACTGATTAATACGGTCTCTCACGGTGAAAGTAAGTTGAAGCTTATTTGCCTAAGTTTGTTCTACAGTAGTTTTGAAAGTTGTATTTTTTCTTAGTCTTTTTTTTTGTTTGCAATTGTTGTTTTCTGTCTGGTCCAAGGAGAGATGATGTAAAAAATAACATAGGAACAGACACACACACACACACAGAGCCACACACGCTCACACACACACACTCAGAGACACATAGACACACTGAGACGTGCACAGAGAGAAAATATTACAGGCACAGCCTTCCAAATAGGAGGCTATAAGTAACGGAGTCAGGCTTCACAAAATGTTCTCGACACATGGAGCAGTTTTGCCCACAAAACACTTAAATCAATCCACTTTACATTTTATCCTGTGAAGCACTTTGATTGAGACGTCTCAACGAGGTGATAAGGCGCTGTATCAAATACAAGGATTATTATTAATATATTTCAGTAACTATGGCAGTTCTGGTGACTTATTTTCAGGGCAAGCTTGCTTTGAGTAATACTTGATTTTCGATTTTTAACGTCGACACGTTTTGTAGGTGGGAAAAAAAATCTTTTAACTGTCGGCTAGCGCCATAAAATGAAAGTGATTTCGCCCACTAGATACGCAGCCAATATTGTCAGATTACAATATATTCTATGAAGCGCTTTGAAAGACCTCAATGACGGGTGTAAAATTCTCCACATGAACTGCTTTAAAAATAATAATAATAATCCTTGCATTTGATACAGAACCTTATCACATCTTCTAGATGTCTCAAAGCGATTCACAGAATATACTGTAAGACCTGTCTCAAGAATCTCCTCTTTGACCATGCCTTCGGACAGCTTCCTTACCCCCTTGGCCTCCACCCTCCCGGATCCGGACCCCCAGCTCGGGTCACTGACTGTCCAGCCCTTTGGGGCGTCCTCCCAATGTGAAAGGCGCTATACAAATGTAATTTTGCTGTTGTGTATTTTGTGGGCAAAACGCGGCAGCGAATTGCGCACAGCAGTGTCCCACAAAAAACTTGTTTGAGTGACCAAATCATGACTTTTTTTTTAAAAAGGGATTATTACCCGCGGAAAAAACGATCCGCCAATTGACTAACAACCGGGTTCCTACTCACTCGTGTGGAGTAAGGAAACTTGCCTAAGGTTTCGCCCAGCCTGGCAATCAAACCCGGGTCTTCTTGCGTGTGAGTGAGTGCTCTAACCAATACTCTACAGGACTCCACGAGCGAATGAAAGCGATTTGGAGTTTAGTGCGGAGGGGGGAAAGGAAGAGGAAGGAACAGGTCAAATCAAGGGAGTGAGAGTGAGCTGGTTTAAGGCCAAAAGAGAGGTTAAGGAATAAAGAGAGAACGATTCTGGTTGTTACAAGTCGCTGGGACCACGTTTTGGAACTTGGAAATTTGGTCTCACTGTTGCAGAAAGTACTCAGCTACAACAATGTGCCTTTCACATAGGACCTTGAAATGTTTTATCGGGGTGGAATGCAACACAAAGCAGGGGGAAGGGAAGGGTGAAGGGGTTTTGAAAATGAGGAGGGAGAGGGCAAGCGGGAGATTTGGGGAGGGGGTGCCAGAGAGTGGGCTCAGAGCCAGGCCTCCAATGGAGGGGTGAGGGAGATGCAGTGGATCTGAGTTTGCAGAGCAAACGGAGTGAGCCAATTGGAAGGAGTGCAGCAACAACAACAACAACAACAACAAATAACATTTGAATAGGGCCTTTCACGTTGGGGCGCTGCATAATCAGGGATTTGACCCGAGCTGGGGCTTGGGATCAGGAGGGGTGGAGGGCAGGGTGGGTAGAGGTAGGAGGGTGACCAAAGGTGCTGTCGAAGAAAAGGGTCTTGAGCCGGGCCTTGAAGGAGGCAACGGAGGACGTGAGTTGAAAGGACGGGGGATGGAATTCCAAAGGGTGGGACCAGAGAGGGCGAAGGCCGATCGCTGGTGGTGGGGTGGGCCGAGCGGGCCAGTGACCACTGAACGGAGGGAGAGGACAAGTTGGTATGGGAGAAGTACGGAGGAGCAAGGCCGTGGAGGGCTTTGAAGGTGAGGATGAGGATTTTGTACTCTCCTCTGGGCGATAGGGAGTCATTGGAGTCGGGTGAGGGTCGGGGTGATGGTGTCATAGAGCCTGGTCCGGGCATTAGCACTTATCTGGTTCCTTTGCCTTTGACTTGGGATGAACAGCTCAAAGGGTTGCACAACTAACAACCGGGTTCCTACTTGCTGCGAGTTAAACAGAGGTGTGTGGAGTAAGGGAAGTTGCCTAAGATTTCGCCCTGCCCGGGAATCGAACCCGGGTCCTCGCTTGCTTGCGAGGCAAGTTGCTCCAACCCACTAAGCTGTAGGACTCCACATTTGAAATGGGAACTTAAACCAAATTCCTGCCCTTCAAGGGGGGGTTAAGAATCCCATAATATGATTCTCACCGTGGTCCTGGCCGGCAATGCTCGGGCCAATTGGCTACTGAGAGACCTGACTGACCGCAGAATGGTTCCACGTTTCCCTACAAAGTGGTTCCGTTTAACAACTTGCATTTATATAATAATAATAATAATAATAATCCTTAGCGCCCTTCACGCGGGGCAGGGTTTCAGAGCGCTGGACAGTGACGGAGCACGAGGCCGAGGGAGGGAGGTGCACGGTTGAAAGCTCGGTCGACAGTGCGCTAATTAACACGGAGCGCTTCCAGACACTCCGTGTGACAAGGCACGATTAAAAATGCAAGTTAATTCTTACTCTTTACTGAAACTAACTATGTTGCCAAAGGGGCCGTGTGAACCATCATCTAACTTGCTGAAGCGAGAGGGATTTGCAACAAAACATACACAGTACTGTACCGCGATTAACTGAGTTGGCGGTGTGACGAACCATAGGAAAGTGAAGCGGGAGCCACGGATGGAATTGTCCTTGAGGACAATTGTGTGTCGTTTTCAGCAGAGAGGTCAAAATGGGAAGGTAAGAAGCGGTTGGTTGAAAACGCTGATAATATCGTGGCGTCGTGTAGTGGTTAGCGCGCTCGCCCAGCAAGCTGGGGGTCTGGGTTCGATTCCCGGATAGGGCGAAACCTTAGGCGAGTTTCCTTACTCCGCACACACACACACACACACCTCTGTTTACCTAGGAGTAAGTAGGAAAACTTACTGTTCCTATTGCTGTTAGTCATTTGGCGGATTGTTTTCCGTGGTTAATAACCTCTTTTAAAAAAATAATAATAACGGCAACAAGAAAATTACATTGGTAAAGCGGCTTTCCACGTCGGGAGGACTGCCCAAGGCGCTGGACTCGTAATTTGGTCGCTCAGTAATTTGGTCACTCAGTCCACGGCTGTTTGTGGGACACTGCTGTGCGCAATTGACGTCTTCGAGGCGTCTCAAGGCGCTTCACAGAATATACTGTAAAGTGAATTGACTGTATATTTTGTGGGCGAAACACGGCAGCCACTTGCTGTCGCAAGATGGTCTTTTGAGGAAAGTTCAGAGGTGACCTGAGTGAGGCCTTCACAATTATGTAAGGTTATGGTGGGGGTGAACACACAACTACAACAACTTAACGTTTATAATAGCTCCCGTCCCCCCAGGTTTGCGTCCCAGAGCGCTTACATTTTGAACAGATTTTTTTTTTCCACCGGTCGGCAAGTCAGTGAGAAGAGGGCAGACCGTTACAATACACTCACAAAGAATCCAAAGAGATACTGGGAAAAATGTCTTTACGCAGGTATCAGAAGTATATTTTTATTTGGCAGGCTTTTCCGCTGCCTCGCTCAGGAACTGGAGTAAAGATTGGCACAGAAGGTTGGCTCAATTCCTACAGTGTCGCTGTGTTCTGTTGCTGAACACGTCAACTTGCAGCCGTTTCAGAAAGCGGGAGAGTGGGGTTGAACTAAGTGGTAAATTGGAGAAAAATACCCTCGCGGGCTTGATACAATACAAATCTACATTGACCCTATTTAGTGGCTTTCACGTTGCAAGGCTATCCCAAGGCGTTGCGATGGGCTGGACGGCCTCGTTCTGTGCTCCGGCCTTCCGATTCCCAGGTTAAAATATGTAGTGGTATTTGAAATGGATTTTTTTCCCCCGCCCGGCGTTTGCGAAATGTTTGACTTTCACCAACCGGCAAATGGTGCATTGTCCAGGGAGACTTCTGGTTTCCTCCCACATCTCTGCCAATAGAGCCCTTTAGGGCAGGCATCGCCGGGCTTTTTACACACGAGAAGCTTGACGTGACCTTTCCTCTTATTTATCTGCTTTCTCCTTGTGAAGGGAGGAAGCACCTGGGCCCCATGTCTGAATCAACTGGAAAGGCACAGTGTGTACAAGCGGAGTGGTGCGAACCCCACCCAGAGGCAGTAACAGCTGGGTTGCGGAGACACAGACCCGCTTAGATTTACTGCGACCTCAAGCCCAACCTCAGACTCTCTGATTTTTGTTCTTCACATTTTCTTGCTCGTTTTTTTTGAAAAAATGTTGATCTTGGCTCCCATCGTCCCTTCAGAGGAAAGCCCTCCTGCTTAATAACGTGACGCAGAGTAGTTTCTGAAAAGGCAAGTGCAGTTCAGAGGGCTGAAAATCCTCCCCGTCTCCTTTGCCTGTAATAAGACCACTTTCTCTTTAAAATTGTTGTTCGAATTGCGGAAATACTTAAATCCAAATTCAGTTCACTTAAATTTGTCTACCGGTCTCCTTTTAAAAACTGCGTAAAAATAAACAGTCACTCCCCTTTACAGTATACTCTGAGAATCCCTTTGAGACGTCTCAATGACGTGATAAGGCGCTGCATCAAATGGAAGGATTATTATTATTATTACTAAAACACTGGGCTGTAACCGCAACTAATAATCCTTGCATTTGATGTAGCGACTTTCACATCAGGAGCATGTTTCAAAGCACTTCGCAGGTTATACCGCAAAATGTAGTGACTGTATTTTATAGGCGAATGTGGAAGGGTCACAGCAAGGAAGACTAAAAAGGATCGCCAAAATATTGACATTGATTGGCTGAAGTTACTGGCGTGCTTTGCAAAGCTAGAAAGGAACTGCCCTGTTTTCTTTCAGAAAGCAAATATATTTTTCTCGTACATATTTCTGTGTGTGTGTGTGTGTGTTTAGCTCTCTTTCTCTCCTTCTCTCACACTTTTTTACATATAAAACTGGCTCTTAGAATGAATTGGCGAACATTATTCCAGACTTTTTCAGCCAACTTGGGGCAATGGATTTTTGTAAGAGCAGATGATAAGAGTTGTTGCGGCGCGTGCTTGTGTTTGAGACAGCGACTAACCTTTCCTCTTTTCAAGGCGCTTTCCAGGGAATTTATGTAGCACGTCGCGGCTGTGTATTTGTAAATAAATGCCACCACCATTTTGCATAGTGCAAGTTGCTGTAAATACCCCTGAAGTGTTTTTTTTTTGCTCAGCCGGGTGTCTGACACACGCAGAAACCCATCACCGTGCTTCAGAGTATCCAAACCAAACTGAGGATTTCCTACTTCCCACCCACACGAGGAAATCCCAGGGACAGGTTGTTGGAATGGAATGCGCTTCTTTCTCTCTCCCTGGAGGGACGCATTCTGCTTACCCAATTCCGGACAGTATTAGGCGCAGGTTGGTATGAGCAAAGGCTTGGGGGACCCAGAGTGTGCGTTGGGGTAACTGCTGGCGTCTAACCAGCTAAAAACTGCATAATTTGCCATTGTTATCGTTGTCTGGCAAGCTTTCTCGTTACCCATGAAGTGAATGAGCGATTTATCCGGAGGATTGTTGGAAATTCGCCTGATACTTGGCAGCCTTCCTCTGCTCATTTGCAGTTCTTCCTATGCGCAAGTGAGCAGTCCTTAATATCCTCTGTATGTTGCTGCTATTGTTGATGCAAGTAAAAAGGGACTTAAAAAAAGATATTGAGAAGATTCCGTTATACAATGTAAACTTACATTCGTATCGCACCTTTCGCATCGTCGAAACGTCTCAAAGTGCTTCACAGAATGTATTGTGTTGATGAAACCCGGCAGCCAGTTGCACACAGCAGTGTCCCACAAACAGTCGTGGATTGAGTGAGCAATTTTTTTTGAGGGATTATTACCCTAGAAAGCGATCCGCCAATCGAATAGCAACCGGGTTCCTACGTACATAGAAACAGGAGTAGGCCATTTAACCCTTTGAGCCTGTTCCGCCATTCTATAAGATCATGGCTGATCTGTATTTCAAGTCCAATTGCCCTGTGTCCCTTAATATTCACTGCTAGGTAAACATAGGGGTGTGGAGTAAGGAAACTTGCCTAAGATTTTGCCCTGCCCGGGATTCAAACCCGGGTCCTCTCGCTTGCGAGACGAGCGCTCTAACCACTATGATATGGGACTTCAGGCGAGACATGAACAAATGAGATCCCGTGGCACTATGGCACACTGGCCCACAAAATACACAGTCAATCAATCCGCTTTACTCCACGCTCCTCTATTTGCCTAGCAGTGAGTAGAAAACTGGTTGTTAGTCAATTGGCAGAGCGCTTTCCAGAGGGTAATAATCCCTTCAAAATACAAATAATTACTGATAATTTGGTAGTTCAATCCACGACTTTGTGGGACGCTGCTGTGCCCAATTGGCTGCTGCATTTCGCCCACAAAATATACAGTTAATTCACTTTACAGTATATTCTGTGAAGCGCTTTGAGACGTCGAGAAGACTCGATAAGGCGCCATATCAGATGCAAGGATTATTATGTTACGCACCAGATAGCAGATATCCAATAATCAGTAACCAAGGAAGTAAGGCCCATACAACGAACAAAAAACACGCACTCGCACATGTTCTCTTACCATGTTACCAACAAACACACCACCAGGTTAAAGTGCACACGTGTACGCTGTGCAAATGTATTGAGATCACACACCCAGCGGCGGTGTCTATTGCTCATTTTATATTTGCTATCAACAATGTAAATTCGCCTGTAAGTAATGGCTAACGTGGACTGGACAACCCTCTTGTAAATCGATTTATCACTATTCTCTCATTCACGCGCTCTCTCTCTCTCTCTCTCTCCAACCCCCCCAAACCCGCACCGCGCTGCTACTGTGAAGAAATGTGAAGTGTTTTTCTTCTATTTTCATAGAATCTATGCAGCACATTCGGCCCTTCATTCCTGTGCCGGTTCTTTGAAAGAGCTACCGACTAGTCCCGCTCCCCCGCTCTTACCCCATAGCCCTGCACATTTTTTCCTTTTTAAGTCTCTGTCCAATTTCCTTTTGAAAGCTACTATCACATCTTTCAGGCAGTGCATTTTCCTGTTCTACATTTACTTCCTCATCCAAATTTATTCCCAATAATTCAAAGAACCGGCTGTTCACTGCTTGTGCGGATTGAGTGCTCCGTTTGCCTGCGCAAAATTCACTTGATTTCTAGTCGTTTCGCTGACAATATACCCAGTCAGTGCAACAGCTTACTATAAATCTTATGAAATGCTCCGAGGCGTCTTCCCGACATGAGAAGCTCTGTAACAAATGCTATTATTATTGTTTTAGTTGTAAAGTGCTTGGAGATGTTTTATTTTACGAAAATGATGCTGGATAAATGCAAGTTTTTTATGATGACTCAACAACAACTTAAATTTATAGAGCACCCTCCACCCTGGATAGCATCGTGGAGCATATTATAATAAGCTTTGGAATTTATATAGCGCCTTATCACGTCGTGGAGAGGTCTCAAAGCCCATCGCAGAATATGTTGTAAAGTATAGTTACTGTATTTTGTGGGTGAAAGGTGGCAGCCAATTGCACACAGCAGTGTCCCACAAACAGTCGTGGATTGAGTGACCAAATTTTTTTGACGGATTATGGCCCTCAAAAGTGGCAGAAAATGATCTGCCAATCGACTAACAGCAGAGTTGCTACTTCCTGCTAGGTAAACAGAGGGGTGTGAAATAAGGTTTCGCCCTGCCCGGCTGGGAGTCGAACCCAGGTCCTTTCACTTGCGAGGTGAGCACTCTAACCACTACATCCGCCCACAAATATACGGTCAATTCAATTTACAGTCTATTCTGTGAAGCGCTTTGAGATGTTGAGAAGACGTGAAAAGCACTATATCAAATGCAAGGATTATTATTATCATCACACTACATGACTCCGCTGTAATCCTGATTGTTACAGATCCTATTGATGTTGCCAAGACCACCCTGGTGCCCACCGTGCCCGGACCTGATTGTGTATTGGTCGCCATGTGACAGGACAGGACGATGACCGTTACTGAAAGGCTACGTGAAAAGACATCCCAAGCCTTCTATAACCATGGGCTACTGTGTGCAACCTACCCCATCCCCATCATCCTCTTTACTGCCATCTGCATCTTGGCATGCTGGTAAGTGGCAAACTAGAAAGCAAAGGAACAACTTGCTTTTTTTTAGCGCCTTATAATACTAACAATAATCCTTAATAAATTTTAGCTGATTGGCAGATCACTTTTCCGGGGGTAATAATGCCTTAAAAAAACTAATAATAATAAATTAGTTCCATCAATCCATGACTGTTTGTGGGACACTGCTGTGCGCAATTGGCTGTTGCGTTTCGTCCACAAAATATACAGTCATTTCACTTTACAGTATATCGCTTTGAGATATCTCGAAGACGTGATAAGGTGCTATATCAAATGCAAGGATTATTATTATCCTTCCCTTCCCCACCCCAAGCTCGGTTCCCAGCCAGTTAAGTGCTTATCAGTGCTTTGGGACATCCCTCCATCATGAAAGGTGCCATATAAATATAACTATGCATTCTAAAATATTTATCTAATTCATTTTGAAAAGCTAATTGTGCCTTAACCGCAGTTCTTGGTAGGGAATTCCACATCCTAACAATCCACTCTGTGTGCTTTTATATATAAAAAAANCCTCCTAGCCTCCCTTTGGCCTTTTGTGGTAATTTCCATACATTTTTTCCAGTTCAGTTTCTAACTCGTCAACCAGTGGAAATAATAATAATAATCCTCGCATTTGATACAGTGCCTTATCAAGTAATTGAGACGTTTTAAAGCGCTTCACAAAATATGTTGTAAAGTGTATTGCCTGTGTATTTTGTAGGTGAAACGAGGCAGTCAATTGCGCACAGCAGTGTCCCACAAACAGTCGTGGATTGAGTGACCAATTTTGTTTGAGGGATTGTCATCCCTTGAAAGCGATCCACCAATTGACTAACTACGCTACAGGACTCCACAATAATTTTTGTGTGTGTGGGTGTTGACCCTGTAGGTTGAACAAGCCTCTGACATGAGCTGTTCAGGCTCCTCTATAAGAAAGACCACTTTGGGCAATGAGCAAGTTGTGCTGAATGTGAATTCAGTGCAGTGAGGACAGTATTTTTCTGTCCTGAAATGGTCCTTTACAATTGCAAACCTATGTCCTCTTGTGTTACTGTCTTGGTACATCCAGCGCCTTGGGACGTTCTCCCGACGTGAAAGGCGCCATACAAATGTAATCTTGTTGTTGTTGTTTTATAAAGGGTACGTGTGATTAGTTGAGCATTTTAATATATAACCTCTTTGTCTTTCTGCAGTTCCCGTGCAGGAACCGATTATGTGGCCATGTGTTAGTTTGCAAAAACAAGACTACTTTTGTGTGAATGGTTCACGTGACTCAGTGCTACTCAAACATAAGATTTGTCCAGCGTTTTTATCCCCCCTCTTCCCCCCCCCCACCCCCCCCGCCGCCGTACCTTGCAAGCAAGAGGACCTGGGTTCGATTACTGGGTAGGGTTAAACCGTAAGCCAAGTTTGCTTACTCTTGGTGAGTGCTCTAATCACTAAGCTGCAGGACTCTAACCAGTGGAAGGAAGTACAATGTTACTGTTTATCCGCTTACATCCCTTCATAATATTGAAGACCTTCTTCAGGTCACCCATAAGCATTCTCAGTTCTTTGAATACAGCTGTGTTTGTATGTTTTAAAACCCATTTCTGTCCTTGAGTCACCTTGAAGAACTTGAAGAAGCCAAAGAGACAGTTACTGTTGAGTCTAGACAGTAAGTGTATGGGCCAAGAGTTGATTGTGCAGTAACCCTATCAGCAATGTAGATTGTACAATGTAACAAGAGTTGATTATTATTCCTTAATAATAGTTCAGTGCAGTAAACTACTCCTGAGTAAAGTAGGAACAGGAGGAGGCCATTGAGCCCCTCGAGCCTGTTCCGTCATTCTATAAGATCACGGCTAATCTGTACCTCAACTCCATTCACCCGCCTTTGCCCCATATCCTTTGATCCCCCGACCTAACAAACAACTATCCAACTCAGTCTTGACAATGTGAATGGATCCAGCATCCACAGGCTTTTGGGGGAGAGAGTTCCAGATTTCCACTGGCCTTTGGGTGAAAAACTGCCCCTGATTTCACTCCTAAATGGTCTGGCTCTAATCTTAAAATGACGCCCCTTGTTCTGGATTCCCCACCAGAGGAAATAGTCTCTCTGTAGCTGCTGAATCCCTTTATCATTTCCTGTTCTGGATTGTCATCTATCCCTCCTGCCCCCCACACACCCACACACACACACATACACACACACAGAACCATAATGTTGCTGCTTATAATATGACTAGAGCATAAATTGAGGGGAAAAGCACATCTATATCTGCAGGAAAGCGAACAGTCTCTCCGGTTCACCCTTGTCAAATCTATTGCGACTTCTGTGTGTTGTACAGAAATGAAGAGGTTTCGTAACTAGTTGCACTGCCTTCCCCTCCTGTTTGCTAATGGAAACTCAACCACAAGTGTAGTCTGATGTTGAAGAGTGCGTCTCTGATGCATTTCCCCCAGGGCCACTGGTGACGAGAATATTTGAGCATATTTATGATTGCCCTACAAGTGGACAGATTATAGTTGGTGCACAAGTTGGTCTATTTTTTTCTGAGCATTCGTAAGAGAAATCAGATCAGCGTGTCAGATCTGTGACCGTTTTAAATGAGAAGCTGGTTTCCTCGCCTGCGGTCCTATTAGTCATATTAGTTAGAGCACTCGCCTTGTAAAGTAGAGGATCCGGGTTCAATTCCCGGTAGGGGAGGGGGCGAAACCTTAGGCAAGTTTCCTTATTCCACCCGCCTCTCTGTTTACCTAGTAGTAAGTTGGAACCCCAGTTGTTCGTCGATTGTCGGATCGCTTTCCGGGAGAAATAATCCCTTCAATAAAATAAATCATCATAATAATTTGGTCACTCAATCCACAACTGTTTGTAGGACACTGCTGTGTGCAATTGGCTGACAGGTTTCGCCCACAAAATAGTCATTCCACTTTACCGTATACTCTGTGAAGCGCTTTGAGATGACTCAACGACGTGATAAGGCATTAAATCAAATGCAAGGATTATTACTATCATTATTATTTTATAGCTACTTGTATGATATTACTGTGTGCAAATTGGCTGGCAGAATCACCTACAATATACACAGTCACTCCACTTAACAGTTTTGCAGTCCATGTTACAGCTTTGAGGCATGATAACGTATATCTATATCAAATAATCTATTGCTCATAGACTTGGCTGCCACTGCAGTTCTGTTCTGGGGGTGTGCTTCAGTGGGGTGGGGGGGGAGGACTTGACTCCCTCCGCTCAGCAGGCTCCGGCCTTAGGTCTCTCTGCCCCCATCTTGCGTCCTTCAAGGCACATCTCAAGACCTTCCTCTTCAACCACGCCTTCGGTCGCCCCTCCTTCTCCAACCCTCCCCGCCCTCCACCCCCTGATCCCAACCCCCGGCTCGGGTCCAAATCCCTGACTGTCCAGCGCCTTGGGACGTCCTCCCGACGTGAAAGCTCGCTGTGTAAATGGCATTTGTTGTTGTGCTGAGTGAGATTTCACTCCGCGGAGCATAATTGGAATTGGATGGAATGTGCGTGTGACCTGACTGATTGACGATTTTCAGATGTCACAAAAATAAACACGAGGATTGAAAACAAAAGGCCTCTCGGCGTCGGATTAAATGGTTAGACTCGGAATGGGAAAGTACCCGCAATGTAAAAGCTTCTTTTCTCCCTCGTTTCCTAAGGTTAACATTCCTAAGATTTACTCGGCATTTTTAGGGCTAAAATAGGGTTATTTTATTGTTATTTTATTATTCCCCCACCCTCCCTGCCCTCCACTCCCCATGATCCCAACTCCCCAGCTCGGGTCCAAATCCCTGACTGTCCAGTACCTTGGAACGTCCTCCTGACATGAAAGGCACCGCATAAATGTAATGTGTTGTTGTTATTTAGAACACTTAACATAAAAGACCCAATGTAATTATTAATTAAAAGACCCAATAATAATAATCCTTGCATTTGATATAGCGCCTCATCGTGACTTTGAGAAGTCTCAAAGCGCTTTACAGGATATATTGTAAAGTGCAGTGACTGTGCCTTTTGTGGGTGAAACGCGGCAGCCAATTGCACACAGAGTGTCCCACAAACAGTCGTGGACCAAATCATTATCACAATTTTTTGAGGGATTATTACCCCTGACGAGCGATTGCGGCCAACAACCGGATTAATAATCCGTATCATTAATACTCTATTCTTGGGTGCTTTTCGGACAAAAGTTGTATTGTAAGGACTACTTCCCTTTAAGTATCAACTCCTGCCAGAGTGGAATTTGGTGCATTGCTGCTTTAGCCCTGAGAAAGCTTTGCAAAATGTGACAGAATGATGGAGAATTGTTGGCATGGATTTTTCTCTTCCGCCTGCCAAATGTCCTGAAACCGGCTGTCCTCTCTGATTACTTTCCATTTTCATCTTAAAGGTGATTTACTGCGATGCTGAGATTGCGTGTTGAGTTTGAATGTACGTTTTAGGTAATATTCCAGCTTCCGTCAGTTATACTGTAAAATGTGATGGTTAGAAAATTCTCCAACTCCTCCAGACGTGGATTGTTCGGAGCAGAGTTCCGTGAGTTGGAGAGTTATGTACTTCAGCTTATTGGAAGGAGATCCTATATGCACAAATTATGGTAAAACACCAGGTATTAAACACTTCCTTATTCAGAGGGTTTAATTCTTACTTGCTTGGAGTGCGAACCCTAACATTAACTTATCCCCCAAAAATCCAAAATGTTCCATTGTGGCTTTGAAACGCATTCTTAAAAATTTCTTCAAGTAAAACTCTGGTCTGTGTAAATCGTGTAATCGATCAAGTGATAGATATTGTGGATAGATATTTGCTAGGTCAGGGTATTATAGAATAGCGAAACGGGCTCGAGGAACTGATTGGTCTACTTCTGCTCCTATGTTTCTATCTGCTCAAGTCCCATTGAATTTCCTATTAAATCCACCGAAATGTTACCTGCTCTAGTCAAATTACCTCAATTTGGCTGAGAGAAATTTTACTGTGGAGTGCCGCAATCACAGTAAGGTTGCTACCGCACTTTCCACTACCACAGTTACCGTCTGCCGGGTCAAAAGTTTGTTTCATGTTCTTACGTGGTGTCCTGCAGCTGAGGTGTTAGAGCACTCGCTTCACTAGTGAGAGGACCTCGCCTTCGGACATCCTCCTAACCCTACCCTCCATCCCTCCTGATCCCAACCCCCCCCTCCCTCCCTCCCCCCAGCTCGGGTGCAAACCCGTGACTGTCCAGCGTCTTGGGAGGTTCTCCCAACGTAAAAGACCGTGTGTAAATGTAATGCGTTGCTGTTGTTATAGTGAGATCCACACTGCAGTATTTCAAAACTGCAAACCTGTGCTGTAGTGAATCAAAGAAATACAATTTACATTGATTCCTACCCGGTTTGACTTTCATACCAGGAGGGTGTCCCCAAAGCGCTCGATAATGATAGGGACACGATCTGGGGTGGGAGCAAGAGGTGGGGGGGGGGGTGGGTGGAGAGAAAAGATGATCAACAGCGCTGTCAAAAGAGCTACGTTTGAGACATGCCATGAATGAGGGCGGGAGGGAGGGAGGGAGTCAGAGGGAATTTGTTGTGTTCTTGTTGTTGATTGTACTTGTGATTAGTTTGCACTCACTGTGGTTTGGTTTACTGTAGCTACCCCTTATTAAAGCTGCCGCTGCCTGGAACGGGACCTGTGGAGTATACAACACCTGTGAAGGACTATTCCGTGCCCCCACTGCACCCCACCTCAAAACAGGCCGACCAGGGTGATCGACCCGACTGGGTAATTGCTAAATCTCGCACTCTGATCTCTCGCAAACCTGCGGAGTCCTGTAGGGTAGTGGTCAGCGCGCTCGTCTCACAAGCGAGAGGACCTGCGTTCGCTTCCCGTGCAGGGCGAGACCTTAGTCAAGTTTTCTTACTCCACACACACCTGTTTACCTAGCAGTAAGTAGGAACCTGTTTGTTAGTCGTAATAATCCCTTAAATAAAATAATAACAATTTGGTCACTCAATCCATAACTGTTTGTGGGACACCGCTGTGCGCAATTGGTTGCCGCATTTCGCCCACAAAGTACACAGTCAATTCTCTTCAGAGTATTTTCTGTGAAGCGTTTTGCAAGGCCTCGACGATGTGATAAGGAGCTATAACACATGTAAGGTTTATTATTTTTAAATGGGCATCTAGTCTGAATGCACATCCAGTCTGATCACACATCTAATGGTTTTCCCATTGACTCGTCAGAGAGTAGTGTATATTGTAGCTTTAAAAATTTCTGTAAAGCATTCCTCTTCTGTTCCCTCTCTTCCCAATCTATAATGGTTATGCAGTGAATTGAGATTGGAGCCAGTTGGGTAATCAAAGTGCTTGACTGTCTTGACTTCAATTACCACAACCCGCACTTATTGAATCGTGGTAATTACAGGACGGAAGAAGACTATCAAGCCTGTTTGATCCTCCATAAAGCTATATTTATCCCGATCCCTGTTCTTTCCCACAAATAATCTTGTGCGGTACTGTTTCTGTTTGATAAACAACTTGCAGTTACATAGCACCTTTCATGTAGGAAGCAGAATGAGATTATAGTAGACGCCTCCAGCAGGGAAGCTCGTAGCACTGCACACGATGGTCTAAGTGGTCTACGTTTCTGTGAAGGTAAGTCTCACTTTACCGTGTTTCTGATCTTCCTAGTACGTGGGACCTCCTGTGGCGTACATCCAGCAGATCTTCGTGAAAGCCATTGTGTCTCCCTGGAACAAGAACCTGATCGCTGTGGATGCCTTCCGTGCCCCGCTGTCAAAGGCCTTTCAGCTGGTGGAGGAAATCAGGAACCACCTCTTACAAGATGGGTAAGCAAGGCTGGCATCACTTGGACAGTAGGCTTCCGTTTCCGTGGTCCTCGCCTGGCATTTCCCTTGCGTTTGCTTAAAATATATTACAGCTGTTGTAGGGCACTGCTGTGCGCAATCGGTGCTGTTTTTTGGCCATAAAATTTACAGTATATTCTGTGAGGCGCTTTGAGACTGGAATATGTGAAAAGGCGCTATATCAAATGCAAGGATTATTAGAAAAATGCCAACACCTTGTGTTCTCTCATCACCACCAGAGCTGGGAGCAAAAGCCTTGAAAATGTTTGCCTCCAGGTGACCGATCTACTCCCTGGGTTAAAGAAGCTGCAGAATCTCCTTCCTGAACATGGCTGCCTTCTCATCTCTCCAGCCAGCTTCTGGCAGAATGACCGTGAGCGCTTCAATAACGACCCGGACATCATCAGAACCATTCACCAACACGAACCCAAGCCGCTACAGACCTCTGCCTCTATCAAAGGTAACGTGAGATTTTTCTCTTTGGACCTGTTGGGCCGTGGAATCCTGTAGCGGTGTGGCTAACGTGCTCGCCTCACAAGCTAGCGGGCCCCGGTTCGATTCTGCAGAAAGCCAAATTTCTATGTTACGTACAATGTTATGGCGCGGAAACAGGCCATCCAGTCTGTGGCAGCGTTTGAGTCCGAGAGACAAAGAATATTTCAGCTCAAAAAAACTACCATCTTGTCACCAGTCGTCCAAGGCTTCCCGGCTTGACTATTCCAATGCCCTCCTCGCTGGTCTCCCCAGCTCCACCGTACACAAAACTCCGAACTCACCTGCGCAAAACTCAGTACTCCCATCACACCAGTCCTTGCCAGGCTCCCTGCTCTCAATCACCGAACCGATCAATCTCAAGATCCTCTCACTCGTTTTCAAATCCCTTGATATCGAGTTAATCTCGTCCAGATCTTTCTGGTGATTCTTTCTAATGAGATAGATTTCTGGTAGGGAATAATATCTGGGGATACAGTACATAGTTTGGACCAGACATGTGCAAGTGACTGCCAGGATGGTGGAAGGTGAACTGGATGGACCTCGGTCTTCTTTCGCCAGCAAATTCTTATGTTTGTATGTTCCGTGTTGTGCAGACCTGCTGTTCGGAGTGCCTGGGAAGTACAGCGGGGTCAACCTATACAATCGCAAGCGTCTTGTTTCCTACACGGCCACTGTCATTCTGCAGGAATACGACTCCAGGTAAGTTCCTCATCTGAACAGAAGTCGCTGGGAACACTCAGCAGGTCAGACAGCATCTAGAGAGAAGAAAGTGAGTTAACATTTCAGGTTGATGACCTTTCGACTGTTAGGAAATAACATTATGGGATATAATACATAGGTAGTTCGGGACATATGTGCATGCGACTGCCAGGAAAGTGGAAGGAGAACTAGATGGACCATTTTTCTCTAGTATTTCTTATGTTCTTATTGTCGATGATGCTGTCCCTTCGGATCAAATGTTAAACCAAGGTCCTGTCTGTGCCCTGCTCAGGTGGACGTTAAAGATCCTGCGGTGCTGTTCGAGAAAAGAAGGAAATTTCTCCCTCCTGGTGTCCTGGCCAACAATTCCCCAAATAAAATGGGTCACTCACTCTGTGACTATTTATGGGACATTACTGTGTGCAACTGGTTGTCACATTTCTCCCCCAAAATACACAGTCACTCACTCTACAGTAAATCCTGTGAAGCAAGTGTTTTGAGAAGTCTTGGCGCCATGACAAGACTAACCAAAATGCAAGAGTCATTATTATTAATTTTATCGCTGTTGTGAAGAAACTCACCTGAGGCTCTCTCCAATTCTGCGGGCTCCTTATAGGTTCCTCAACAGTCTTCGATCACGGCTGAAGCACCTTCACCCCAGTGTGAACAGCACCCTGAGAGAGGACCAGATTATCCACGTCCATTTTAAGGAGGAGATTGGCATCGCTGAACTGATTCCTTTGGTCACCACCTACATCATTCTCTTCGCTTACATCTACTTCTCTACCAGTAAGGCAACTTTTCTGTTCCATGTTTAACCCATGAATATCCTGTAGCTTACGTGTTAGAGCACTCACCTCGTAAGCGAGAGGACCCGGCAGGGCGAAACACTGGGCTCCACGTGCTTCTGTTTACCTAGCAGTAACTAAGAAATCGGTTGTTAGTCAGTGGATCGCTTTTCCTGGGGTAATAATCCCTTCAAAAAAAAAGAAGAATTTGGTCACTCAATCTACGGGTCACTGCTGTGTGCAATTGGCTGCTGGTGTTGCCCACCAAACACAGTCAATTCACTTTATAGTATATTCTTTATAGTATACACTTTAATACTATATTATTATTGCACCACTCTACCTCCTCCTTTCCTTCCACCCCCAGTGTCACTGTTTAACCCAGCTCCCTTTGGCTCAGGTATTACATGTGAGTGAAGGAACGCCTCACTGTACTGTTTGTGTTCTCTCTGATCTTGGGTTCTGTGGTTTCTGCAGGAAAGATCGACATGGTGAAATCCAAGTGGGGACTTGCCCTGGCTGCCGTGGCCACGGTTCTGAGCTCCCTCCTCATGTCTGTGGGACTGTGCACCCTCTTCGGCCTCACACCTACTCTCAACGGAGGGTGAGCACCAGTTTTGTTTTCTGATGTGCATTTAGTGGTGAGTCCTGGCTCATTTGCAGGACCTGGAAGGACAGACCAGTCACTAGGGGCAGGGAGTTATCCTGCTCAGCTCCTTCTAACTCTGCAAGCCAAATCCCAAATGGGTAGGGTGGACAAGCAGTGGGAAAGCTTGCCAGGCATTGCTCTCAATGGCTATTGGGTTTTAGCTGGTTAAATTCCAGCAGTTACCCCAACGCACACTCTGGGCTCCCCCTCCAAACCTTGGCTCTTGCCAACCTGCGCATAATACTTTCTGGAATTAGGTAAGCATGGCGCATCCCTCCAGGGAGAGAAGAGAGAGAGAGCGCATTCCATTACAACATTCTGTCTCTGGGATTTCCAGGTGTAGGTGGGATGCATGGAAATCTTAGCTTGGTTTGCATACTTTTAAGCATGGTGATGGGTTTCCGCATGGTGCCACCCAGCGAGTGGTGTGTTCAAATCCGAAGGAGGGATCACTGGGTGTGGGCGCGTTTCAGAACAGCTTCATTTGAAAAGTTTATAAACTACTAAACAGAATGAAAAGGGTGAAAGGATGATGGAAGCAGATTCAATAGTAGCTTTCAAAAGGGAATTAGATAGCTACTTGAAAAGGGAAAAGATTGCAAGGCTATGGGGGAAGAGCAGGGGTGGGACTAGTTGGTAGCTCTTTCAAAGAGCTGGCACAGGCACGATGGGCCGAATGGTCTCCTTCTGTGCCTTAAGATTCTGTTTCTAATAGCACGTCATAACTAATCCTGGAAAACAATAACAACTTGTATTTATACAGGGCCCTTCACGTAGGGTAGTGTCCTGGAGCGCTTGACAGTGGTGGAGCCAGGTGACCATAAGTACAATCAAAAAGAAAGGTCTTTAGGCAGGATTTGAAGGCGGGGAAGGAGGAGGCAAGGCGGAGGGATTGAGGGAGAGAGTTCTAGAGTGTTGGGGCTTAGTGGCTGAAGGCACGGCCACCGATGATGGAGCGGGAAAGAGGGCCGAACAGGAGGCCGTGCCTTCCCACGGTTGAGGTTACTTGATAATTCTGTGTGTGTGTCCGGGACCCTACCCTGAGTGAAAGGAACTATATAAATGTAAGTTATTGTTGTATGTGTGTGTGCGTGTGTGGGTCTGTGTATATGTGTGTACGTGTGAGAGTGTGTGTGTTTGTCTGCGTATGTATGTTTGTCTGTGCCTGCGTGTGTATTTGTGTGTGTGTGTGTGTGTGTGTGTGTGTGTGTGTGTGTGCGCGAGCGTAAATGTGTGTGTCATTGCCTTTTTTTTCTCTTAACGCCACAGGGAGATCTTTCCGTACCTGGTTGTGGTGATTGGGCTGGAGAACGTGCTTGTCCTCACAAAGTCGGTGGTCTCCACTCCCGTGGATCTCGAAGTCAAACTGCGAATAGCTCAAGGTAATAGCAATCCTCGGAGATTGGGTCCATGCAGTTTGGCGTAACTGCAGCTTGGCGCAGCACTGAAACCATATAGGCCGAACGGCCCTAACAAGTCTGCAGTGGTGCTTTTCTCCACATGTGATCCCCCAAAGCGGAGTCCCCGTAGTGTGGTGATTGGCGCAAGCGAGAGGACCCGGGTTCGATTCCCGGCCGGGCAGGGCAGAACCTTAGCCACGTTTCCTCACTCCACACACGTCTCTTGCTTACCTAGCTGTAAGTAGGAACCCAGTTGTTGGGTGGATTGGCGGATCACTTTCCAGGGGTAATAATCCCTCCAAAACAAGAAAAATGTGGTCACTCAATCCACGACTGTTTGTGGGACACTGCTACCGCCTTTCGCCCACAAAGTACACAGTCACTCCATTTTATAGGATGTGAAGCCGTTTTGAGACGTCTCAGCGACATGATGAGGGGCTATATGAAATGCAAGGATTATTATTATTATTATTAACTAATCCTGCTCTCCCACTCGCTTCCCCCAGACCCTTTACGAATAATAATAAAAGTCCTTTTGTTTGATATTTCTGTAGGTGACTGATGTAGCCGATTCGTGCACAAAGTAGGTTCCACAAACAACCCTGAAATGAGCGATTGATTTTATTTGGGGAATTGTCGGCCAGGACCTTGAGAGAGAAACTCGCTTCTCTTTTTGAATAGTGTCTTTAACATCCACCTGAACAGACACAGACAGGCCCTCGGTTTAAAAGTCTCACCTGATGGACGGCACCTCCAACAATGCAGCGCTCCTCTCAGCACTGCATTAATAATAATAATAAATAATAATCCTTGCATTAGATATAGCGCTTTTCACGTCGGGAGGACGTCCCAAAGCACTTCACAGAACACACTGTAAAGAGAATTGACTGTATATTTGAGGGCGAACGCGGCAGCCAATGGCGCACAGCAATGTCCCACAAACAGTCGTAGATTGAAAATGACCAATTTATTATTGTTTTGTTTTGGAGGGATTATTATTAGGCTCTGTGTGGAGTAAGGAAACTTGCCCAAGGTTTCGCCCTCTGCCGGGAATTGAACTCAGGTCTCTCGCTTGCAAAGCGAGTGCTCTAACCACTGAGCTACAGAACGCATTGGAGCGTCAGCTAGGACTGTGAGCTCAAAGTCCCGTCATGAGGCTTGAACCCACAATGTTCTGACTCGGTGAGGCGAGGCAGCTACCACTGAGCCAGGCTGATAGCACATGTATGCCAACTTCATGTGTAAAGGTTTGCACCACTTCTATTTGAACAATTTCCAAAAAGTAGGTAGAAATTTCTAATGCAAATGAGTCTGATTGCTTTTAGAAAATAATATGTTGGGTTACAGTATACGTTGCTGTAAATGTAGTGGGTTTGGAAGAACCAGGCAACTTTGGATCTAAGGTGTCCAACGTTTTCCACTCTAGTTGTAGAATAACCTAATATAGAATTAATTGCTGTCAAAATCTCCATTATCTCCAGCAAGCGACTACCAGCATGGCAGAAGGCAAACTAGATAGACCTTGCTCTGTTTTCGTCTAGCAATTCCTATGTACCGAAGCTGATGATTTAAAAGCTGGAGTGTGTTGGGTGGGCTTTGATTGTTTTTACTTATTTCTCTTTTTAACCCCACCCCACCCCCTTGTGACCCTCTGTGTGCCCAGGCCTGAGCAATGAAAGCTGGTCCATCATGAAGAACATGGCGACTGAACTCATCATCATCTTGATTGGATACTTTACGCTGGTTCCTGCTATTCAGGTGCGAAATGCCTCCTCATGATAACAACACATTACATTTACACAGCGCGCCTTTCACATCGGGAGGACGTCCCAAGGCGCTTGGATTGTCAGGGATTTGGACCCGAGCCGATGGTTGGCATCAGGAAGGATGGTGGACGGGGGATACAGGTAGGAGGATGACCGAAGGCGAGGTGGAAGAGGAGGGCTGAAGCTCAACATAACTCATACTTTTCAAAGTCATATTACATGTATGGTCCTGACTGAAACTTAAGTCTGTATTCCCTTGAGTTTAGAAGGTTGAGGAGTGATCCGATTGAGGTGTTTAAAATAATAAAGGGATTTGATAGGGCAGCTACAGAGAAACTATTTCCTCTGGTGAGGGAATCCAGAACAAGGGCATCATCTTAAAACTAGAGCTAGGCCATTTAGGAGTGAAATCAGGGGTAGTTTTTCACACACAATCTGGAAATCTGGAGCTCTCTTCCCCCAAAAGGCTGTAAACCCTGGATCAATTCAAATGGATCTAATAGAATGGCGGAACAGACTCGAAGGGCTGAATGGCCTACTCCTGTTCCTATATGTGTTCCGAGGTAACCCGGGCTAACCCTGAGTCTTGCGTTCAGCCAGGAGAAACTGACAATTCTTAACAGACGCCTGATTATTTCAAGGTAGCAGGCAGACGAGCATTGGGACGGTAACCTCGTCAGTTTGTACTGAAGGTGACTGTGTGCCCCCGGCAGTCTGGAGAGGGAGTTGGTGACGATCCAGAATCCCTGAGGCTGAAACAGGAGGTCAGGGACTCTGCCCATGTTCTTGGCAAGGCGTAGCGTTTGAGATACGTTCTCGTGTGATCGGAGCCAAGTTACAGCGCCGAGCAGAGGTGGGGGTGGGCGAGGGGGCCAGGGGCGGGAACGCTTCGTTAGTTGGCACTGAACACAACAAAAAAGTACTTTGCTTTTAGTTGACCTTGTGTTGTGATGGTTGGATCATTGGCTGATAAATGTTGATCAACTGGAGTCCTGTAGCTCAGTAGTTAGAGCAGTCGCCTCGCAAGCGAGAGGACCTGGGGTTCAATTCTGGTCAGGGCGAAAAGTTGGGCAAGTTTCCCTACTCCACACACGCATCTCTGTTTACCTAGCAGTAAGTAGGAACCCGGTTGGCGGATTGCTTTTCTGTAGGAACCGGGGGTAATAATCCCTTCAAAAAAAGTAATAATAATTTGGTCATTGAATCCCAGCTGTTTGTGGGACGCTGCTGTGCGCAATTGACTGCCATATTTCGCCCACAAAAATATACAGTGAATTCACATTGCAGTATATCTTGTGAAGCGCTTTGAGACGTCTTGAAGACATGATATATATCAAATGCAAGGATTATTATATTATAACTACTGATTCCCAAAGGGCGTCAGGATTTTCCTTTGAAGAATTCTATTGATGTCTGTTTTTTTTATTTAATGAGAGTTGTGGGTGAGGACGGTGAGGGGACACAGACATTAGGAAGTATTCTTTTGCACGGCAACAAGGGTATTTGGCAGCTGGGAATGTGTTACCAGGAAGGTTGTTGGGTGAAGCCGGGACGACAACAACTTATATTTATTTAGACCTTTCACGTGGGGTGGTTTGTATAGCGCTTTATTAGGGACATAGTTCAAGACTTTCCTCTTCGACTGTGCTTGCGGTCACTTTATTCCTCTCCCTGACTCGGCATCAAGTCCCACCACTATTCAGTGCTCCGAGACGCTACAGTGTGAAGGCCACTATATGATAATAATAACAATAATAATAATAATCCTTGCCCTCGACTTAGCACCTTATTACATCAAAGCGCTTCACAGAATATACTGTAAAGTGAATTGACACTGTATTTTGTGGGCGAAATGCGAGTTGTTGTTGCTGCCAACCGAGCCAGGCTGACACTTTACTGTTTGAAAATTATAAAAGGGTTTGATAAGGTTAACATAAACAGGCCGGTTGGGGACTCTGTACCCAGGAGACTCAAGGATAAGACAGCGACTTGGGGATCTGAAAAAGAATTTCGGAGGAACGACTTCACACAGAGGGTAGTGAGATTGTGGAACTCACTGCCTGAAGAAGCGGTCGAATCAGATATATCAACGTGCATTAGCACAGCGCCCTTCACATGGGGGCGCGTCCTGGAGCGCTTGACAGTGGCGTAATCTGACTCCGAGCCGGGGGGAGAGGGAGGGAGAGGGGAAGAGAAGGGTGTGAGAGTAAGGAGCGGATGAGGACTCGTGTGGACAAGGACTGGTTGGACTGAGGCGGCCTGTTTCCGTGCTGCACAGTCTCTGTATATCTCCGAAAGCCTTGTATTAATCTGCCCTCTTTGCTCCACTTCCCCTCCGCAGGAGTTCTGCCTGTTTGCTGTGGTCGGACTCGTTTCCGATTTCTTCCTGCAGATGTTTTTCTTCACCACAGTCTTGTCCATCGATATCCGCCGCATGGAGGTAAGCCACAAACTGAGCCTGAAACACACACACACACACACACACAAACGCGCGCGCGTCCGTTTACCGAGCAGTAAGTATTTAATGGACCATCGTACTCTCTCTCTCTCCACCCACCCCTGCCCCCTCACTATCTCTTCTATACATTATATTTATAGATTTTTCCTCCAAGTCCCTTTTAAAAGTTGTTTGGATTTCTGCTCCACTCAGATGTTGGCTGTTCTCACATCAGTAAATGTAAGGTCATCACAACGATAACGATTAAAAAGGAGTTATAGTGAAGGTTAGAGACAAAGACCTTCACAACCAATGTGTTTGGCAGGGACAAATCTCTGCCACCCGCTTTACTTGACGCACAGCCTGTCAATGTTTTTCTATATAAAGAGGAATTGGATTAAAAGAAACACCAAACCTAATTTGTGGAGTGCCGTGGTTATCGCGCTCGCCTCGCAAGCGAGTGGACCCGGGTTCGATTCCCGGGCCGGGGCCAAAACAAAACCGTAGGCAAATTTCCTTACTCTGATACCTTATATTTTATAAATTATTATGAAAAGAGATGTAAAAGATGTGGCACTATATCAAATGCAAGGATTATTATTATATGTGGATATAAATGCAAGTTGTTGTCGTCATCGTTGTTGGTTCCAGTGATCAGTGAGGTCTCTCTCTCTCTCTCTCTCTCGCTTGTGGTTACACTGATTTCCAGCTGGCTGACCTGAACAGACGTCTGCCCTCAGAAGCCGTGCAGGACATCCCCGACCACCTACGGTTGCCTCGCTCCAAGTCAACCCCACGGCAGACCAGGTCTGAGCGCCAGCCCGCTATCAGGCAGACCGCTCCCTACACCATCTCCCTGCCACCCTCCTCGTTTCGTAACCTGCGGCTGCCCAAGAGACTGCGAGTGGTCTACTTCCTCGCCCGGACCCGGCTGGCCCAGAGAATCATCATGGTAACGCGTGGGACTGGAGTGAATGTGTTCCCTTGTATGAGGATGTCTTTTGGTTCTCTTCCTTTCCCCTCCTGCGTAATCTCACAGTGCAGTCCTGCACTGCACTGCGGTTTTAGTGCGCTCGCCTCACAAGCGAGAGGACCCGCATTTGATTCCCAGCCGGGTGGGGGGATACCTTCGGCAAGTTTCCTCACTCCACACACACACGCCTCTATTCACCCAGCAGGAAGTAGGAACCCCTGTTGTCAGTCGATTGACAGATCGCTTTTCCGGGGGTAATAATCCATCCCTAAATAAATAAAAATAATTTAGTCATTCAATCCACGACTGTGAGACGCTGCTGTGCCCAGTTGGCTGCTGCGATTCACCCACAAAAGACACAGTCACTACACGTTACATTGCATCCTGTGAAGCACTTTGAGATGGCTCGACGATGTGATAAGGCGCTGTATCAAACGCAAGGATTATAATGATTATCATTCACTGTTTCTCCAGTATAAAAGCTGAACGACTAACCCTGGTTTGTCTCTCTCTCTGTTTGTGTGAGATGGGGACGGTGATCTGGATCGGGATCCTGGTGTACACTGACCCGGCCGGACTCCGGACCTACCTGGCGGCACAAGTGACGGAGCAGGGCCCCCTGGGGGAGAGCGGACTGCCTCCTCTGGCCGTGCCCCCTGGAGTGTTCCGCCGGGGGGCGGCCGAGGACGGCCTGCCCGGGTTCCCCCACCATGTGACTCCGGCCCTGGAGAACCAGTCTCGCGACACCGAGCGGGGCAAAGTCCCGGGGCCCATCGACTCCGTGCCTCTGGTGGCCCCCCAGAAGATGGCCGAGGAAGGCAAGCCGCTCGTTCCACCCGAGGCCAGCCCCCCGGACAGCGACCCCAAGGTGGAGATCACCTGGGGTTCCCAGGACGAGGAGATGTGGCGGAAGCTCTCGTTCCGACACTGGCCCAGTCTCTTCAGCTACTACAACAACACCCTGGCCAGGAAGTGAGTCATTCCCGGGATGCGTCGTGTCAGCGCGTGGCAGGCAATTTAGATTAATTCGCGGCGGAAAAACGAGGGCAATACAGTGTCTGTCTCGAGGCAAAGGAGCGAGGCGGAGGGACTGTGGGATGGAGTTCCAAAGGGATGGGTGGAGCTCCCACGGGTTAGAATCCTCGTTGGATTGGACTCGGGTGGTGAATTGTCACGTCTTCACTTTTACAGATACGTCAGTATTCTTCCCATCATCCCGGTCTCCTTCCACCTCAGCCTGCAGGACGTGCTGGAGGCACGGCACCCGCAGGACGCCAAGAGATACCATCCGGTCTTCCCCGCCGAGGGCAAACACCCTGATGGAAACTGGCTCGGGGACCCCCATCAAGCGGGACAGACACCCAGGCTCCCAGCTCACTTAGACATCACTCTCTACAAGTAATACCAGCCAGCTAACTCGATTCACCGCTAACACCGGGGAATAAATAAATAATAATCGCTTATAATCGTTATTTATTACAAACCATAAGTACTGATAATAACTCGCAACCGTGTCGTTGACGGAGGGGATCGTAATGAATAATAATAATCTTGCATTTGATGTATCGCCTTATCACGTCAGAAGGACGTCTCCCAAAACGCTTGACAGGATTTACGTAGAGTGGAGTGACTGTGTAAATTGTGGGCGAAACACGACAGTCAGTTGCGCACAGCAATGTCGCACAAACAGTCACGGATTGAGTGACCGCATTTTTATTTATTATTTGTGGGGTGGGGTAGATTATTACTCCCGGAAAGCCACTTAACAACCGGGTTCCTACTTACTACTGGGTAAACAAAGGCGCTTGGAATAAGGAAACTTGGCTAATGTTTCGCCCTGCCCGGCCGGGAATCGAACCCAGGTCCTCTCGCTTGCGAGGCGAGTGCGTTCGGAGCTGTTTTGAGGCACTGTGTCTAAGAGAATCCACGTTGTTGCAGTTTATTAATACAGGTTTTCTCTCTCTCTCTCTGGGCAGAGTGGCAGCTTTGGGCCTTGCCTCGGGGGTCCTGCTTGTTATCGTGCTGTATTGTCTGTATAAGGTCTTCTGCCCCAAAACTTACGGGCAGGGGGGCTTCTCTCATGGCCGGCGACGGCGGGGGGACCTTCCCTGTGATGACTACGGCTACTCTCCCCCCGTCAGCGAGACTCTCCCCCTGATTCTCAAGGGACATCTCATGGTGAGTCCACATTTGAAAAACCTGTATTGAGCTTCACTGTGTAATAATAATAAAAAGAAATAATAATACTTGCATTCTTCCTTGAGACGTCTCAAAGCGCTTCACAGCATACACTGTAAAGTGAATTGACTGTAATTTGTGGGCGAAAGAAAGAAGAGGTGAACGTTTAGCCTTTCAAGGCTCAATTGATGAGCTTCCCATTGCTTGTCCGGCGAGGAGCACCTAACCTGTTAGGGCTTTAGTTTGCAGGTTTAACCATCATCGATTCCCGGCAGGGCAAAACCTTGGCCAAGTTTCCTTACTCCACACGCCTCTGTTTGACCAGCAGTAAGTAGGAGCCCGTTGGCGGATGACTTTTCCCGGTGTAATAATCCCTTCAAAAATAATATTACTAATTTGGTCTCTCAATCCACAGTTGTTCGTGGGACACTGCTGTGTGCAATTGGCTGCTGCGGTAAAATCTGTGAAGCGCTTTGAGACACCTCGAAGGCGTAACAACGACAACAACTTGCACTTATATAGCGCCCTCCACGCAGGGTAGCGTCTCAGAGCGCTTGAAGAGATACAAGAGAAGGGAGTTTCTCTCTCTCTCCCAAAATAAAGTTGGTCACTCACTCCATGACTATTTGTGGGGATGGTCCTAGACAGCAACAACAACTTGCATTTCCACAGTGCCCTTCAGCCGGGCGCTGTAGAAGGGTCAGGGGGAGCCAGGGGGAGAGGGAGGGGGGTGGGGGGTGGTGAGGTCACTGTGAAAAAAATGGAAGGTTCTTCAGGCGGGATTTGAAAGTGGTCATTAAACGTCACAGTCAAAGCTGTGAAGCGCTTTGTGACGTCTTGACGACGTGCTGAGACGCTTTTACCGAATGCAAGGATTATTATTCAGTGTTTGGCTGTGTTTTTCCTCCTCAGGATATCGAGTGTCTGGCCAGCGATGGGATGCTGCTGGTCAGCTGCTGCCTGTCGGGACAGATCAGAGTGTGGGACGCACAGACAGGGGACTGCCTAACTGTCATCCCAAACTCAGGGTAAGTGACTCATTCGCTCACAAGACCATCGGCTTCTCACTCTGGTCTGCCTTTCTCTGCCTTCAAGTCACTATTTCCTGCAGAAATCCATCTTATTTGTTCTTGAAACAAACAGCATTTTCTGCTTCCGTTGTCTGCCTCCCTGGGGAGCCGGTCTTGGCTGCCCACCTCCCCTCCCCATTCCCCCAGAGGATGGAGTTTAAGATCCTTGTCCTTACCTTTAAAGCCCTCCGCAGTCCTGCTCCTCCCTACCTCTGGGACCTGCTGAAACCCTACCAACCTTACAGCCACCTCTCCCCCCCACCCCCCCCCACCTACACCCCCCGACTCGGAGTCAGGCTCCGCCATTGTTAAGCGCTCTGAGACGCTAAGATGTGTGGAGGGCGCTATACAAGTGCAAGTTCTTCTTGTTACTCCTCACCTCCTTGCCCTCCACCCCTGTTAATCCCAACCCCCAGCTCGGGTGAGAACCCTTAACTGTCCAGGACCTTGTGACGTTCCCCCGTCCCCCCCCCCCCCCGACGTGAAAAGCGCTTTGTAGACGTAATTTGTTACTGTTGTCGATGACCGTTTTGTTGCCCACAAAATGTACAGTCACTCCACTTTACGCTGTGTTCTGTGAGACATCTCAAGGACGAGATAAGGCGCGATATCAAGTGTATAACAATAAGAGAATGGGACAAGTGTTTGAACGAGGCTCGGACCCCCATCGCAATCCACACATTTACGGTTCTGCATTGGTGATTGGGTTGGAATGGTTCTCAGCAGCGCCACCTGCAATCACATCGCAGAACTTGCAGCACCTCAGCCTCTGAGTCGCAACATCCAACAGGTTGCATTTTTATATTAACAATAATTATAGTAATTTGGTCACTCAGTCCACGGCTGTTTGTGGGGACGCTGCTGTACGCAATCGGCCGCCGCGTTTCTCCCGCAGAAGTACAATCGATTCACTTCACAGTGTCACTCCACGGACATCCCGACGACGTGATAAGGCGCTGTATCAAATGCAAGGATTGTTATTATTTAAAGATAATATTATTATTGTTCAATGATAATATTATTTAACGATAATATCATTTAATGACAATATTATTATTTAACGATAATATTATTTAATGACAATATTATTATTTAATGACAATATTATTATTTAGTGAAAGTATTATTATTTAGTGAAAGTATTAATATTATTTAGTGACAACATTATTATTATTTGGCGACTGTTTGTCTCTTCCCCCCCCGGCTCCCGATCGTAGGTTCCCGAGAGACAGCTGTGGTTACTGTGAGCGTGAGGAGAGCTGGGATCACCTGGGCCTGGAGGGTTCGGACGTTGAGAACGGTGCGGACGAGGTGTTCGAGCGGAGACCGGGGCCTGCGCTGTTCACTGACCAGCCCGACCTCTCCGCCCTGATAGACACCAACTTCTCGGAGCAGGTCGGGTCGGGAGGCGGCTCCGACAGGCCCGTCGGCGGCTACGACTTTGGCAGAACGTGTCGGAAGGTGTACGAGGACCACAGGGCCCTGAGCGCCCAGACGGCCCGGGCCTTCCCCTCCCCTGCCTTGAGGTGCTCGCAGACGTCGGTCAACCTGCAGGCCCAGAACCGGGACGGGGGCTGCAACCAGCGGCGGAGGAGCCTGGGCGACGAGCCCCTTCCCGTCTTCGAGAAGGCCCCGCAGCCGCCTCCCTGGGGCGGGGATTGCGAGAGCGCGGTCTGGAGTCTCGGAATCCAAGGCAACCTGATTGTGGCAGGAAGAAGCACAGGGCGTCTCGAGGTCCGAGCCTCGTCCGTCGTACCGACCCGTCCGCTCAGCGGGGCTCCGGTCCGCTCCACCTGCCCGCGCCCCCCGGACTTCCATCCTGAAGCCCCTTCACTTCACCTCACCTCGTCCCCTCCCTCGCCTCCTTCCAGTCCCATCTCAAGACCTTCTTCCTCGACTGCGCCTTCGGGCCAACACACCTAAACCCCACCCACCCTTCCGCGGGCGGACGTCCCCAAGGCGCTGGACAGTCAGGGATTTGGAACCCGAGCTGGGGGTTGGGACCCGGAGGGGTTACAGGGCAGGGAGGGTGGGGGATAGAAGGGTGACCAAAGGTACGGGCAAAGAGGAGGGTCTTGAAACGAGCCTTGGAGGCGAGGGAGGAGGCCAAGGGAGGGGACTGTGGGATGGAGTTCCAAACGGTGTGGGGCAGAGAGGGTGAAGGCCTGACCACCGATTGTGGGGTGGGCCGGGCGGGCGGGGGGGGGGGGGGGGGTGGCCGGAGCCGGTTGGGCGCAGGGAGCGGACAGGTTGATATGATAACGCGGTGCCTCTGGCGTGTAAACCGTTTCTGCCCTGATTGTTCCAGGTTTGGGATGCGATCGAGGGGACTTTACGCTGCAGTAATGACGAGGGTTCGTCTGGGGTCACAGCGCTGGCGTTTGTCTCAAGCAGGTAACGGGCAACGAGGGACGTTTCGTCACAAGCAGCGGCTCGGACCGGGGTTGTGCAGAGTGGTCCTGTTTCCCTACCGTATCATTCTGCTTCGACCCGTATTATTAAACGTCCACTAAACTCAATCCTCCGCAGGATTGTGGACCGTTGTCTCAACAACAACAACTTGCATTTTCGAACCCTTCCACGCCCTGGAACCTCCCTCCTTCCCTCTCCGACCTGCTCACCCTCCCACTCCACCACCCGCCGCCTCCGTTCGGCTGGCTCCGGCCTCCTGTTTGTCCCTCATTCCCCCCCCCCCCCCCGGCCCCTCCACTCCAACACCAGTAACCGCGCTTTCAGCCAGTACCCCCCCACCCCCCCCCGAAACCTGGAACTCTCCCCCACCCCCAATCCCTCCGCCTTGCCCCCTCCCTCCGCACCTTCAAATCCCACCCAAAGACCTTCCTTTTTGATCGTGTTTACGGTCACCTTCCACCCCTCCCTCCCTCCCTCCCTCTCGCCCCTGGCTCGGGGTCAGACTCATTCACTGTCGAAGGCTCCGGGACCCTACCCCACGTGACGGGCGCAGGTTGTCGCGGTTGTATCGCGGATGAAGTTGCCGTTGCCGAGTGTGAGGAGTCCCAGTGACCGTCTTCTTTGTTAGGATCGTCGCGGCCAGACTGAGCGGAACCCTAGACTTCTACTGTCTGGACACCAATAAATCCTTCAACCAACTGCAGTACCGAGGTAGGCTCTGTCTGCCTTCGCTTCTCTGGCCATCTTGATCCAATTTCCTTCAAATCCAATCGCACTCCACCACTGGCTGCGCAGAAGCCCTTTCCCAACGATGCGATAAAACGCCACACAAATGCAAGGATTATTATTATTATTATTAGCGTTTTCGCCCACAAAGCACACACTTTGCAGTGTATCCTGTGAAGCGCTTGAGGCGTCTCGGTGACCTGATAAGGGGTTGTGTCAAATTATTATTATTATTATTTACGATCAATGTGTTTACAGGGACTCCGCCAGGCAGAGGCAGCATTCCCTCGTCCCCGGTGTTTGGCAGTGAGGACCTGCTGCTGTGCCGGCTAACACACACGATAGCCTGCGCCCACCAGAAGCCCATCACCGTGCTGAAGGCAGCCGCCGGGAGAGTGGTGACAGGCAGCCAGGACCACACACTCCGGGTCGGTCCACCTTCGCCGCTCGGTCAGCTACCGTCAAACCGCAGCTCAGAGAGATCGCTAGCTTGTGTGTGTGAGAGACGCTGTGTGTGTGTGTGTGTGTGCGCACGTGTTGTGTGTGAGAGAGAGACCTCTGAGACGCAACTCGCACACATTTTTGTCTGCAAATACAGTCAACTGCTCGATGATGGAGAGAGAGCACCTGCTAGAGGGGTTTAAGATGAGGTGGACGTTGATGAGGTCGCGTGGCTTAGTGGTCAGAGTGCTCGCCTCGCAAGCGAAAGGACCTGGGTTCGATTTCCCGGCGGGGCAAAACCTTAGGAAAGTTTCCTTACTTGATGCAAACATAAGGGAGAAGGTAATAGAGGGGTGTGGGAGACGGAGATGGAAAGGTGTGGGAGAGGGGGATAGAGGGGTGTGGGAGAGGGAATAAAGGGGTGTGGGAGAGAGGAGAAGAGGGGAACAGTCACTACACCTGATGTTCCCTGTGAAGCGCTTTGAGAAGTGGGAGGAGTGTACAGGGCCAGTGGCGTCTGGCTGTGAGGGGGAGGTAATCACTAACCCTCTGGTTTGCTTCGCTCAGTGCTGTTGGGACGGGATGGAGAGTGTCGCTGACTTTGCTCGCTCTCCCTCTGCAGGTTTACCGGCTGGAGGACTCGTGTTGTCTCTACACGTTACAGGGACATTCAGGGGGGATCACAGCGATCTACATAGACCAGGTACATGGCTGGCTCAGCACTGCCAAGTCAGAAAGAGGCCATTCGGCCCATTAGCCTCTCCGCCCCCATCCTCTGGATCTCCACCCCGGAGCCCCTCCACCTCGCCCCTCCCTTGCCTCCTTCAAGGCCCGTCTCAAGAAGACCCTCCTCTTCGACCGTGCCTTTGGTCACCCTCCTACCCCCACGCTTCCTGCCCTCCAACCCTCCTGATCCCAAACCCCCAGCTCGGACGCAAACCCCTCATTGTCCAGCGCCTTGGGACGTCCTCCCAATGTGAAAGGTGCTGTGCAAACGTCATTTGTTGTTGTTGTGTTGCCCCACTCCCCCATCACCATTGTTTCTGCCTTTACAAGCTGTCCACAAGATATTTAGTCAACTTCCCACTTCCAGCAGTTACCCCCAACGCACCCGAGCCCGATACTCTCTGGAATTTGCTAAGCCTCCAGAGAGAGGGAGGGAGTGCGCACTCCGTACTTGCCTCCAGACACAGGGATATTTCCGCCCGTGTGAATGTGGAACTCTGTCCGGTTTGAAGACTCGGTTCAGTCGTGTTATACAGATTCCAGCTCTTGTCGCTGTGCAATATGGTGGAGTCCTGGAGCTCAGTGGTGAGAGCACTCGCTCTCGCAAGCGAGAGGATCTGGGTTCGATTCCCGGCCGGGCAGGGCGAAACGTTGGGCAGGTTTCCGCACTCCTGTCTACCCGGCAGTCAGTAGAACCCGGTTGTTAGTCAATTGGCGGATCGCTTTCCACGAGGGTAATAATCCCTCCCAAAAAAATTGGGTCACTCAATCCACGGCTGTTTGTGGGGACACCGCTGTGCGCAATTGGCTGCCGCGTTCCGCCCACAAAATATACAGTCACTGCACTTTACAATATGTTCTGTGAAGAGCTTCGAGACTCTTTGCAACATGTCAATACCGTGCTTGAAAGATCTCAGCTGTATCACTGTAAGCTGTGTGCTCTGGTGAGAGGTGTTGAGTAACGCATTGCCCTCTCTCCCCCTCAACCCCCCCCCCCCCAACCCCCCCCCATGTAGACCATGGCGCTGGCCAGCGGCGGGCAGGACGGAGCCCTGTGTCTGTGGGATGTATTGACGGGAAGCCGGGTCAGCCACATGCACGGACATCGGGGGGACGTAATCGCGCTGGTCTGTACCTCCAGCTGTGTGCTGAGCGGGGGGCTCGACGATATCATCTGCATCTGGGATCGTTATACAGCCATCAAGCTCTACTCCATCCAGCAGGTACCTCCCTCCCTCCCTCCCTCCCTCCCTCCCCAACCTCTCTGTCAGCTCACAGTGTAGTGCTGACACTGACCCTGCAGTCCCCGCTGGGAAAGCGCTGCCTCGTCCCAGCATCTGTCATAAAAGGGGGATAGAGGGCTGTAGGAGAGGGGGATTAAGCGGAGTGGGTGAGGGGGTGGAGTGGGGAGCAGCAATGCAGACTGGTTGGGTAGATTTCTGACTAACATTGTGTGTTTCTACCTTTCTCTCTACCCCCTCCCTCCCCAACACACACGCACTCACACTCTTAAACACTCACACACATTCTCACGTATACTCTCTCTCGCGCAAACTCTCTCACACACCCACACACAAACGCCCTCCCTCTCACACACACACACACACTCACGCACACGCAGGACCTGGGTTGTGGTGCCAGCCTGGGTGTAATCTCTGACCACCTGTTGGTGACGGGCGGGCAGGGCTGTGTCAGCCTGTGGGACGTTGGCTATGGAGACCTGCTGCAGACCGTGTACCTGGGCAAGAACAACGAGGCTCAGCTGGTGCGGCAGCTGCTGGTGTTAGACAATGCGGCCATCATCTGCGACTTCGGGAGCGAACTCAGCCTCGTCTACTTCCCCTCCGTGCTGGAGAAACTGGACTGAGGGAAGAGAGCGCGAGAGAGAGAGAGAGAGAGAGAGTGAGACAGCAAGCAGCGCTGGGGGTGGGGGGCTGTGGGTGGGCTCACTGCACCCCGGCTCACAGCTTCCCCCCCCGCCCCACCCTCCGGGACACTACTCTGCGGGGAGGGGGTTGGGGGGGTGGGCTATGTAAATGCAAGTTGTTGTTGTCACAGAGCGCAGGACAGTCAGGGATTTGGACCCAAGCTGGAGGATGGGATCAGGAGAGGAGGGGGGGAGCCGGGAGGGCGGTGACCAAAGGCGCGGTCGAAAAGGAGGGTCTTGCAATGAGGATTTCCAGGACCGCCCCCCGCCCCCCGCCCCCCGGTCAGAGTGCGTGACTCTCAAGGATTTGGAAACGGTTATTTTTTAAGTGTTAATATTAATTTTTTGCTAAATACGATGAATTTCGGTAAACTTGGCTCTGGAGGAGGAGAAACAATAATAGTGTGAGCGAGAGGGAGGGAGGGAGGGAGGGAGGGACGGAGCCCCTGCAATGTACAGAACGGGTATATATATATCTGCACTGAGTCTCACAGTGAAGCGAGCATGCATTGTGAGCGTTGCTTTTTAATACTGAGTCAATGCAATGTACGGTTGACGCACCACAGCTACAGGCGATCCCTCCGCTCTGTCGGGGCGATTAAACAATCCGTGCATTCGATATCGCGTCGTCGAGATGTCTCGAAAGCCTTGTTGGCCGGCGCGCTCGACTCTCAAGCCAGAGGACCCGGGTTCATGCCCGGCCGGCCAGGCGGGGCGAAACCTCAGGCGGGGTTCCTCGCTCCGCGCGCCCCTGTTTACCCCGTTGTTAGTCGATTTGACGCCACAACGTGATAAGGCGCTACATCAAATGCATTGATTATTGCAACCCGCTTCACCGTACACCGTTTTAAGGGGTTTGGCTGCGTATTTTGTAGGCAGTCGGTTTGCGCACAGCAAGTGCGTCCCACAAACAGCCGGGGATTGAGTGACCAAAATTATTATTGTTTTTGTTTCGAAGGGATTATTACCTCCGGCAAAGCGATCAAAATTAATTCAATTGTGAATTAAACTCTTAGTTTACAGAGCCTGGCGATTGGCTGCGAGAGTTGGGTAAGGAAGTGGGCTGCTATTTAGGGAATGACTCCGCTCACCCCCACACACACACACACACACATACGCCACCAACCCCCCATGTGGTTAATTTAAGGGGGTATTTTGCTGCCTAGAAAGTGCCCTCTCGCTCTCACTCTCTCTCCCAGTCAGTGTCGATGGGAAACGAGACCAATAGTAAACTAATGATCCTTTGCATTTGATTCAGCTTCTTATCACGTCTTCGAGACGTCTCAAAGCACTTCACAGGATACACTGTAAAGTGTAGTGACTGTGTATTTTGTGGGCGAAACTTGGCTGCCAATTGGCGCACAGCAGCGTCTCACGGACAAGTCGTGGACTTGAGCGACCAATTTATTATTATTTTATTCTATTTATTTGGGGGAGGGGCGTAGAGGGAGAGGGAGGGTTGGGTAAAATAAGGGCTCTTTCTAAACTTTGGTTTGACTGCGGGAGAAATGAAGCTTTTGTCTGTTTTGCGGTGATGACCGTGTACATATTTATATAAAAAATTTTTTAGAGCGAATTGTTTTAAATTATCCCCTCACGAGTGGGGCCTCGGGCTCCGGGTGTAAATACTCTTGAGCAACATCCAGGCCGGGCGGTACCTTTTCCTCCTTCTGTCATAGGCACTGTACAGTGTGTTCATATGTAGAAGTCTGTACTATATTTTTTAATATTTTACCACAGGAAACTTTGTACTAATTGCAAATAAAGCTTTGATACCTGTTGAACGAGTGGGTTTGTTCTGCGCCGGGACCTTACGCCGCCGCGCGAGGGGCGCAAACCAAATGCAAGTTGTGGTCAGAAAGGGTTATGTTACGAGGACAGGTTACATGCACACGGTCTCCTTCCCCTCGAGTTGAGGAGGTTTGAGGGGTGACCCGATTGAGGTGTTTGAAATGATAAACGGGTTCGATACGGAGAAAACATTTCCTCCGGTGGCGGATTTCCGAGCTCCGAGATCCAGTCACGTCGTCAAGAGCGAAGGGGATAGATGTTTATTGGGGTATTAAGGGATACGGGGTAAGGGCGGGTAATTGGGAGTTGAGGTTCAGATCAGCCACAATCTTATAGAATGGCGGGACCGGCTCGAGGGGTTTCTTCCCCAACAGCTTAGAACATCCTCGCGTGACGTTTGCTCTGTACGTGCGTTTGCTGTTGAGTTCAGCGCGCGCCGTTTGTGGACAACGTAAGCAACGGAGACGCGTCGGATCTTTTTCAATGGTTTATTTTGTACATCGAGGCAGCGTAAAAATAACCAGGACAGTGGGAGCTCTACCCAACCCTCTCGGTCCAACTCGTGCGGGACGGAGCAGAAGGAACTCCGTGCGGCGGTTATAAGAAAAACGAGACAAAGAGCTATGTATAGAAGTATTTTAATTTACAGTGGAATCAGTTGGTTTTAGTGTGATCAGACTTTATCGTATACACATGCAAGCGTTCGGTGACTGCATTGTTAACAATGTTCCTCTTCGGCTCTCACATCTCGGGCTGCGATTGTGGCAACCGCTGAACTCTGGACAAATTGGGAAGTGGGGGGTTAAGGAGAGGGGGACTTAAGAGAAGGCCATTTGATCTTTAGTGCAATGGATGAATTATAATTGAGCATCGACAGAAGAGGATAAACGTTACCGCGATAACAATAATCTGCGTTAGTCGTTACGCCCACAACCCATTCTGTATTTTACTGTAGTGACTGTCAGGGCAACACTGGCAAAGCAGCAATCTGTTCGGGAGAGAAGTTAATAATAATCCTTATAATTTAATATAGCGCCTTATCACACCGCCGACACGTCTCAAAGCGCTTCGCTGTAAAGTGAAGACTAATAATAATTTGGTCACTCAATCCACTACTGGGACACTGCGGTGCGCAATTGGCTGCCGTGTTTCGCCCACAAAATACAGTCGATTCACTTTACAGTACGTTCTGTGAAGCGCTTTGAGACGGCTCGAAGACGTGATGAGGCGTTGTTAGATTATTATTATTATTATTAGATTTGGTGGTCAAAGAGTTGTCAGGTCGATGTTGATGGCCACTTGAACAAATAAGTTGGCTTCACTATTTTACTCTCGCGAACCCCCCCCCCACCACCCACCCCCCCCAATCCATTTAAACGCATACAATAAGCCTCTTTTGCGTTCCAGAATACATTGTACCCCACCACGACGCTTCCAGAAATCTTTCCAACCACAAAAAAACTCCCCATTGAGAGCACTGTCTGAACAAGCAGCGGGAAAGCCTGGCCCAGACAGCGCTCTCAACGGCAGGTTGTCAGCTGGTTAGACTCCAGCAGTTACCCCCAACACATACTCTGGGGTCCCCCCAAGCCTTGGCTCTCGCCAACCTGCGCCTAATACTCTCCGGAATTAGGTAAGAAGGGGGGGGGGGGGGGGGGGGGTGTCCCTCCAGGGAGAGAGAGAGAGAGAGAGAGAGAGAGCGCATTCCATTCCAACCATCTATCTCTGGGATTTCCACGTGGAGGTGGGAGGTGGGGAATTCTCGGCTGAGGTTTGGAGACACTTAAGCGACGGTGACGGGTTTCCCCGGGCGTCAGACCACCAAAATACACGGGGAAAGGATTTTAATGAAGGCGGAAGTTTGAACCTAAAGTGATCTGTGTCTTGACGTTGTTTATTTCAAATTCTGACATTTAAAAAAAAAAGGAAAAATAATATCACATCTAAAGATGAAATAATTCCGCGGTTTAATGGTTAGTTATAAATATAGTGTATTCTGCTTTAGCTTCTGTTCCAGTTACTAATATGTTCACAGTCTTATACAGATACAAGAAACGCTATCTCTATATGTGTGTGTGTGCTGCGTATCTTGTACTGTGCCTGTACTGCTGTCCGGCCAAGCTTTCCCGCTGCTTGTCCAGGTGGACCCCCCCCTCCCCGTTAGTTAGTTAGTTAGTTAGTTAGGGCTTTGGCTGCAGAGTTACCGGGAGCTGAGGGGGAGGATTCCCTGCCCCCAGTGACTGGTCGGCCCTTCCAGGTCCTGCCGATGGATGAGCCGGGCCGGTCCGGGCCGCCGTGAGCGCCCAGGAATACTGCGGCCCCTCCTGGCTCAGGAGCCGGACTGGAGAGGGCTGACTCGCTGACTCCGAAAATCCACTTCGAAGAGATGACGCACAGAGAGAGAGAGAGAGAGAGGGAGAGAGAGAGCTGTTCCCCCACATGACCATCAGAGAGGGAAAACCTCAGTGCTCCCAGAGATTGAATCACGTCAAATGGGGTGGTGAGGGGAGGGGGAATGGGGGAAAGGGTGTGGAGACATTAAGACGATCAGAAGGCATTCCCGCAGCGAGGAAATTGAGCCACTCCACTCCCCTACCGTTACATCCAAATCTTTAGCACAGCCAAGCACAGAAAACTACAACAATCCTCGCATTTGTTACAGCGCCTCACCACGTCTTTCGAGACGACTCAAAGCGCTTCACAGGATATAAAGTGCAGAGACTGTGTATGTTATGGGCCAAACGCGGGCGGCCAATTGCGCCCAGCGACGTCCCCACAAACAGCCGCGGGTTGAGTGACCAAGTTATTGGCTCGACTGCGTAACTGGGCGAAGCTTCGCTGCTTTGTAAAGACCCCCCCACCCGCCCCCCCACCACCACCACCACCAGCAGCAGCTGGTCATGTTTTGTTGAGGGTCCACAGGGGGTCGAGCAGGTTGAGGGGGTCTGCGCTGGCCGGGCGAGGCTGCAGACTCTGGCCGCTGGGGGGCTGCAGGAAGTTCTCCTTGCTGATCTTCTGCCTGTTCCTGGGGTTGGAGTCCATAGCGAAGGCCTCTGCGGTGAGCGAGGCCAGGAGGTCCAGCGAGGAGGCCCTGCTGTTGTCCCCCTCCTCACCGCCGGGGCCCTGGGGGGCTAGCGGGGGGGTCTCGGGCCCCCTGGCCTCCGCGGGAGGCGGGTCTGGGACGCTGGTGGAGGCAGTAGGGGCGGTGGTCAGCTCCTGCGCTGTCCCCTCGGCGCTCAGTGGGTCAGTGCTCGGCCAGTCCAGCCACGTAGCGGGGCCCGGCTCCAGGGTAGGTCTGACCTCCCCTCCCAGGGCTCTGACTTCTCCCCCCGCGCCCCCCGGCCCCCCCGCCGCTGCAGACCTGATGCTCAGCTTGGCGATGGTGGCCTGGATGGAACTGATGGGCAAATCTCCTCCCAGCACCAAGTCCTGGGATTCCTGACGAGCGTAAACCTGAAACAACAACACGTTACACCTACACAGAGCCTCTCATGTCGGGAGGACGTCCCACAGCGCGGGACAAGTCAGGGATTTGGACCCGACTCAGCGTGGGTGGGTGGGTGGGTGGGTGGGTGGGTGGGTGGGTGAGTGGAGCAGTGAGAGTGAGCTGGTACCTTCTGAGCTGAGCTGCCGGTGGCTTTGCTGGTCGCTGTCGTGACTCCGTGCCTCTGTAGCACTTGCTCCACGTGTTTCAGCAACACCTCGTAACAGAACTTCAGGTGGAGCTGCCGGTCAGGAAACACAGCGGCCGTGACGAGAACATTCCCTTCACACCCCGTCGCCTCCCTCCCTCCCTCCCCCCCACCACCCACCACCCACCGCTTACCCACCAACCCACCACCCGCTGCCTCCGCTCGACCGGCTCCGGCCTCCTGCTCGTCCCTCGTGTCCTCCGCTCCACCATTGGTGGCCGGGCTTTCAGCCACTACCCTCCATCACTCTGGAACCCTCTCCCTCTGGTCCCTCCGCCTCGCTCCAATCCTTCCCCATCTTCCGGTCGCGCCTGAAGACCTTCCTATTCGACCAGTGCCTACGGTCACCTCCCCCCTCCCCCCACCCCCGGCTCGGCAGGTGAGGATCTTGAATTTGATCCGTTGGGTGATTGGGAGCTGGTGGAGCCCGGCGAGCGAGGGGTGGAGGGAGGGAGGGAGGGAGGGAGTGAGCGAGGGAGGGAGTGAGTGAGTAAGTGAGCGAGGGAGCGAGTGAGCAAGGGAGTGAGGGAGGGAGGGAGCAAGGGAGTGAAGGAGGGAGGGAGCAAGGGAGTGAGTAAGCGAGCGAGGGAGTGAGGTGAGTGAGGTGAGTGAGCGAGGGAGCAAGGGAGTGAGTGAGTGAGTGAGTGAGCAAGGGAGTGAGGGAGGGAGGGAGGGAGCGCCGCTCACCTTCTCGTAAAGCATGTGTTTGCGTTGCTGTCTCATCTTCCTGATGATCCGGAGCAGGTCCGGGATCCCGTTCCCGGCCTCCACCTCCTGCAGCGCTGCGTACAGCAGACAGAAGCCCCCCGTCCTCCCCACCCCAGAGCTGCCAACACACAGCACACAGTCAGTTCATCATCATCATCTCAACTTCCCTCTGCATCACACACGCACACACACGCACACACACACACGCACGCACACGCACGCACACGAAACTCCAGTTTAAACAGCTTTACACAGAGGCCACAGGGAGGCAATCGACGAAGGAAGGAAAGCTCACCTGCAGTGAACGACGATGGGCGTATGGAGGGGTCGCTGGTGGAGATAATGTGCGTGAACCTCCTGGATAAACCGCAGCAAGTTACTCTTGCTGTCAGGCAGCCCCCTGGGGGAGGGAGGGAAGGAGAGGAGACACACGTCATCACACAGCGATGGGATTTGGGCCATAACCCACACCAATATCACAGCGAATAACAGACTCAACAACTTGAGTCTGACATGAGGTCCCGGAGCACTCGACAGTGGCGGAGTCTGACCCCGAGCCGGGGGGAGAGAGAGGGGGGGGGGAACCGTAAGCACCATCAAAAAGGAAGGTCTTCAGGTGGGTTTTGTAGGTGGGGCGGGAGTGGGGGGATTGAGGGAGAGAGTTACAGTATTTCGGGGCGTATCGCCTGAAGGAATGGCCACCGATGGTTGAGCGGAGGGGAACGAGGAACGAACAGGAGCCAGGAGCGGAGGCAGCGGGTGGGGGAGTGGTGGGGCGGGTAAGCAGGTCAGAGAGGGAGGGAGGGAGGGAGGTGCCGGGGCGCGAAGGGGTTTGAAATCGAGTGAGAGGGTCTTGCTCACAGCTCGGGCCACGAGGTGAACTGAAGGTGGATGATGGTGCGTTTGAGGCTCTGCTCCCGGTACTGGAGCCCGATCATACGCTCCACGTGTGTTTGCGTGATCTTCTGGGTGGTCAGCGTCAGCGTGATGGGTCCGTGTACCAGCTGCTGCCCCCGCTCCGTGGGCAAGTGACGGATCACCTTTTGCTGGAACAGAGGAACAATACAATGAGGCAAACCTCCAATAACTCCCCCACTGGAGCTCTAACCCCATTCCCTGCTCTCTCTCTCTCTCTCTCTCCCCCTCTCTCCCCATCGTGTCTGTGCTATCCTCACGCAGGGTAGCGTCCCGGAGCGCTTGACAGTGGGTGGTGGAGGGGTGGAAGGGGGGTGTGTGTGTGGGTGGGGAGATGGAGGAGGTGACTGTAGACACGGTTGAAGAGGAAGGCGTGACTCGAAGATGGGGCGGAGGAGGAAGAGGAGGCAAGGCGGTGGATTGGAGGAAGAGAGTTCCAGGCTTTTGGAGCATAGTGGCTGAAGGTGGAACAGAGGGGCTCGAGGACAAATGGGGCGTGGGGGGGGGGGGCGGGGGTGAAGGACCGGAGCCAGCCAAGCGGAGGCAGCGGGTGTTGGAGTGTGGGGGGGAGGGGTGTACGCAGGTCGGGGAGGTGCCGAGGTGCGAAGGCGAGCGTGTGAGGAACACGGTGATGGCTCACCTTCTCCACCTCCTGCTCGGAGACCAGCATGACCACCAGCGAGACCTTCTGCTCGTGCACCATGAGCCAGAAGTCAGCGGCGGTGCCCGGCAGCGGGGCCTGGGTGGCGATGAACCGCGGGCAGTAGGGCGAGAGCTCCTCGATCGTGCTGGCGTTGATGTAGTCGTCCTTGCCCGTCTCCAGCACCACGCGGTTCTTGTCGTAGGGCATGACGTCCTGGTTCCGGTTCTTCATGGCGTAGCAGCGGGCGATGGCGATGGACAGCTGCCGGGCGTCTCGCTCCTGCCCGTCCTGGAGGTCCTTCCACTTGCAGTCCAGCTCGGTCAGGCTGCCGCACGCCGGTCTCTCCAGAGACTGCACCGCGGCTCGGAAGCTGCCCAGCTCCGTCAGCAGCCTCCGCACGTGCTCCGGCTTCTCGTACGGATCCTCCTCGATGATCTGGATCCCTCTGGGCTTCTCCTTGCAGTCGGCCTTGGTGGGCAGGAGCAGGGGCTGCGTCACGCTGGCCTGCGGGCCCCCGTGGGGGGTCTCGGGGCTGGAGGACAGCAGGTCGTCGGTGGAGGAGTTCTGCCGCTTGAAGCCCGGCTCGTGAGGGGGTGCGATCGTCCCGGGGTGAGGGGGGCGCTGAGTCATAGCGGTGGGCATCATGGGGGCGGGCTGGGGGGACGGTGCGGGGGTTGGGGGTAAGGGAGACCCCGGCCCCAAAGCCGGCGGCTGAATCTGACCCACGACGGAGCTGGGCACGGGAGCCGGGAGGGGGGCGGGCGAGGGCGGGGGCACCGGGCTGGGGTGAAGCGGCGGCGGCGGCGGGGGGACGGCAAAAGGCACGGACGCCGGCGTCACGGGCACGGCTTCCCCCGGGGCCGGTGGTTGCACGGCGCCCACCGGGTAGCCGAGCGGCATCGGGGGGTGAGCCGGGAGCGGGTACGGGTGAGGTCTGGGCTGGTGAGGCTGCAGGGCAGGGGGTGGGGGGGCTCGGACCTGCATGTGGGGCAGGAACTGGCCCGGGTAAGGCTGCCGGGGGGGCCCGGGCACGGGGGCTCGGATGTGGCCGGGGTGTTGGAACATGGGCTGCGGCTGCTGGTGAGGAGCGGGGAAGGCGAAGTGTGGGGGCGTCTGGTGGCTGTAGGGCTGAGGGGGGCCGGGGTGGGGGTAGGGGTACTGCCCCACCGGGGGTCCGTACATCGTCTGCCTGTGCAGCTGGTGAGGGTCCGGGGTGAAGCTGGATATTGGGGTTTGGACGCTGTCTACGGTGGTGGTGGACGGACGGATTCCCGGGCCTTGTTGGGAGGCCACGTTGGCTCCTGGCATCTGGCCGGCAAACTGCCCTGCGGGGGGTGGGGGGTAGGCGAGGGCAGGCCTGACCATGTGGAGGTTGGCGTTGACCGGCAGGGGCATGGGCATGGCAGAGGAAACCGGCTGACCTGTGCCGTAGGCCGTGGGCGGTCCCACGGGCGGGCAGGCAGGACCGTAATGGTGCCCTGCCCCCGGTGCGGGTGTGGCCCCGTGTTGGGGTGACCCCCCGGCCCTGGCCTGGAAGTGGGGCGGGGCCGGGGCCGGGTAGGAAGGCGGGGGCGAGGAGGGGCTGTGCGGATGAGGGAGCTGAGGGCAGGACACGGAGGGGCCCATTCGGTGGGGGGGCAAGCCGGCGCCCGCCGTGGCCGCGGACGGGGGGCCCGAATGGCTGACCCCCAGATACTGGGGTCCCAGGGCGGGGTTGGGGGCCGAGCCGTGCGGGGGGCGGAAGTAGACGGGAGAGTAGCCGGGCTCCATGGCCATCGGCCGCTGACCCTGGCGATGAGCGGGCAGATAGGCCTCCGGTCCAGGGGGTCTCTGGCCCAGGAAGCCCCCCGGCTCCGCGGGGTAAAGCCCCATGCCGTTCACAGCCACCGCGTTGAGCTGAGCGGCCAGTACATCGGGCGGAAGGCTCTTTAAGTCCTCTGGGAGGTCGCTGTAGGACAAGGCCGCGTGGAGCTGCTGCAGGTCTAGATCCTCCGCGCTGGACAGGGACTCGCGGTCTGCCTCGGAGGCTTTAGCCACAGGTTTGGGGGCCGTGGGCCGAGGTGGGGGCTTCTTCGCAATCTCTCTGTAAAACAATCATCGTAATCAATCAATAATAATAACCCTCGCATTCGATACAGCGCCTGAGTCTCAAAGAGTCTCTCGGGATGTACTGTGAAGCGAAGTGACTGTGTATTTTCTGGGCAAACACGGCAGCTAATTATCCCAGCGCATCAGACAGAAACTCCCTTCTCCTTCCCAACAGAGCCATGGCATCTTTCAAGTCCACCTGAACAAGGCGCACACCTTTGTTTTAACGTCTCATCTGAAGGACGGCGCTGGGGACAATGCAATCCTTCTTCTCAGGCACGGCATTGGGAGCGTCAGCATAGACACAAGTCTTCCCGTGGGGTTTGAACTCACTCAGAAGTGAGAGCTTCAACCGCTGAGCCCGGGTGACAATCCCCCTCCCCTTCCCGCCAGAGGATAAGAGGTCAAAATCCTCATCCGTGCCTTCAAAGCTCTCACAGCCTTGCTCCTTCCTACCTCTGCTAACCCCAGATCAACCTGTCCACTCCCTCCGCTCAGCAGGCTCCAAGTCTATGACTGTCCCGTGCCTTGGGACGTCCTCCTGACATGTAATGGGCTGCGTAAACGTAACGTGTTGTTGTTGTTGAGAACTGGAAAGGCTGACAGATAGATAGATAGATAGAAGCCAATCCAGATTCCCCTTGAAGTAAGCTGAGGTTTGGATGTACCTTTCCAGTATCTGCTGCCTTTGCTCCTCCTGAGATTTACAGATGTCTCTGGCCTTTTCCAGAAGTCTGGTCACTTTACCCTCCAGATCTGCGTAGAACTCTTTGCCTTCCTGAGATTTCTTCATCAGGTCTTCGTAAGCCTCGAACGAGGCAACTAACATCTGGACGATCGAGTTCCACCTGGGGGAGAGGGAGAGGGTCGGGTTGTGGGGGTGAGGGGTGGAGAGAGACAGCAGGTTAGGCATTCATTCATCTGGAAACCCATAGCAGAGTAGTTACGAGCACTCGCCTCGCAAGCAAGAGGAACCTGGGTTCGATTCCTGACTCCACACGTCTCTGCACTAAGTGGGAACTCGGTTGTTAAGTCGATTGGCGGGTCGCTCTACGGGCGGAACAATTCCTTCAGGAAAACTCAGAATAATTTGGTCGCTCCATCCACAGTGCCGCATTTCATAAACAGGGGCGTGTGGAGTAAGAAACCGAGTTGCCCCCCCAACCCCCAAAATGTGGCCACTTGGCTCGACCGTTGGTGGGACTCTGCTGAGCTCAACTGCCCACAAGACACACACAGCAATATACTTGACAGCGAGTTCTGTGAAGCCTTTCGAGACGTCTCGATGACGTGATAAGCCGCTATACCAAAGGCAAGGAGTATTATTTTTCTCCCGATGAAGGGACTCACTTGTGTTCGGCTTCGGACAGGGCTTTCCTGACGGCTGCGTACTTGACGTTGGCCTCGGTCAGGGCTCTCAGTACGTTCTCTTGCGCAGACAGATTCTGGTCAATGTACACCTTCAGCTGGTCGTACTTCTTCAGCTGTTCCTCAAACAGTTTCTGCAAGATTGTTTTTACACACACGCACAAACACCCCCCACCCCCCAAAACACACACAAACACACCCCCAAAACACACACAAATACAAACACACCCCCAAAACACACAAACAAACCCCCAAAACACAAACACACCCCCAAAACACAAACACACCCCCAAAACACACAAACACACCCCCAAAACACACACACACACACCCAAAACACACACAAACACACCCCCAAAACACAAACACACCCCCAAAACACACAAACACACCCCCAAAACACACAAACACACCCCCAAAACACACACACACCCCCAAAACACACACACACACCCCCAAAACACACCCCCAAAACACACCCCCAAAACACACACACACCCAAAACACACACAAACCCCCAAAACACACACACAAACCCCCAAAACACACACAAACACACACCAAAACAACACACAAACCCCCAAAACACACACAAACACACACATAAAAATGTTAGCTGTGTGCAATTGGCTGCCACGTTTGGCCCACAAAATACGCAGTCACTGCACTTTACAGTGTGCCCCGCGAAGCGCTTTGTGAGACAGCTCGACCACGCGACGAGGCGCTGTGTCAAAATGAATTACTCAAACGTTATGATTAATATTTCCTCGAGGCGCAGCGCCGAGCGAATTATCCCGGGAGACGGAAACGTTCCCACCTTCATCTCTGAATGGTCGGTGGTGACTAAGGTGGTGGTGATGTCGTCTTTCTGGATGGTGTCTCGTAGCTGCTGCTCGAGTGACGTCCGCTGGTCTCTCATCTCTTCCACCTTGGCCAGCAGGCGCTTCATGTTGTGAAGGACGCCTTTCTCCTCTGCAGAGACACGGGTCGCTGAGCAACGCGGGGATTCGCACGACAGGCCATCCCGGGATTCCAACCCGGGTCCTCTCGCTTGCGAGGCGAGCGTAGGTAACCACTACACCACAGGACTCCTATAAATGACTAGCCCCCACTCTCCCCCACCCCCCAGCCCCGCCCCACACACACACACACACGCACACACACACACACAGACATTATAAATGACTGACAGACACACACAATAAATGAGTAACTCACAAGTAGATGTTTATAAATGACTGACACACACACACACACACTCTCCCCCATCCCACACACAAACTATGAATGACTGACCCATGCACACAAACGCATTAGAAGTGACTAACACCCGCCCCCACCGCCCCCCACGCGCGCGCTGTACCTTCAGACACGACGGGAGTGGGCAGTGCCGCACGGAGCTGCTCTAAGGGCCCGCTGAGCAGCCGCAGGTTACTGATGTGCTGGTTCATGGCCTTGTGGAGCTCGGTGTTGGTGAAGCTGGCTTTCTCGTGCACCTCCATGTACCTGGCCCACTCCTTGCTCAGCTCCGCGGCTCCGCCGGGCGCCGGACGTTTCCCGAACAGCTCCTGAAGTTTCTGCTCTGACAATTCGTCCTGGTCGATAAGCTCTTTCAGTTCCCGGAGCGAGGCTTCCACATCAGTGTACACCCCGGAGAGGACTGGAGAGAGAGAGAGGGGGGGATTGGAATCATCTTAGAGAGATAATTATGAGGACAGATTGCATACACTTTTTTGCTCAGAAGGTTGAGGGATGATCCGATTGAGAAACTATTTCCTCTGGTCACATCAGTGAGGTGAAGGGACTGTGAGATGGTTATTATTAGCCCCGGAAAAGCGATCCCCCAATCGACTAACAATCGGGTTCCTACTTACTGTTGGGTAAACAGAGGCGTGTGCGCGGAGTAAGGAAACTTGCCTGAGGCTTCACCCTGATCAGCCGGGAATCGAACCCGGGTCCTCTCGCTTGCAAGGCGACTGCGCTAACCATCGGGTACCCTAATTCAGGGAAGGGCTCAATGCCTATAAAGAATGAGCTCCATGTGCTGGTGGTGGTTATTTTACTGCCTGATGACAACAAAGGTACGATTGATGAGTCAGAGGTTGGTTGGTGGGTTGTGCACTTTCACATTAACTTCATTACAAGTGGCTGCTATCGTGCGTAATTGAAGTGTGATTCATGTTTGTTATCTCATGGTCCTGTTTGTTGATATTTATCGTGTCGTTTAAGATTTATTGCTGAAGGTTGTGGATTTCACTGAAGCTACAATAAAATTCTGTTGAGCTAACTTAACCGTGCTTAACTCGAGCTTTCTGTATAAATCAAAGGAGGGAACACGCAAACCGATTCGGCCTGGGTCACAGCCTGATTGACAGAAGCTTCCCAATTTACTTTAATTTAAATAGCAATTGGTAGTATCTGCCGTCGTGGGAGAATTCATTCGTCAAGTTACACCTACTTATAGGGACTTGCATTGATTAGTGAGGATTGAACACAGAGGCCACCCAGTACTCTTGTGAGGGAGAGCGAGACATATCGTGGGTGACAGAACCCTCTCACCCTTCAGGACTCCAAAATGTGGTGGTTAGAAAATCCAACAACCGGGTTCCTCCTGACTGTCAGGTAAACAGGCGTTAAAGCCAGCAGACTACCTTGCATGGACTGGATGAGATTCTTGACGGTATCTGGTCGGACACTGAGTGCCGCGCACTTTTCCATCAGGACGGGTGGGATGTGACTGTACTGGTTTAAATTGTCCACCGTTTCCACGTCGATCCGCAGCGAGTCCATGAACTGCCTGCGGGAGAGAGAGAGAGAGAGAGACATCTAGCCGTGTTTAATGTGGAATAGAGGTGTTTACAATTACGGGCGGGTTGGTAACCAGAGGGCACAGATTTAAGATAATTGGCAAAAGAACCAGAGCGGATGGGGAGACAGACTCGATAGTAGCTTTCGAAAGAGAATTGGATATTTACTTGAAAAGGAAAAATTTGTAAGGTTAAGAGTGGGGGGAGTGGGACTGGCCGGTAGCTCTTTCAAAGCGTCTGCACAGGCGCAATGGGCTGAATGGCCTCCTTCTGCGCTGTAAGATTCAATAATTCTATGATCCATGGAACCGTAGACATTTACAGTACAGAAGGGTGTTCGGTGCCTCATGTCTGTGCAGCCTCCTTTAAGAATATCTCTTCAGTCCCATTTACCTGCCCTTTCACCACAACAATAATAATCCTTGCATTCGATACTGGGCCTTATCAGGCCGTTGAGACGTCTCAAATCTGCTTCGCAGAATGTAAAGTGGATCGACTGTGTATTTTGTGGGCGAAGCACGGCAGCAAATTGTGCACAGCAGCGTCCCCACAAACAGTCGTGGGGTAAGTGAGCAAATTATTATTATTTTTGAAGGGATTATTACTCGGTGAAGCGATCCGCCAATCGACTAACAACCAGGTTCCTATATACTGATGGGTTAAACAGAGCCGGGGGGGGAGTGGGAGGTGACAGTAAGGGATGGAGTTCCAGATGGTGGGGGCAGAATGGCGAAGTAAATAGAAGAAGAGAGGGATGGAGGGAGGGAGGGATGTATAAAAAAAAAGGTCCATTTCAAGAACTAGCCATCGAAAGGAGACTGGAGCTGCGTGAGGCGAGGAGGCAGGTGGAGGAGTGAGGTGTGAGCAGGTGGGAGGGGCAGGGCGTGGAGTTATCCATTAGGACTTTACGTTGAACCGAATACCTACTCTAGGGCTTCGTTTTTGCTTTCGATTTTCGACACCACCTCTCGCAAGAGCTTTGCCTTTTCTTCACTGGAAAAAGAGGAGAAAAATGAGCGAATTAATACGATCCCCGTGTTTGATGCAGCGCTCTCCCAACATCGACACATCTCAAAGAGAGGAGAAGGTGAGAGAGAGTGGGAGCGACGCTTCGCTGAATTGCAAGACGGCACTCAAATTCCTGAGACGAAGCAACATATGTGGCCTGAATTGAGATATGAACCCTGAGAAACCCTTCGACGTTTAAACCACTTTGAAAAGATTAGGCGCTGAAGCATAAACATTGATTGGTTCGGCCGAAGAGCAGAGGAACAACAACAAAACGAAGAACACTTACACGGCGCCTTTCGCATCAGGGTAGGAGGGTGACCAGAGGCGCAGTCGAAGAGGAAGATCGTGAGACGGGTTTTGAAGGAGGTGAGGGAGGGAGCGATGTGGAGGGACTGTGGGATGGAGTTCCAAAGGGTGGGGGCAGAGAGACTGAAAACCGGCCGACGATGGTGGGGCGGGCTGGGCGGGGGATGTGGAGCAGGCCGGAGCGGAAGGATTGGACAAGACGATATGGGGCCAGCAGGTCACAGAGGCAGGGAAGGAGCAAGGCCGTGGAGGGCTTTGAAGGCGAAGCCGAGGATGAGGAAGGCTGATGGTCTGACCTGTACAGCGATGAGGCCTCGTGAGCTTCCATAGGCACCAGTTTGGAAAAGATGTCCGTGCCGGTCACACTGGGGTCGGTGGGATTAACGGGGAGAGCCTTCACCAGAGACGCTCCTGTAAGAACAGCGGGGACTGGGTCAGAGCTCGCAACCTGTAACGTTTCCAACACATTAACACCAGAGATAAACCTCCCACAAAATAATAATAATAATAATCTTTGCATTCGATACAGCGCCTTATCGCATCATCGAGACGTCTCAAAGCGCTTCACAGGATATACTGCAAAGTGCAGTGACTGTATACTTGTGGGCGAAACGCGGCAGCCAATTGCGCACAGCAGCGTCCCCACAAACAGCCGTGGATCGAATGGCCGAATTTATTTATTTTTCTGAAGGGATGATTTCCCGGGAAAAGCGATCCGCCAATCGACTAACAGCCGAGTTCCAGGCAACTTGCCTAAGGTTTCGTCCTACGCGGAAATCAAACCCAGGCACTCTAACCTCTGAGCTACGGGATGCCACTGGTAAAGTGCTTTAAGACGTCCTCTCGGCACGAAAGATACTGCATCAAATGGAAGGATTATATTTGCATAATTGATCCCAATGTTAAAAGCAATCATTAAGAATCCTTGCATCTGATACAGCGAACACTGTGCATTTTGTGGGCAAACAAATCAATTTGCATACAGCACCGTCCCACAAACAACAACAAATGACATTTACGCAGCGTCTTTCACGTCAGGAGGACGTCCCAAAGCTCTGGACAGTCAAGGACCCGCACCCCAGCTGGGGGTTGGGATCAGGAGGGGTGGAGGCTGGGGGTAGGAGGGGTGACAGAAGGCGCGATCGAAAGGTGTTGAGATAGACCTTGAAGGAGGCAAGGATGGGAGCGAAGGGACTGTGGGATGGGAGTAACAAAGGGTGGGGGCAGAGAAGCTGAAGGTTGACCGGCGATGGTAGGGTGAGCCGGGCGGGGGACATGGAGCGGGCCGGAGCCCGCTGAGCGGAGGGAACGGACAGGTATACGTGGAGTTAGCAGGTCACAGGGGTCTTGTTGTTGTTGTAGGGAGGAGTAAGGCCACGGAGGGCTTTGATGGCGAGGAAGGGGATATTGAACTCTATCCTCCGGGGGAATGTGGAGCCGGTGGAGCCGGGCGAGGGTGGGGTGGGGGGTGGTGGGTGATAGGGTCACGGAGACTGGTGCAACATCAATTGCTGCCCGTTGGATCATTAATATCTGGAGGCGAGGACGTAAACCTTGCCTTTCACAGTCTGAAGCGAATCGAGAGGTGGAACAGCCTCGTGGTAGATGAAATCATTGTCCTTCTTTGCCGAGTTGTACCTAAACAGGACGGACACACAGGAAAGAGGAGATCAGTAAATAGTCAAGACAGAAAGAACGGCAGCAAGAGACTCACAACACACTTTTATAACCATCCTCGCAGTTCTCCTGATTAATCCCCATTGAAACGAAGGAACGAAACACCTCCGTTACCGCTTTATCACGTCGAAACATTTTTAAAGAGTATTTCTGACGATTGCTTTTGATCTCGAGCCTTGTCGTGTCGTGGCGACGTCTCAAAAGCCTTTCCCAGAAGATACCGTAAAGCGGATTGACTTGTGTGTTTCGCGGGCGAAGCACGGCAGCCAATTGCACGCGGCAGTGTCGCACAAACAGTCGTGGATTGAGAGTTTTACCCCCGGAAAGCGCTTCGAGACGTCTCAATGACACGATAAAGCTCTATATCAAATACAAGTATTATTATTTTCATTCAGTTAGTGCAGTAACCTCATACCTAATCTAGAAACTCCACACTAAAAACATCCCCCTCCCTCTAGATCTCTCTCTCTCTCTCTCTCTCTCTCTCTCAAGACCAAGTGTTAAAAGATCTGAATGGTAAAAGGTTAACACGTATTTCCAGGTTATAATATGATAATAACCCTCGCATTTGACACAGCGCCTCAGCACGTCTTCGAGACGTCTCCAAGCGCCTCACCGGATATACTGTAAAGTGTAGTGACTGAGTGCTCTGTGGGCGAAACGCGGCAGCAGGTTGCGCACAGCAGCGGTTACTCACTTCCCTCCGATGACGTCCATGGTAAAGCGCAGGGCCTCCTGCACGTTGTCTGTCTGCCCCTGCAATCACACGAGGGTTAGTGACAAGATCCATTCGGGTGAAAGAAGACCCTTTGGCCCATCTGATCTCATCACCTCCAGGACACCCCCCCACACCCCCACTCCCGCCTCCCACCACCACAGCACCCGGCTGCTTTTTATACTAATCGTTGCATTTGATACAGAGCCTTATCCCGCCTTTGAGGCGTCTCAAAGCGCTTCACTGTAAAGTAGTGACTGTGTGTTTTGTGGGCGAAACGCGGCAGCCGAATGTGCACTGCAGCGTCCCACAGTCGTGGATTGAGTGATCACATTATTATTATTATTTTTAAGATACTCTTAGCCCCAGAAAAGCGATCCTCTAATCGACTTACAACCAGGTTCCTACTTACTGCTAAACAGAGGTGTGTGGGGTAAGGAATTTTGTAAGGTTTCGTCCCGCCTGGGAATCGAACCCAGGTCCTCTCGCTTACGAGGCGAGCGCTCTAACCACTAAGCTACGAGGCCTGAGGAGAAGCTCCCTAGTCTTTTGCTGGGTCTATAACCGTCAGCGCGAAGGAAAGGCGGCTAAAGGAAAGTAGAGAATAAATGGTACCTTGGCATACTTGACAGCTTCGTTCAGTTTGTCCAGGGCGCTTTGAAAGTAAGCGAGCTGCAGCGAAGGAGCAGTGACCGTGGGATTACGACAAAAAAACACAACTCGGGTTAGAGACAGAGCCAAGACTCGGAGAGAGACCGAGAGCAGAGATTCAAGCGACACTCTTGTAGAATTCCCTGCGCCCAACAACACGTTACATTTGCACAGCGCGTTTCCTGAACAGGGATTGCGATCAGGAAGGGTGGAAGAAGAAGGTCTTGAGATGCGCCTTGAAGGAGGCAAGGCGAAGGTCCTGTGGGATGGAGTGCCAAAGGGTGGGGCCGGAGACTGCTGAGCGGAGGGAGCGGACGGGTTGATATGGGGTTAGCGGGTCACAGAGGTAGGGAGGAGCGAGAGGCCGTGGAGAGCCATGAAGGCAACGATGAGTATTTTGAATTCTATCCCCTGGGGGAATGGGGAGCCAGTGAGAGCCGGGCAAGGGTGGGGGGGAGATAGGATCACGGAGCCTGGTGTAGTTCACAGTGGACGTCATCGGAGGGTAGTAGACACACAGTGCTTGGTGTAGTTCTCTCCTCTTTCCCCCATCCCAGTTAAAACTATTCCCCCCCCCCGTAAAACAATAAAATTAAGATTAAAATTCACTCACCCTTTCCCCATACTTCTGTTGTTCTTCCGCCTGCTTGCCCAAGTGTAGCTGTAACACACAGCAGAGTATCGAGAGAGGACTAACACAGCTTTCAGCGTAGACTAATAATAATCTTTACATTTAACATAGGAGCGTCAAAAGACACTGACATTTGTCGGTCAGGACGCCAGGAGAAACTTTCCTCTCTTTTCAAGTAGTCGGGCCTTCAGCCTCTCCGACCCCACCCTTTGGAATTCCATCCCACAGTCCCTGAGCCATCCCCAGTCCCTGAGCCGGGCTGACACATACACACACGCGCTGAGCCGGGGCTGACACATACACACATGCGCTGAGCCGGGGCTGACACATACACACACGCGATGAGCCAGGGCTAACACATACACACACGCAATGAGCCGGGGCTGACACATACACACGCGCGCTGAGCCGGGGCTGACACATACACACACGCACTGAGCCGGGGCTGACACACGAAGGAGAGCCTGGAGTGAGAGCAGCCTAATTGGGATTCCCATCCCGGACACTCACATGTGCCACAGCGGCATAGTAATAAATCTTCATCTGCACCAACTTCTTCCAGTCCTTCTGAAATTTCCCGATGAGCGAAGCAGTCTCGGAGTTTTCCAGGGCACGGCAGGCTTCCTTGTAATAATCCACGACCTGTCCCACAAGAGCAAATGGCTTTACTGGAACGCACTGCCTGAAAAGGCTGGTGTTGCTGGATTGGGTAGTAGCTTTCAAAAGGGAATTGGATAGGCACCGTGGAAAGGAAAATGTTTTGCAGAGCTGTGGGGTTAGTAAGAGCGGAAGAGTGGGAATAGTTGGATAGCCCTGTAAAAGAGCCGGCAGAGGCATGATGGGCCAAATGGCCTCTTTCTGTGCTGTAAGATTCTATGATTCTACAGCAAATTATCAGGACGCTAATGTCTCCAAGTGCTTCAATGTAATTATAGCCAAGTGTGGTAATCATTTGTGCAAACAGCCCAGCAGCAACACATTGTATTTATATAACGCCTTTCCCATCAGGAAGACACCCCAAGGTGCTGGACAGTCGAGGGTTTGCAGCCAAGCTGGGAGTTTAATTCGGGAGGGGCGGGCGGAGGAAGAGGACCTTGAAGGAGGACGGGAGGGGGTGAGGTAGAGAGGCTCTGGGATGGAGTTCCAGAGGGAAGGGGCAGGCAGGCGGATGCCCGACTGCTGATGGAGGAGCAGGCCGGAGGGTATCAATACTCTTTCCGGAGGGAATGTTCCCTCAAACAAAAAAATTGAGTCACTGAATCCAATGAGTGTTTGTGAGACATCGCTGTGTGCAATTGGTTGTCTCGTTTCACCCATAAAATGTACAGTATTTTTTTTTTACAACATATGCTGTGAAGCGCTTTGAGACGTCTCAATGACATGACTGTATCGAATGCAATGATTATTATTATTTCTGACAGGAGACAACAACAAATACAAATAACACTTTAGTAGCGCCTTTCATGTCGGGAGGATGGCCTAAGGCGCCTGGCTGCCATATGAATTGCCGCTCACTAACCTGGGCACTAATCCTTGCCACCAGGAAGCTTTTCCTGTTGTCCAGCATAGACTTTTCCAGGAGACACTCTTGTGCTTGTCCCTAAAATAATCAGCGTGATGAAGAATTTAATACAATAACAACTTGCATTTACACAGCACCCCTCATGCAAGGTAGCGTCCCAGAGCGCTTGATAATGGTGGAGCACGGCATCGAGCTGGGGAGAGGTAACCATAGGCACGGTCGAAGAGGGAGGGGAGAGAGGGAGGGTTGAGAGAGGTTTGGGAAAGAGAAAGACAGATGGGGAGAGAGCGAGAGAGGTGGGGGTGAGAGAAGGTTGCGTGGGAAAGGGGGAGAGATAAAGAGACGAGAGAGGGGAGTGACGTGGGGAGTGGTAGAAAGGGAGTTAATAGAGAGGTGGGGAGGGAGAGTAAGGGGGAGGAATGAAGAGCAGGGTTAGGAAGGAGGGAGAGAGAGAGAGAACGGGAGAGTGAGGTGGCGAAGGGGGGCTTGAGAGAGCAAAAGAGGGACGGGCATATACATTTGATATCCAAGCTGTTTCCACAACTAAATTTACAGGATACACTGTAAAGTGGTGACTGTATTGTGTGTCACCCACAAAATACGCAGACAATCCACTTTACGACATATCCTGTGAAGCGCTTTGAGGCGTCTCGAAGACGTGATGAGGCGCTGTATCAAATGCAAAGATTATTTATTATGGTTATTAATGACGAGACGGATGCAGTCTGGAGCCCGGTCTGTGTGTCTGTGGGAGCCATCGAGAGTGGGGGTCTCACCAGCATGAGGTTGATGTTGAGGTTTAGGATCTGATGGCTCATGTCCATGCTGTACGAGTGGCTGAAGTGATCTCGCAGGTAGGAGAAAGCTCCGGCTGAACACTGGAAGTGCGTGCAGGAAACCTTCATCCCCTGGGAAAACAACAACAACAACAACTTGTGTTTACACAGCAACCCAGAGCAGTTGACAGTGGCGGAGCATGAGCCCGAGCTGGGGGAGAGGGAGGTGACCGTGGGCACCGTCGAACAGGAAGGTCTTCAGGCGTGACCTGAAGATGGGGAAGGACAGGGGCAACACGGAGGGATAGGGGAAGAGTGTACCAGAGTTTCGGGGCTTCAAACTTTGACCCCACAGCAAGAATCATTGTATTGGCACCCACCTCCTCTGTTACTCTGCTGTCCATTGCTCCGAGCATAGAGTGCAGGGCACCTGCGGGGAGCCAAACATCACCGATTCAGTAACAAAGGGATGAAAGAAAAAAAAGTCATTTGCCACCTGTCACGAGCTACTGATATCTGTAATTCAACAACAAATGACATTTACACAGCGCCTTTGACTTCGGGAGGACGTCCCAAGGCGCTGGACAGTCAGGGATTTAAACCCAAGCTGGGGTTTGGGATCAGGAGGGGTGGAGGGCGGGGAGGGTTGGAGTAGGAGGGTGACCGAAGGCACGGTAGAAGAGGAAGGTCTTGAAGACGGGCCTTGAAGGAGGCGAGGAAGGGCGAGAGATGAAGGTACTGTGGGATGGAGTTCCAAAAGGTGGGGACAGCGACGCTGAAGGCTTGGCCGCCGATGGTGAGCCGGGCGGGGGACGTGGAGCAGGCCGGAGCCCGCTGAGCGGAGGGAGCGGACAGGTTGATATGGGGTTAACAGGTCACAGAGGTAGAGAGGAGCGAGAGGCCGTGGAAGGCCTTGAAGACAAAGAATCCCCCGATTTTATTTGGGGGATTGGTGGCCAGGACACCAGGAGAGAGAGAAAAAAACTCCCTTTTCTTTTCAAATAGCGCCACGGGATGTTTATAGAAACGGGACCTCTGAAGGCAGTTACTGAGCTGAAAGTCCTGACATTGGGCTTGACACTGGGACTCTTTTCTCCCGTGGCTGTTTGTGGGGCACTGTCAGGTGCTCTGGGGCGCTACCCTGCACGAGGTGCACTACATCAATGTAAGTTGGGGCTATACACCCCTCTGCTGCTGCCACTTACCCAGATTATAAAGAATACAAGCCTGCTCGTAGCAGATCTCATCCACCGTCACAGTCTTCCCCGAAAAGATCTCCGTCCTGTAATTACAGAAACCCCATCAACAGGCGGAGTGCATAGCACTGTGTCCCATCCCAGCTCACCTACAGAACAGTCACTGCACTTAAAAGTATATCCTATGAAGCGTGACGTGAAAGGTGATTTATTAAACAAAAGGATTATTACATTTAAATGAAGGCGATCTGATAATAATCCTTGAAATCGATCTCGCGCCTTATCACGTCGTTGAGACGTCTCAAAGCGCTTCACGGAATATACTGTAAAGTGAATTGACTGTACATTTTGTGGGCGAAACGCAGCAGCCGACTGCGCACAGCAGCGTCCCCCACAAAACGGTCGCGGATTAAAGTGACCAAATCATCACTATTTTTTGGAGGAAATATATCCCAAGAAAAGTGATCCGCCGATCGAATAACAACCAGTTTACTACTTACTGCTCGGTCAACAGAGGTGTGTGGAGTAAGGAAACTTGCCAAAGGCTTCGCCCCGCTCGGGAATCGAACCCGGATCCTCTACACTTGCGAGGCGAGAGCTCTAACCACTACGCTATGGGACGATGCCCAACATCCTGAATAAACTAGATTCCTATTAAACCTGCCACGATTCCAACCTCTTCAAACCCCTCCAGTCTCTTCGTGTCCTTGGCCTCCGCTCTTAAACCTCTGACCCCCCGAGACCATCCTCTTCGACCCCTACCCCGCACCCCTGCTCGTCCCAAACTCCTGCTCGGGTTCAATTCCCTGGCTGTCCAGCGCCTTGGGACGTCCTCGAGAAGTGGAAGGCGCTGTGTAAATGCAATGTGTCGTTGTTACACTCACCAGGTGATCGGCACTGCTGCCTCTTGTCCTGACCCCATGGGGATCCGGCTCTGCAAATAGTGAAGCTGCCCAAAGTACTTCCTCAGCGTGCTGCATCCCTCAAAGTCTCTGGTCACGTTCACCGCGCTCTGCAACACAGCGGACACCGGATAACACATTATTTAACATCTTTGTTTATTTCGTTTTTAATTTTATCCCCTTTGCCGTCTCTCTCTCTCTCTCTCTCTCTCGCTCGTCACTGCTCACCACTATGCTCCGGAACTCTGAATGACCTTCAGGCCAGTCCTTCTCCCCCACTAACCACACTGTTAGGTTTGAGGCTGTGGGTTCACCCCAGGACATTACCTGCCGCAGCTGGTCAAGTTTCTTCAGCTCCTCATTGTAGTTGTCAGGGTTTTCCCCGTAATGTTTCAAGATGTACTGAAATAAGAGAGACGACGTCAGTGATCTGTGGAATCATAGAAATATAGTAATATTTTGTAGGTGAGCCGGGATGACACGTCACTCCGAGGCAAAAAGCCTCAGCGTAAAGAGTTATCCAGCACATCAAGTTAGCCCTCTGCATAAATATATCACAATAATTATCCTCGCGTTTGGTATTGCGCCTTATCACATAGTTGAGAAGTCTTGAAGCGCTTCGCAACATATTGTAAAGTGAGTTGACTGTGAATTTTGTGGGCGAAACGCGGCAGCCAATTGCGCACAGCAGCGTCCCACAAACAGCCGTGGACTGAGTGACCAAGTATATATATTTTCTGAAGAATTATTACACCAGGAAAGTGATCCGCCAAGCAACTAACAACCAGCTTCCTACTTACTGCTCGGTAAATAGAGGTATGTGGAGCAAGGAAATTTGACTAAAGGTTTCGCCCCACCTGGGAAGCGAACCAGGGATCTCTTGCTTGCGAGGCGAGCGCTCCAACCACGAGGCTACAGAACCCCGAAACTGCCACTCACTCCCTGACCCTGTGCCCTCTTGTCCTGCTATCTCGGCGTGTCTGAGGATTTCTCTAGGTTTACTTTCTCAATCCAATTAATCTTCTTATACACTGCGATAAGCTCTCCACTGGGACATCTCAATTCAACTCACAGCTCATCCCTCTAACACCAGGAATCAGCCGCCTCCCTTGCATTGGCCTCAGCCTGGCTAAGTCGTTCGTTAGTGCTCTCGCCTCAGTCCCAGAAGATTGTGGTGATTATGCATAATCCTTGCATTTGGTACAGCGCCTTATCACATCGCTGAGATGTCTCAGAGCACTTCACGGAATGAGAACATAAGGATTCGCTGGCGAAAGAAGACCGAGGTTCACCTGCCGCCATCCTGGCAGTCGCTTGTCATGTCGTGGCCCCACAGTACACACTGTATCCCTCCCCCCAGATATTATTTTCCAGCAGAAATCTGTCTCAGATGTTCTTGAAACAAACATTTTCTGCTTCCACCATCTGTCTCCCCGGGGAGCCCGTTCCAGAAGTTTACTACTCGCTCGCTGAGGTAGTGTTTCCACAGATGTTCTGAATTTACCACCACCACCACCACGCACTTATCCAGCGCTCTGCACACAGGGTCGCGTCTCGGAATGCTTAATCCCCCTCAGTCGCAGGCCGTGTCCTCTGGTTATACTGTTCGGTACAAGATATGATGGGTCTAACATTATAATGGGTGGACTATGAATGAACTGTGTATTTTGTGGACAAAATGCGGCAGCCAATTACACACAGCGGTGTCCCACAAACATTGGGGGATTGAGTGACCAAATTATTATATTTTTTTATGGGATTATTACCCTTGGAAAAGCGACCTGCCAATCGACTAACGACCGGGTTCCTCCTTACTGCTGGGCGTTGGGAGTAAGGAAACTTGCCCGGAAATTGAACCGAGGTCCTCTCGCCTGCGAGGCGAGCGCACTAACCACTGAGCTACAGGACTCCGCATTATAATCACTATCATAATATTGTAAGTTTATCAATAACTATGTTGTGGTGCGATTTAAACCTCAGCCCTATGACCCCCAGTGATGATGTGGAGCATCACTGTATCCTGGGGGTGGGGGCCTGGCTGTGGGGTGGGGGGTCAGGCTGTGGGGTGGGGGGGTCAGGCTGTGGGGTGGGGGGGTCAGGCTGTGGGGGAGGGGGGGGTCAGGCTGTGGGGGGGGGTCAGGCTGTGGGGTGGGGGGTCAGGCTGTGGGGTGGGGGGTCAGGCTGTGGGGGAGGGGGGGGTCAGGCTGTGGAGGGGGGGGTCAGGCTGTGGGGGAGGGGGGGGTCAGGCTGTGGGGGGGGGGGTCAGGCTGTGGGGGAGGGGGGGGTCAGGCTGTGGGGGGGGGTCAAGCTGTGGGGAGGGGGGGGTCAGGCTGTGGGGGGGGTCAGGCTGTGGGGGGGGGAGGTCAGGCTGTGGGGGAGGGGGGGGGGTCAGGCTGTGGGGGGGGGGAGGTCAGGCTGTGGGGGAGGGGGGTCAGGCCGTGGGGGGGGGGTCAGGCTGTGGGGGGGGGGTCAGGCTGTGGGGGAGGGGGGGTCAGGCCGTGGGGGGGTCAGGCTGTGGGGGGGGGTCAGGCTGTGGGGGAGGGGGGGTCAGGCCGTGGGGAGGGGGGGGTCAGGCTGTGGGGGGGGGGGGGTCAGGCTGTGGGGGGGGGTCAGGCTGTGGGGAGGGGGGGGGTCAGGCTGTGTGGGGGGGGGTCAGGCTGTGGGGGAGGGGGGTCAGGCTGTGGGGGGTGGGTCAGGCTGTGGAGGGGGGGGGTCAGGCTGTGGGGGTGGGTCAGGCTGTGGAGGGGGGGGGTCAGGCTGTGGGGGGGGTCAGGTTGTGGGGGAGGAGGGGGGTCAGGCTGTGGAGAGGGGGGGGTCAGGCTGTGGGGGGTCAGGCTGTGGGGGGTCAGGCTGTGGGGGAGGGGGGGGGTCAGGCTGTGGGGGGGGTCAGGCTGTGGGGAGGGGGGGGTCAGGCTGTGGGGAGGGGGGGTCAGGCTGTGGGGGGGGTCAGGCTGTGGGGGAGGGGGGGGTCAGGCTGTGGGGGGGGTCAGGCTGTGGAGGGGTCAGGCTGTGGGGGGGTGGAGGCGGGGCCTGAGGCCTACACCGGGCTCGGGTACCTGCCGCACCGCCGGTGCGAAGGGAAAATCCGCCGCTTCCTTCAGATCCAACCAAATCATCGGCATCCGCGGCACCGCCTCCATCTTCACCCGCGGCCGCCGCGGCACTGCGCAGGAGCGGGAGTGACGTCACCCGCCGGAAGTCACTGCGGCGCCCACGCACGCACGCACGCCGCCGAGAGTCGCATCAGCTGCCGGAAGTCACATCACCTACCGGAAGTCGGCGGCACCACTGGGAAAACGGCAGCCTCACCGCCGGAAGTGACGAGCCCCGCCCGCCCGCCTGCCATGAGCAAGAGGAACGGGAGGAAGTGACGTGCTCAGGCGCTCGTCGACGCGGACACGGTGCAGTCTGGGAAATGTAACCCCACGGCTCTGAATCAACAACAGCGACAGCACAGACCCTCCTCCGTCCCCCCTCCCCCTCCATCTCTCCCCTCCTCCCTCCCCCTCCCCCCTCCCCCCCTCCTCCCCCCTCCGCGTCTTCGAGACGTCTCAAAGTGCTTCACAGGATACAGCGTAAAGTGTAGTGACTGTGCGGATTGTGGGCCACAACGTCCGCACAAATGGCCGGGGGTCGGGGTCGGGTCGGGGTCGGGTCGGGGTCGGGACGAAGGGATTATTACCCCCGGAAGAGCGATCCGCCACTCGACTCTGAAGGATGTGGGTTCCAGCCGTCCCGATCCCCCCTCCCCCCCCCTCCCCCCCCCCCCCCACGCCTCCCACATCGGGGACTCTCAGCTCACAGCACAGACTGTCGCTCCGACACAGCGCTGCGGGGGGGGGGAGAGGGAGAGAGAGAGAGAGAGAGCACCGCATTGTCAGACGCCGTCTTTTCGGATGAGAAGTTTAATCTCACTCACTCACTCACTCGCTGTCCGCAGCGCTGTCGGGAAAAGAGCAGAGAGTTTCTCTCTCTCTCTCTGTTTACCCGGAACCCGCTTGTTAGTCGATCAGCGGATCACTTTAATAATAATAATAATAATAATCCTCGCATTTGATATAGCGCTTTTCACGTCGGGAGGACGTCCCAAAGCACTTCACAGAACACACTGTAAAGTGAATTGACTGTATATTTGTGGGCGAACGCGGCAGCCAATTGCGCACAGCAATGTCCCACAAACTTTCCGGTGGGTGGGTAACAATCCCTTCAAAGAAATAAATAACGATTCGGTCACTTCAATCCGCGGCTGTGCTTGGCTGCCGGGTTTCACACAGTCACTACGCTTTACAGCACGTCCTGCGAAGCGCTTCGAGACGATTTGCATCGAATGCGAATTTGATCCACATGCAAGGATTTTTCCTATTCCTATCGTAAACGTGGACAGAATGAAGCCAAAGCCAACGCGCTGCAGAGAATGATTCCCAGTCATTCGGAAAGGTGGCCATTCCTGTTCACAGGTGCGCTCCAGCCGTACAATACTCAAAGGTGTTGCAACGCCTAACACTGTGTGGGATTATGTGGCAGAGGCAGGTTGGCACACTGGTCTCTCACTTGCGCAATGGCAGATAGATGGGAGAAAGTCTGTCCCCACTTGCCCTCTTCAGTGCCTTAATAATTTAAAATAGCACTTTATTAATAATAATCCTTGCCTTATCATGTCAATCGATTAACAGCCGGGTTCCTGCTTAACTGCTAGGTAAACAGAGAGAGATGTGTGGAGCGAGGAAACCTGCCTAAATTTTCTCCCTGCCCGGGAATTGAACCCAGGTCCTCTTCTTTTTTATAGATAAGCAGATCAATTTGTACTCAGAAATGTCTCAATAAAAGCCAAAAAGTGAATCACGGCAACAACATACATCGCCCCTCAAACACGGTAGTATCCCAGGGCGTTTGGTGGAGCACGGCGCGAAGCCGGTGGGGGGGGGAGGGGGAGGTGACCATGTAAAGACACGGTCAAATAGGAAGGTCTTCAGGTGAGACCTGAAGATGGGGAAGGAAGAAGCAAGGCAGAGGGATAGAGGGCGAGAGCGCCAAAGTTTGGGGGCATAGTGGCTGAAAGCATGGCCACTGATGGTGGAATGGAGGGTACGAGGAACATGTAGGAGGCCAGAGCGGGTCAAGCAGAGGCAGCGGTTGGTGGAGTGGGTGGTAAGCAAGTCAGAGAGGTCGGCAGATCCCAGGGCATGAAAGTATTTGAAGACGAGTGTGAGGATCTTGAAATCGATCTGTTCGGTGATAGGGAGGCATTGGAGGTTGGCTAGAGCTAATGTGATGGGGGGTGGGGGGGTAAATGGAGATTTGTTGGCCAGGACTACAGGAGAGAGAAATCCCTTCTCTTTTCGGATAGCTCCGCAAGATTTTTAACGTCCACCTGAACAGACAGACAAGACCTTGGTTTAACATCTCACTGCAGGAAAGCCTCTCTGATAATGCACTGTACCACAGCACTGTAGCATCACCTTAGGCTGTGAGCACAAAGTCCCGACATAGGGGCTTGAACCCACAGGACTAAGAGACGAGAATGCTAGTGACCGAGCCAGGCTGACTCCGAACCAACAACAACTAGCGTTATTATTGCGTCCTTCTCAGAGAGCTTGACAGTGGCGGGGCCCAATGCCGAGCCAGGGGGAGGGAGAAGATGACCGTAAGCAGGTCCAAGTGTGACCTAAAAGAGGGGAAGGAGGAGGCATGGCGGAGGGATTGAAGGAGAGAGTTCGTAAGCTTTGGGGCGGTAGTGGCTGAAAGCACCGTCGCCGATGGTGGAGCGGAGGGGATGAGGGATAAGCAGAAGGCCATATCCTGCCGAGGGGAGGGAGCGGGTGGTGGAGTGGGGAGTAAACAGGTAAGAAAGATAGGGATTTGTAGACGAATTGAGTATCTTGAAAATCGATCCAATCTGTGATACGGAGCCAGGGGAGCTTGGCGAGGGCTGGTGTGACGGGGGGGTTGGCATTTAGCGCGGGTGAGAATCAGAGCCAGGCTGACACCTAAACCATGTGAAATAAAAAAACACAAACACATTGGAAAGATATTTATTTTTATCCTAATGAGACCAATCGCAGGTTTTCACAACAGGTGTGATAGTGGAGACCACTTAGTGTTATCGGGGTGTGGGTGAACCAGGAGAATGTTCAGCTGTGCGCAACCGGAGGTCACAGTATATTTACCCCAGGGCCATGTACTGCAAATTCACTCAACCCTCAACTTCTCAAGATGTTTCCCTGCCTCGTGTTTCTCCTCGCTCTCGGTAAGTCACTCTAAACGGTTTAGTTTCACGAGCTGGGATTGTTCTCCTTGGAGCAGAGAAGCTTAGGGGGAGACTTAACGGAGGTGTTCAATACTATGGGGGAATTTTTATGATTCTAAATCTGTACCGAGTCTTAGAGAAAGCTGTCCGTTCAATTTTGGAACCCTCGCCCGGCTCCACAGGATTGTGTTTAAATTCACCCTCCTACCCCTACCGTCCCTGCTTTCCACAATTTACACAAAATATACATTTCGTCCACAAAATACACAGCCCATTAGTTTACAGCATATTCTGTGAAGCGCTTTGAGACGTCTCAAACGACGTGGCAAGGAGCTATATCGAATGCAAGGATTATTACTAACACCCCTCCTGCTCGAATCCCTGACTGCCCAGCGCCTTGGGACATCCTCCCGACGTGAAAGGCGCCGTGTAAATGTAATGTGTTGCTGTTGTTGTTTATGATATTGTTTGTGAATTAGGAGCAGTTTGTGGGCTACCGGCAAAGAGGTACCCACTCACCAAACAACCTCACCTCGGCCGAGTTATTGGCGGACAGGAAGCTGTTCCACACAGCTGGAAATGGCAGGTAATAATAAAAATAATATTATAATAATATAATAAAATTATAACAATGAGATAATAATAATTCTACAACAATAATTGGGGAGGACAAGTTTGCAGAGCTATAATACTTTATAGTCAAAGTTTATAAATAACCATTTTGTTTATAAATACCAGAATAACTATACATTCGGTTATAAATGACTGTGTATTTATGATCAATTTATAATCATGATAATAATAATCCTTATATTTGATGTAGCACCTTATCTTTGAGACTTAAAGCGTTTCACAGAATTTACTGTAAGGTGGATCGACTGTATTCTTTGAGGGCGAGACCCACCAGCCAATTATGCCCAGCAGCGTCCCACAAATAGTGGACTGAGTGACCAAATTATTATTGCTTTTGAAGGGATTATTATCCCACTGGAAAGTGATCCGTCAAATGACTAACAACTAGGTTCCTACTTACTGCTAAGTAAACTTACTGCTAAGTAAACAGAGGCGTGTGGAGTAAGGAAACTTGGCCAAGGTTTCACCCTGCCGGGAATCGAACCCATGTTCATATGTGAAGCGGGTGTCCTAACCAGGCTATAGGACAACACAACAACGTTTATGCAGTGGGTGGAGCTCTTAGCAGTTTTGTGGTCTGCTCCCACGCTGGTAAGGGAGGGGTTGTGACCATAGGCACGGTCAAAGACGAAGATCTTCAGGTGTGATTTGAAGACGGGCAAAGAGCGGGCAAGATGGAGGGATTGAGGGAGAGAGCTTCGGAATTTGGGGCCATAGTGGCTGAAAGCACGGCCACTGAGGGAGGGTGCAGCGGAGGGGATAAGGGACAAGCAGGAGACCTCAGCCAGTTGAGACAAGGGTAGAGAAAGGAAAGAAACATTCAGCAAAGGATGAAGCCATTCAGCCAAATGTGCCTTTAGTTAATTAATTAAAGGCACGTTTGGCTAAAGGCGCATTCAATTCACTGATTAATTAATTAGTAACAATAATGATCCTTGCATTTCATAAAACATCTCATGACGGATGGAGGCACCTCAAAGCCCTTCAAAGAATTTTCAGCTAAAGTGTAGTCATTGTGTGGATTGTAGGCAAACGTAATGAGTAGGAACCCGGTTGTTGGTCGATTGGCGGATCGCTTGCTGGGGGGTAATAATCCCTCATAAATAATAATAATAATGTGGTCACTCACTCAACGACTGTTTGTCGGATACTGCTGTACTGAACTGGTGGCATCTAGATTGCGCACGGTGATGAGGTGAGAATAACCAATATTATTTGGGTGGATATACAGGGAAAGAGAGAAACTCCATTCACTTTGCCTCTCTACTCCTGCAGATATCTCTTCAAGTCACTTACGATTCAAACCCCACTGGATTCTGGCACACGTGTGGTGGCACTATCATCCACTACTTATACGTCATGACAGCTGCCCATTGTGTTGACTCGTAAGTGAATTTTGGCCTTGCAAACATTATCAATAATTTACTCACTATCACAGCACAGTTGGTTACTTAGCGCACACACCTCGCAGGTGAGCGCGAGGACCTGGATTTGATTCCCAGGCAGGTATCAAGTTTCCTTACCCCACACGCCTCTGTTTACGTAGCAGTAAGTCGGAAATCTGGTTGTTGGTCCATTGGCAGATTGCTTTCCGGGAGCTCTGGCCTGTTCCACGTCCCCCCCGACCCACCCGCCCCACCATTGGCGGGAGAGCCTTCAGCCACTCTGCCCCCCAACCTCTGGAATTCCATCCCCCAGTCACTCCACCTCGTCCCCCTCCTTAGCCTCCTTCAAGTCCCGCCTCAAGACCCTCCTTTTCGACCATGCCATCGGTCACCCAATTTTTTTGAAGGATTATTACCCTCGAAAGCGACCGTAAGCACGATCAAAAAGGAAGGTCTTCAGGCGGGATTTGAAAGCGGGGAGGGAGGGAGGGGGCCAGGTGGAGGGATTGAGGGCGAGACGTCCAGAGTTTCGAGGCGCAGTGGCTGAAGGCACTGCCGCCGATGGTAGAGCGGAGGAGACAAAGGACAAACATGAGGCCGGAGCCGGCTGAGCGGAGGCAACGGGTGGTAGAGTGGGGGGGAGTAACAACAGCAACAACTTGGATTTATATAGCGCCCTCTACGCCGGACGGCGTCTCGGTAAGCAGATCGGGTCGGTAGGGAGGTGCCAGGGCATGAAGAGATTCGAAAACGAGTGAGAGAATCTCGAAGACGTGTAAGGAAACTTCCCTAAGGTTTCTTCCTGCCCGGGAATCGAACCCCAGTCCTCTCGCTTGCGAGGCGAGCTCTCCAGCCACTGCGCTGCCACGATTAAGCTCGAAGAAAAAAATCGTCAGACTGAGCTGAAACCGGGTGGAAATTTGTACCTCTTGTCACTGAATCGGAATTTGGTCTGCAGGCCTTCCGGAAAGATCTACCGTGTGGGCTTTGGAGAGCACGACTTAAGTGTGGATGAAGGCACGGAGTACTATTTGGACGTGGAATCCATCCATGTCCATCCCTACTGGAATCCTTCTTCCTTAGCAAGCGGGTAAGTTCACTCGCACAGTCCTACATTTGAACAACAACAACAGCAGCAGCAGCAGCAGCAGCAACAACTTGCATTTACATAGCCCTCTTCATGCGGGTTAGCTCTTAGCAACAAAAACACCACTACCACCGCCACCAACAACAACAACAAATGGCATCCCTCCAGGGAGAGAGTTCCCATTCCGTTCCAATAAACATCTCTCCAATTCCCATGCGTCCAGGGTGTCCACAAAGTCCTGTTACCCCATTCATTCCCCCCCCCACCCCCTCCACCCCCACCACAACTGAAACACGTGGCAGAATGATGATACTTGCATTTAGAAGTTACTTAATTGTATTCAGTACAAGTGTTTAACTGCAGTTAGACGTCCAGAGGACTGTGTGTATGTGTGCGAGTGAGTGAGTACTAACATTTTCATAGTTAATGATCCGTCGCCATATTTGTTGCCGCATCGTCTGTAACGTGGATGGAGGAACATTGGACATTGTTATACTCCACTCATCTGCAACAGCAAATAAAAATCCACTGTACGAAAAAAGAACAAGGGGGATAAAAGGACTTTGTGAAGACCTTGTAGGCGGGATGCATTAATTGCTCAGTTGGGTTTGGAGACTCATGTGTCAGACACCCGGCGGACACCCCCCCCCCCCCCCACCACCACCCCCACAAAAAATGGATCACTAAGACTTTAACAATCAGGCAGAAGTCAATGTCTAAAATAATAATCATAATAATAATAATTGGATTCAATACGGCGCCTTATCACGACTTTGAAACATCTCAAAGCGCTTCGCGGGACACACTACAAAGTGACTTTGTGTTTGTGGGCGAATCGTGGCGGCCAACGGCACAGCTTACTTTTAAGACAAACCATGATTATTCTTGTCTATTATTCAGGTATGATATAGCGTTGTTGAAGCTGAAGGACCCGGTTTACGATAATTCCTACGTGGAGATCGCAATCTTACCCGTTGAGGGTCAAATCCTACCCAGTCAGAGCGAGTGTTACATCACAGGATGGGGATTAACCTCCCGTAAGTGTGGCCTCACCGTTGCATATCATGATATTATTGTTAAGATTCGTTTAAGTTACGTGCGGTATAAGCTTATGTATAGGCATTAGGGAAAAAAAGTTTTGTTCATTTTGTAAGAGCGGAGCTCAGTGGTTAGCACATTTGCCTCACAAGCGAGAGGACCTGGGTTCGATTCCCGGGCGGGATGGAATATTAGGTACATTTCCTTACTCCACACGCCTCTGTTTACCTAACAGTAAATCGGAACCCGGTTGTTAGTTGATTGGTGGATTATTTTCCGGGGCTAATAATCCCTCCCTCAAAACATTTGGTCACTCCATCTATGACTGTTTGCGGGACGCTGCTGTGCGCAAATGGCCGCCGCTGTTTTACCCGGAAAACATACAGTCAATCCACTTTACAGTATGTTCTGTGAAGCGCTTTGAGACCTCTCAACGACGTGATAAGGCGCTGTATCAAATGCAAAGCCATTATTCTTACTTTTACAACTGTGCTAACTCCCTGCTCGCCGGATTTCCTATCTCTTCCCTCCACAAGATGCAGATTGTTTCAGAACTCTGCAGATCGTGTCCTTTCCCTCACCAGCCTCTGTGACCCTATCACCCCCAACCCTCGCCCGGCTCCACTGGCTCCCCGTCCCCCAGAGGATAGCGTTCAAAATCCTCGTCCTCACTTTTAAAGTCCTCCGAGGCCTTGCCGCTTCCTACCTCTGCGACCTATTGACTCCATATCGACCTGTCGACTCCCTCCGCTCAAGAAGCATTGGCCTTCTCCACGTCCCCTGCCCTGCCCACCATCAGTGGTTGGACCTTCAGCCTCTCTGCTTCCATCCTTTGGAACTCCATCCCACAGTCACTTCGCCTCGCTCCCTCCCTCGCCTCCTTCAAGGCCCATCTCAAGATCCTTCTCTTCGACCACGCCTTCGGCCACCCTAATCCCATCCTCCCTGCCCTCCACCCCCTCCTGATCCCAACCCCCAGTTCGGATCCAAATTCCTGACTGTCCAGCGCCTCGGGACAACAGCAAATTACATTTGTAAAGCTTCTTTCACAGCGGGAGGACATCCCATTGGTGGTAACCAATATTAGAGGCACTGTGTAAACGTGTTGTTGTTGTTGTTGTGTTGACCCGACTCTCTCTATGGGAAGCAGTGACCAATACCATCTCCCCACACAGCTAACGGGAGCGGTGCTACCCGCCTACAGCAAGCCGGCTTGTCAGTGGTGAGCTACGAAATCTGCTCGAGACCCGAGTGGTGGGGAGCCACGGTGAACGATCGCATGATCTGCGCTGGAGGGGACGGCTATAGTTCTGGCTGTCAGGTAACCATGTACCGGCCTGGCTCAGCAGGTCACCAGATCACACCATCAACAGATCACCCTTCGGTCCATCTGTTCTCCTCCCTCCAGAACACCCACCCTATCGTCCTCCCATCACGTGCATCGAGCCGCTGTTTAAACGAATCCCAGTGTCCTGGCCTCAACCTTCCCTGTGGAAGTCCTGTAGCTCAGTAATTAACGCGCTCGCCTCGCAAGCGAGAGGACCCGGGTTCGAATCCCGAGCAGCGCAAAGCCTTAGGCAAGTAAGTAGGAACTTACCGGTTGTTAGTTGATCGGCGGATCACTTTTCCGGGGTTAATAATCCCTTCAAAAATAAGTAAATAAATAAAATAAGAATTTGGTCACTCAACCCACGGCTGTTTGTGGGGACGCTGCCGCGTTTCGCCCGCAAAATAAACAGTCAACTTCACTTTACAGAATATCGTGTGAAGCGCTTTGAGACGTCTCAACAATGTGACCAGGCGCTGTATTGAATGCAAGTGTTTGTTCTGGCTGTTGATGTTGTAGTGAGAGAGTCAGAAAGACGTGTTCACAAGGATACACTGTTGAGTGTAGTGACTGTGCAGTGTGTAAATCCTTATTCTCTTTTGCACAGGGAGATTCCGGAGGTCCATTTGCCTGCAAGTCAAATGACGGTTATTGGTCAGTCCATGGCATTGTGAGCTTCGGGCCAATCTACTGCAACATCTATGAGAAACCTACAGTCTTTACCCGGGTGTCAGCCTACCTTGACTGGATATTCCAGGTACGTGTGGGTGCTATATCAAACGCAAGGATTACTATTAGTATTATTATTATTTATCCACTTCGGATAAATTTGACAATTTGAATAGTTTCTTGGACTCACTGGTCAGGAACTAGAGGGCATCAGTTTAAGATAGTAAGTAAACGAGGAAACAGAGAGGTTAGGAGAAATATTCGACACGCAGAGCGGTTAGGACATGGAATGTGAGTGCTGGTTGAGGCAGAATCCATATGAGCTTCCCAAAGGAAAGTAGATAGACATCTAAAGAGGAGTAAACAACAGGGGTCTAGGGATTGGGCAGGTAAGGGGGACTGAAAGGATTGCTCTTAATTAGCAGCACCGACACGATGGGCTGAATGGCTGTCTTCTGTGCTGTAAATGCCTGTAGTTCCGTCAGTCACACTAACTACGTCTCCTCCATCTGACCAACATCTTTCCCTTTCAGATAATCAATGAGTAGTGAACACCAGGAGGCCGATATGTATCAAACAAGAGTAGAAAATAAAGATACAGCATCAAACCATATTTGACTCTGTGTACGTGTATGTAATTGTGTGTTGCGCGCGTGTGTGATTGAGCGTGTGAGACTGCGCGTCTGCGTTGCACGTTCCGACGGTTCTCACCCCTCGATGTACGTGCGAATTTTAGTGACGCTTTCCTACTTAAGTGCCCTTTGCTCTCTCCTGACCCTGTCGGTGTGAGTCCCTGTCTCAAAGGTGGCTCAACCGAGTCGGAGTCCCACACAGACAGATATTCCCAGTTAACTCCAATGGCCGGGAACTGGGACTCCATCACGCACACGCTCACACTAGCAGAACTCCCCGATGTCGACAGCTGCTCTCTGAAGGGCTTACTCCTGTTCTGGATTTGCAATGTTACAGAGACTCGACTGGCAGCACAATACTACATTGGCAAAGAGATATTAAACCAACCCTGACGTGAAAGGCCCCGTATAAATGTAATCTTGTTGTTTTATAGGTGTGCGGCTCTGCCCACTGTATGATGCGAATGCTCGGGCTTTGTCCCGCGCTAGCGCCCAAGTTTTATTTTGCCCTCCAGGCCGCTTGTTAACTGACTCTCACTCAAACAGCCCTGGAGCCCGTCCACTGTTACAACTCATGTAGGCTCTTTGCTAAGTCTTTTGCGAGCAGCTTCTGCCACAGAATCCGTTCGAAGGAGAAAGCCTCCCCATTTCCCTTAAAGAATATTATAATGTTATATATACGTATTAGTTAAACATTAAAGACTGCAATAGGCTGACCGTGACAACGTGTGTGTGATTGTGTGTTTGTGTGTGAATGTGTATCTGAGTGATTGTATGTCTGTGTGTGTGTCTGTGTGTGTATGTGTGTGTGTGTGTGTGTGTCGGTCTGTTTGTGTGTACGTGTATCTGTCTGTTTGTGGGTGTCAGGTGTGATAACACTCTGTGGCCAGAACATAATGCACAGTGAAGCACATCAGAACATTACTAATCGTTTTATTGCAGCAACAACAAGATTACATGTGTATGGCACCTTTCATGTCCCGAGGCGCTGGACAGTGTACAGCATTTCAAACACGAGCTGGGATCAGGGAGGGGAAGGGGGGCGACCGATTGCACGGTCGAAGAGGAGGGTCTTGAGGCGGGACTTGAAGGAGGCTAAGGAGGGGGCGAGGCGGAATGATTGGGGGATACAGTTCCAGAGGTTGGGGGCAGAGTGGCTGAAGGCTCTCCCCCCCCAATGGGTGGGTCGGGGGACGTGGAGCAACCAGAGCCGGCAGAGCGGAGGGAGCGGGCGGGTTGGTAGGGGGTTAGGTGGTCACAGATGTAGGGTGGCGGGAGGCCATGGAGGACCAGGATCTTGAACTGGATTCTCTGAAGGATAGGGAGCAGGTGGAGTTAGGCGAGAATGGGGGAGATGGGGTCGTTGACATTAGCTCACACTAAACACCAACTGTGGTTAATATACTGCCCGTTAATTCCAGCCCCAACCTCCCCCCCCCACACCGAATAAATCAGTCACGCCTGTTTGTGGGATGTTGCTGTGCACAAAATGGCTGCCTGTCCGCATGCAAAACACACAGTCACTACACTTTACAGGAACGTCCTGTGAGACGCCTTGACATATCTAGAGGAATGAGAACTAAAAAGCAGGGAAGTTTTGCTCAACTTATATCGAACCTTGGACCACACTTGGCGAACTGTGTACAGTTCTGGTCCCCATATTATAGAAAGGATAACAGAGGCACTCGAGAAGGTACAAAGGAGATTTACGAGGATGATACCAGAACTTCGTGGTTATACCTATCAGGAAAGACTGAACAAGGGGTGGACCTAATATAGGTCTTCAAAATTGTGTTTCTCCTTGTGGGTGATAGCCAAACCAGGCGCCATAAATATGAAATAGTCAGCAATAAATCAAATAGGGAAGTGAGAAGAAACTTCTTACCCAGAGAGTGGTGGGAATGTGGAACTTGCTACCACAAGGACGAGTTGAGACGAAGAGCATAGATGCATTTAAGGGGAAGCTCGATAGGTACATGAGGGCGAAAGGAATAGAAGGTTGTGCTGATAAGCTGAGTTGAGGAAGGGCAGGAAGAGGCATTAACCAGTTGGGCCAAATGGCCTGTTTCTGTACTGTATGTCCTATGTAATATTGTGCAGCTCAGTGGTTAGAGCCCTGCAAGAGAGAGGACCTGGATTTGATTCGTATATTTTAAGACCTGATACGTCAGTATATCAAATGCAAGGATTATTATTATTTATTATTATCCTCCCGACATGAAAGGAACCGTGTCAATTGCAATGATTGTTATTATGGGTAATATTCTAATTAATGTCAGTGCTAATTTAACAGCTAATTGAAGGCAGACTTAATAAATGCTGCACGTTTACCCCAGTACCTTAAAATTAAGATGAACAGTTAAAATGAAATTTATTCTCACCACCCAATGTCCTTTGAGTTAGTGCCTATGGGGCAATGACCTTAGATAGGTCGGAGAGGTGGGCTTTACAATAACAACAACAATAAATTACATTTACACAGCGCCTTTCGTGTCAGGAGGATGTCCCAAGGCGCTGGACCCGAGCTGGGGGTTAGACTGTGGGATCAGAAGGGACCGAAGCCACTGTACTTACTGTTAGGTAAATATAGGCATGCGGAGTAAGGAGTGAGGTTCTCCGCCCGGGAATCGAACCCAGGTCCTCTCGCTTGCAAGGCTTGGGTGCTAACCACTACACTACAGGACTCATATGATTTATATGGAGTTTTTTTTTGGTCAGTCGGGTGTCTGACACATGCAGATACCCATCACCTTTGCTTAAGAGACTCCAAACCCAACTGAGAATTCCCCGCCTCCCACCTACACATGGAAATCCCAGAGATAGGTTGTTGGAATGGAATGCGTTCTCTCTCTCTCTCTCTCTCTCTCTCTCTCTCTCTCTCTCTCCCTGGAGGGACGCGCCCACTGCTTACCTAATTCCGGAGAGTATTAGGCGCAAGTTGGCAAGAGCCAAGGCTTGGGGGGAGCCTGGGGTAACTGCTGGAATCTAACCAACTAAAACCACACATAGCTTGCCATTGAGAGCAGTTATACGGAAAATCACAGCTTCAACAACGTCATCAAATTACATTTGTACAGCGCCTTTCGCATTGGGAGGATGTCCCAAACCGCTGGACAGTCAGGGATTTGGACCAGAGCTGGGAGTTGGGATAAGGAGGGTGGAGGGCAAGGAGGGTAGAGATAAGGAGGGTGGCCATGGGCATGGTCAAAGAGGAGGATCTTCAGATGCGCTTTGAAGGGGACACGGAAGGGGTTGAGGCAAACGGATTATGGGATTGAGTTCTAAAGGGTGGGGACGAAGAGGCTGAAGGCCTGACTGCTGATGCTGAGGCGCGCTGGGCAGGAGGTGTGGAGCAGGCCGGACACTGCTGAGAAGAGGGAGCGGACAGGTTGGTGTGCGGTTAGCAGGTTACAGAGGTAGGGAGGATCAAGGCCGTGGAGGGCTTTGAAGGCGAGGACGAGGATTTTGAACTCTATCCTCTGGGGGATGGGAAGCCAGTGAACAGGGTGTAGGAACAGGTGGAGAATAGGAACATTTACTCTGACCGCTGGATCAAGGTCGTCTCATGGCACGAAACGGTGAAATGTTTTACAATCGGATTGCCACCTGTCTGATTTCTCAGCCACTCAGCAACATATTCCTGGCCAACAACGACACCCCCCCGCCCCACACCCTGCTGGGAATCGAACCCAGGTCTCTCGCTTACGAGGCGACTGCTCTAACCCCTGAGATATGCTCTAACCACTGAGATACCCAACTCCAAATGGGCAGGTGGTGCATTTCCTGCGCTGGCATGGGTAGGTGTCGGGGATACGAGAGCATGTGTTAGTCGTGATGGATGAGAGGTCCTCAATCTCACGTCCCAGAGATACGTGTTTAACAAGCATCTGTGTTTTTTTCTGCACATGGTTGTTTGTTCTTGGTTTTTAATTAATTTCAATAAAATGAAATTTATCATGTCTTGTGTGAACGAGGCCAGTGTTTCACCCCGGCCCAGCCCTTTGGACACAGTGTATATAAGAGAGGTAGGGATCTCACTCGCTTTGTCATCTCACTCACTCACAAGATGTTGCCGTGCCTCGTGTTCCTGATCAGCCTGGGTGAGTCACCACCGTCCCTTCGCCTCTTCTCCTCTCTTTCCTCCTTCAAAGCCCATCTTCAAGACCTTCCGCTTCGACTGCGACTTTGGTCACCCTCCTACCCCTGAACCTCCCCGTCCTCCACCCCTCCTGATCCCAACCTCCAGCTCAGGTCCAAACCCCTGACTGTCCAGCGCCCTCGGATGACCTCCCGATGTGAAAGGCGCTGTGTAAATATAATGTGTTGTTGTTTTCCTTGCTGTAACGCATTTCATGCCTGGAGGATGTCTGGCCTCCTCCTCTGCTCCACCATCAGCAGCCGTGTTTTCAGCCACTACGCTCCAAGGCTCTGGAACTCCCTTCCTCACTCCCTTCACCTCATCTCCTCTTCGACCTTTCTTCTTTCGCTCCTCAGCCCAACAATTCCCTGTTGGTGTTTATACTCCACACAAGCCCCCACCCATTTGCTGCCCCCCTCCTATTCTAACGCAGGTTCGATTCCCAGGCAGGGAAAAACCTTAAGCAAATTTCCTAGTTGAGTTCTAGCTTGTGTGGAATATAAACACCGCAGGGATTGGTTAGGCTGAGGGGCTTGTTTCCTTGTAAACATAGTCACTATCCTTTAGGGTACAAATCCTGCAAAGCTCCACAAAGCATCCTCCAGGCGTGAAATGCGCTGCATCAACAATAACAACATTTCTTAAATACAGCTCATCAACGATAGGAGATCCCCGAAAAAATATGCCCATGACACTCCCGCTTGCAAGACCTTTCCGATGAAGTATAAATCTTGTCTCTACATCAATTGGTTATTGCGTTATTGGCGGAAACACAGACAAACACACACACACACAGATGCTTCATCTTTATTAGTAATAGACTCTGGATTAAACTACTCTGCCCTGAGTGAAGGTCGCTTTGTAAATGCAAGTTGTTGTTGATCAATTAGGAGCGGTGTGGGGGCTGCCTTTCCCACAACTGTACCCCTACGGCAGTCACCACTCGACGGGCCGTGTTGTTGGAGGGCAGGAAGCAGTTCCACACAACTGGAAATGGCAGGTAAGAGAGATTCCACATGTGTTAGTTTGAACGTTAACCTTAAGAGTTTGATTTGTTCCAAAGCTGAGCCTCGTAGCGGTTGGCACACTCGACTCGCAAGGGGGAGGACTCGGGCGAGGCGACATCTTAAGCAACCTCTGTTTACCCAGCAGTGAGTAGGAACCCGGTTATCAGTCGACTGGTGGATCGTTTTTCCGGGGGGTAACAATCTCTTCCCCAGAAAAAAAAAAATTGGTCATTCAATCCACGACTTGTGGGACACTGCTGTGCGCAATTGGCTGCCACATTTCGTCCGCAGAACACACAGTCACTGCACTTTACAGTATATTCCGTGAAGCGCTTTGAGACATCTCAAAGACGTGATAAGGTGCTATATCAAATGGGAGGATTATCATTATTAATATTATTATTATTATGATTATTATTATCTGAAGGACGGATAGATTTTTGTTGAACCCAATTGTCCTGTACGGTCCTTGTTTCCGAACAGGTATCTCTGCAATCCGCATACAAGACCTCACCTGATTACTACGGCCACTTTTGTGGGGGAACCATTTACAGACGTAAATGGATCATGACCGCTGCTCATTGCTTCAGCTCGTAAGTCAATCTCAAGTAATCTATTGTAATGGAACGACAATGTCTGTCTGCTCTTCGAGAAGGATCTCAATAACCGATCGACGCAGAGGCATGATTTGTACCTCATTGGAAAGGTCTTGCTCTGGGATTGACAAGGGCATATTTGTTTTTCATATCTCCTACAAGTAAACTATGTATTAACGCATTAAATAACTCATAAATAACTCATACCCATTTAGACGAGGGAAGGCAGAGAGGTGGGAGGGAGACCAAAGGCAAGATCTAAGAGAAGAGTCTTGAGACCGGCCTTGAAGGAGGCAAGGGAGGCGAAGGGACCGTGGGATGGAGTTCCAGGGTGTGGGGGCAGAGAGGCTGAAAGCCCGGCCATCGATGGTAGGGCGGGTCGGGCAGGAGACATGGAGCAGGCCGGAGCACGATGAACGGAGGGAGCGGGCAGGTTGGTAGGGAGTCAGCAGGTCAGAGAGGTAGGAGGTGGCAAGGCCATGGATGGCCTTAAAGGTGAGGACAAGGATCTTGAACTCGGCCCTCTGGGGGATGGGGAGCCAGTGGAGTCGGGCGAGGGTGGGAGTGATGGGGTCACGGAGCCCGGTGCGTGAGAGTACACGAGCTGCAGAGTTTGGATGATCTGCAGCTTGTGAAGGGAAGAGTTGGGAAGGCCGATAAGGAGGGAGTTTCCATAATTGTAATCGGGAAACGCGGTACAAACTCACCCCCCCACCCCCCCCCCCCCCCCACCCGCCCTGCTACTAACTTGGACGCCTCGGGATTCTCGTGCTGTTTGCTCGACGCTGCTCCTGTGGGCCGAGTGGGCTCTGGTCGCAAAATCCACAGGGCAGGGAGTGTTGGGATCGCGGAAGCAGATCTGGCCTAATCTTGGCCTAATCTGAGCTCCCGCTGCCCATTCTTGGTAAGTGCTGCAAACCTGCCACCACGGAAGGACTGGCCCTTAGGTGAGAAAGTGGACTTCGATCAAAAACAGTGAGTGGAAAAGATCACGAGACAGTTGGCTGTGAGCTGTGGCGTTGGCAGAGCTCCAGTTGGGCGCAATCTCAAAAGGAAAGCTGAATCCGTGACAGCTTTTGAAGAAAATCAATGGCCTGATATAAAGCGTACGTGTTTGAGCTCTCAGTATGAGGACATTCATCAACTGGGACATTGGGAGCGGTTCCAGCCTGACCCTGGTCTCAACGCGCCTGCGCCTGGCCCGATGATACAGGAGAAAGCATTCCGTTTCGCAGCATCACTTGGCATCACAGAGGCGTGCGGAGTGAGGAAACTTGCCTAAGGTTTCACCCTGCCTGGGAGTCAAACCAAGGCCCTCTCGCTTGCGAGGCGAAAGCTCTAACCACTGAGCTACAGGACTCCACGTTAAACATAAGCGTGATTTAATTCCTCTTCTCTCCTGTGCAGACCCGAGGATTATCTGTACCGCGTGGCCTTAGGAGAGCACGATATTGATGAGGTGGAGGGAACGGAATATTACCTGGACGTAGATGCGATCTTCATCCACGAAAACTGGGATCCAAATTACATCACAAAAGGGTACGTTCACATCGCAAGATGGGTTTGGAGATTGTTGCTGTTGCTACTGTTGTTGTTTCACACGTAGAAGCTAACTTAGTAATGATAATAACCCTCGCATTTGATATAGCGCCTTATCACGTCTTCAAGACCCCCCAAAGAGCTTCACAGAATGTACTTGTGAAGTGAACCAAGGGTTATGAGTAATAATATCCTGTGGGGGATTGGTTAGACAGAGGACCTGGTTTCGATTCCATTTAAAAAAGTATGTGGCCACGACTGCTTGTGGACAATCGGCCGCCGGGTTTCACTGCCTGAAAGGGTGGTGGAAGCAGATTCGATAGTAGCTTTCAAAAGGGAATTGAGACGTCTCGAAGACGTGATAATAATAATAATAATAATAATAATAATAGTAAGGCGCTATATCAAATGCAAGGGTTCGTATTATTCCCGCAGCTCAGTGGGACACTGCAGCTCTGCACTGTGGGGAGAGAGTGCTCCATTGGCAGACGTGTCCTCTGTTCCGCAGAGGAGAAAGCTACTTAAAAAAGGAAAAAAACGTGCAGGGCTAAAGGGAAAGAGCGGGGGAGTGGAACTAATTGAGCAGCTCTTTCTAAGTGCTGGCACAGGCACGATGGGCCGAATGGTCTCCTCCCTGTGCTGTAAGATTCTACGTTTCCATGAAATGCCACGACTGTGTGTGGTAAAGTCATAAGAACATAAGAATTTGCTGGCGAAAGAAGACCAAGGACCATCCTGTTCGCCTTCCACCATCCTGGCAGTCGCTTGACATGTCGTGTCCCAAACTATGTGCAGTGTCTCCAGATATCATTTTCCCGCAGAATTCTGACTCATTTGTTCTTGAAGCAAATGGCATTTTCTACTTCCGCGGTCTGACTCCCTGCGGAGCCTGAACCATGAATTCACTACTCGCTCAACGAAGCAGTGTTTCCGCAGATTTGATCTGAATTTACTACTCGATCCCAGGCAGAGTCCTCTGTGTGCGTATGTGTGTGTGTGTGTGTGTGTGTATGTGTTTGTATTTGTGTGTGTGTGTGTGCGAACGTGTCTGGATTTATATCTCTGGCTCTATTGTTCAGCACAAGATAAAACAGCTTATCGTGGTCGACATTATCTACTCCCTTCAGAATCTTAAAGACTGTAATCATATCGTCCCTCAGCCGTCTCTCCTCCAGCTTGAACTTTATCTAATCGTTCCTCATAGTCCAAGTGGTGCAGTAAAACTAACGTATACGATAACTCCTACATCGAAATTGCAGTAGAACCGGGAAACGGGGAAATCCTTGCTCATGGCTATTCCTGCTACATCACGGGATGGGGGTCCACTGGTGTGTAAGAATCCTTCCATTGCACATGTGGAGTCCTGTAGCTCAGTAGTGCTTCGCAAGCGAGAAGACCCGGGTTCGATTCCCGGGCAGGGCGAAACGTGGGGCAAATTTCCTTACTCCACACGTAGACCTAATAGAAAGTAGGAGCCCAGTTGTTGGTCAATCAGTGGATTGCTTTTCCGGGGGTAATAATCCCTTCAAAAAATAATAATAATTTGGTCACTCAATCCGTGACTGTTTGTGGGACGCTGCTGTACGCAATTTCACCCACAAAATATACAGTCAATTCCCTTTACAGTATATTCTGTGCAGCGCTGTGAGACATCTCGAAGACGTGATCAGGCTAACGCAAGGCTATCAAGTGCAAGGATTATTATTATTCCCACATCTCAGTGCAATACACCAGCACAGCGCTGGGGGGAGAGAGCGCAGCAATGTCAGATATGTCCTCTGTTGCACCATTAATGGCTGCCCTTTCAACCACGAGGCCCGAAAGCGTGTGGAGTAAGGAAAGTTGCCTAAGGTTTTGCCCTGGTCCTCCGCCTTGCCCCCTCCCTCCCCACCTTCAAACCATGCCTGAGGACCTTCCCTTATGGTCAACCTCCCTCTCCCCCTGGCTCGGTGTCAGACTCCGCCGCTGTCAACCGCGTGAAGTGCGCTATATGAATACAAGTTGTTTTCGTTGAGTGCTCGAACCACTAAACTACTCCTGTATGTGGTGGATGGTGACTGAGATTCCCACCTGTACGTGTGTTGTGTTGTGTTGTGTTGTGTCGTTTTGTGGGAGAACATGATGGCCAATTTGCACGGGAAGCTCTCTCACTAACTGACGGTGACTATTTGCCTTTCAGGTAATAGTTCACCCTCTAAGTTACAGCAAGCCCTACTCCCTGTGGTCGACTACGCTACTTGTTCCCAATCCAACTGGTGGAGCACTGCTGTGAACGAACAGATGATCTGCGCTGGAGGAGATGGCTATACAGCCGGCTGTTTTGTAACTATAATAATATTAATAATAATAATGATGATCAGTCCGTCACATTTGATATTTTCATGTTGGGAGGATGTCCCAAAGCGCCTCACGGGATATACCGTAAAAAAACGTAGTGACTGTGCTGTTTTGTGGGAGAACATGACAGCCAGTTTGCACACAAGATCCCATAGCTTGCCAATGATATCTGCATCTGGCAAGCTTTCCCACCGCTTGCCCAGCTAGGACCACACCCTACCCGTTAGTTAGTTAGTTAGTTAGTTAGTTAGGGCTTTGGCTGCACGGTTAACAGGAGCTGAGTGGGCTGGTTCCCTGACCCCAGTGACTGGTCGGCCCTTCCAGGTCCTGCCGATGGACGAGCCAGGCCGGGCTGTGCGGCCATCAGCAGTGAGTGCTCTGGGATACTGAAGGCCCTCCTGGTTCAGGAACAGGACTGGAAACCGTCACGGGGGCTAAAATCTGACATTGCTTTACCAAACGTGTCATTTTGGGTCCAGTTCAGCCTCCAATGTGACCCCAATCCCCTATTATTGTATCATATTGTCATCCATGATCCACAGGCTTCCATTTCAAGATCCTCTCACTTGTTTCCAAATCCCATTCTGCCGTGGCACCTCCCGCCCTCTCCGACCTGCTTACCCCCCACTCCACCACCCGCTGCCTCCACTCAGCTGGTGCCAGCCTTCTCTTTGCCCCTTGCCTCCTCCGTCCCACCATCGGTGGCCATGCCTTCAGCCACTACGCCCCGAAACTCTGGAACTCTTCCCCTCAATCCCCCCCGCTTTGGCCCCTTCTTCCCACCAAAAGACGTTGCTTTTTTGGATCGTGGCTACCGTCACCTCCCTCCTCCCTCTCCCCCCCCCTGGCTCGGGGTCAGACTCCGCCACCGTCAAGCATTCCAAGACCCTACCACGCATGAACGGCAAATTGTTGTTGTTCAAATAGATTATGCGTGAACCTCATTGTACTTGTTCCAGGGGGATTCTGGTGGGCCTCTTAACTGCTTGTCCTATGACGGATATTGGACTGTCTATGGTATTGTGAGCTTCGGCCCAGGAACTTGCAACCAGTTTCAGAAACCAACTGTTTTCACACGGGTTTCCGCCTACCAGGACTGGATGGAAAAGGTAAGCTCCAGCTCCGAATCATTTATAGAATCATAGAATCTTAATAAATAATAGTAAACCTTGCGTGTGATGTTAGACGTCTCAAGCGCTTCACAGGACGTACTGTCAAGTGGATCGGCTATGTCTTTTGTGGGCGAAACGCGGTAGCCAATCGCGCACAGCAGCGCCCCACAAAAAGTCGTAGATTGAGCGACCAAATCCTTCTTATTATTTTGGAAGGGATTATTACCCCCAGAAAGCGATCCACCAATCGACTAACAACCAGATTCCTACTTACCGCTAGGGAAACAGAGACGTGTGGAGTAAGGAAACTTGCTCAAGGTTTCGCTCGGCCTTCGTAAGAACTTTCCTCTGATAGCCTCTCTCTCTCTCTCTCTGTCTTTTCAGGTGATACAAGCGAATGGTGGGGATTAGGACATATCAGTACAACAAGAAGAAGAACAAGTTGCATTTATATAGCGCCTTTCACTTCAGGAGGTACCAGACGGGAGGTGATGTGCAATGGATAAAAGTAGACAATAAACTACAGCACAATAAACCTCTCTCAGTCTCTGTGCTTTGTATGAAACAACAACAACAACTTTACACAGCGCCCTTCACACAGGGCAGCGTCCCAGAGCGCTTAACAATGGCGGAGCATGGGGAGAGGGAGGAGGTGACAGTAAGCACGATCGAAGAGGAAGGTCTTCAGTCGTAATCTACAAGAGGGGAAGGAGGGGGCGCGGTGGAGGGATTGAGGGAGAGTGTTCCAGAGTTTCGGGGCATTGTGGCTGAAGGCACGGCCACCGATGGCGGAGCGGAGGGGATGAGGCACCAGCTGGCCGAGCGGAGGGGGCGGGTGGTGGGTTGTGGAGTGAGCAGGTCGGAGGTGCCAGGGCATGAAGGGATTTGTAGACGGGTGAGAGGATCTTGAAGTCAATCCATTTGGATGATAAGGAGCCAGTGGAACCTGGCGAAGACTGGTGTGATAGGAGTACGAAGTTTAGAGCGGGTGAATATACAGGCGGCAACAACAACAACACTCGCGTTTATATAGTACTCTTCAAGTGGTTGCACTGCTGTCCTGACAAAATGGCCGTCAGACATGACAGATGAAACACACGAACCTTTATAAAACACTGGGTAGGCCTCAGCTCGAGACTGTGCTCAGTTCCGGGCCCCACACTTTAGGAAGGATGTCAAGGTATTGGAGAGAGTGCAAAGGAGGTTTACCGGGATAGTACCAGGAATGAGGGACTTCAGTTATGAGGAGAGGCGAGAGAAGCCGGGATTATTCTCCTTGGAGCAGAGAAGGTTAAGAGGAGACGTAATAAAAGTTTTCAAAATTATGAGGGGATTCGATAGGGTGAACAAGGAGAAACTATTCCCACTGGTGGGCGGGTTGGTAACCCGAGGGCACCGATTTAAAACAGTTGTTTAAAGAACCAGAGGGGGGGTGAGGAGAAATGTTCTCACGCAGCGAGTTGTTTGGATCTGGAATGCATTGCCTGAAAGGCCGGTGGAAGCCGATTCCATAACAACTTTTAAGAGAGAAGCAGATTATTCCCATTATTTGGGAAGGACAAGTTTGCAGGACGTTGGGGAGAGAGCGGAGGGAGTGGGATTGATTTAAGTAGGGCCGGCACAGATATGATGGGCCAAATGGCCTCCTTCTGTGCTGTATAATTCGACGATTCTATGAAGCCCTGGATGAAAGCTAACTCTCCACAGTTGAGCGTCAACAAGACCGAGGCTCTCCGTCAGGGCCTCCACACCTCAGGCGCTGACACTATCACCCATCCATTGATGCCTACTTCACCTTAGGCTCGACTACGCCAACTCCCTGCTTGTCGGCCTCCCCAACTCTTCCCCCCACGAGCTGCAGATCATCCGGAATTCTTCTCCTGCACCAGATCCATGACCCCATCAGCCCACCCTCGTCTGGCTCCGCTGGCGCTCCATCCCCCTGAGGAGCAAGTTCAAAATCTCCGTCCTCGCCTTCAAGGCCCTCCAAGGCCTTGCTCCTCCCTACCTCCGTGAACTGCTTAAACCCTATCAAACTCTCTGCTCCCTCTGCTCATTAGGCTCAGGCCTGCCCACCCCTCACCCTCTGGAACTCCATCCCACAGTCCCTTCACCTCACCCATTACCTCACCTCCTTCAGTATCCATCTGAAGACCTTCCTCTTTGACCGCGCCTCTGGATCAAACGGAAGGATTAGTATTACGCCTTGAGCCAGGAACTTGAGACAAGGATTTATTGTTCATTCTAAACATTATTGATTGTTTCTGGCGTCCCGAATGCAAATTGAGAACCCGTGTCCCTGGGAGCTCTTGATATCTCTACACGTGTGAAGAAAGGCAAGTGTTTATCTGACCACAACTTGATGCAAACAGCGTGCAGCTTATAAGAGGCCACACATATCAAACTCAACGTCTCAACATGAAGTCCTTGTGCCTTGTGTTGCTTCTCAGCCTCGGTAAGTAACGTCCCGCAGCTCAGTGGTTAGAGCACTCGTCTCGCAAGCCAGAGGACATGGGTTCGATTCCCGGGCAGGGCGAAACGTTGGTCAAGTTTCCATACTCCACGCACCTCTGTTTACCCAAGTAAGTCCAAACTCTCTGGGACACTACCCTGCGTGAGGGGCACTATCTAAATGCCAGTTGTTATTCTTGTTGTAAGTAGGAACCCGGTTTGTTAGTCGATTGGTGGATCGCTTTTCCGTTGGCAATAATCACTTGAGAAAACAAACAAATAAATAAATAAATAAATAGTAATAACAAATTGGAAGCTGCACTTTGCATTGGATTCACTCCAACACAAATTAGATAGATTTATTTTAGAAAATAGTATTTTGGGAGTATGTGTCAAGACATGTCAAGTGTAAGCGTAGTGGGTTTGGAAGAACCAGGCAACCGTGTATCTAAGGTTCCCAAAGCTTTCCACTCTCGTTGTAGAGTAATCCAATTAATTGTCGCACAATTATTTATTGTAGCACGTGACTACCAGGACGATGGAAGGCAAACCAGATAGGGCCTTGGTCTTTTTTCGTCCAGCAATTCCTACGTATGTTCCAGTTGGACACGGTGACCAATAATCCGCAAACAGCTGTGAAGTGAATGAGCGGTTTTATCTGAGGGACTGTTGGCCTGACATAGTTAAAAGGGAAATTTCTACTAACCTGTTTCTCCTCTTATTCCCGATCGACGATGTAAGGAGTCCTGTAGTGTAGTGGTTGGAGCCCTCGCCTCGCAAGCCAGCAGACCTGGGTTCGATTCCTGGGCAGTGTGAAACCTTGGGCAAGGTTTCCTCACTCTGTTTGCCCAGCAGTAAGCAGGAACCCGCTTGTTGATCGATTGGCGGATCGCTTTTCTGGGGGTTAATAATATCCCTTTCAAATGAAATCAATCAATAAGTAATAATAGTAAATTGGTCGCTCAATCCATGGGTGTTTGTGGGACGCTGCTGTGCGCAATTGCCTTACGCATTTCGCCCGCAAAGTACACAGTCGATCCACTCTGCAGTGAAGCCGCTTTGAGACGTCTCGACGATGTGATAAGGCGCTGTATCAAATGCAAGGATTATTATTATTACTACTTACGAAATAGGAACGGTGTCTGGGCTTCCGACCCCTCTCAGCCACAACGAACGTGTCGTCGGAGGAGAGGAAGCAACACCACACCGATGGAAATGGCAGGTAGGAGAGAGAGAGAGAGAGAGAGAGAGGGAGGGGCGTTAGTAATCTCACACAATCACATCGCTTTGGACGAAGAAAAAAGAGGGAGAGAGGGAGAGAAACTCCCTTCTATTTTTGCGGGATCATTAACAGGATACAGACAGCTTTTAACATCTCCCTCGCCTCCTTCAAGTCACGCCACAAGACCCTTCGTCCGTGCCTTCGGCCACCCCGCTACCCTCTCTGCCCTCCACCCTCCCCAATCCCAACGCTCCCAGCTCGGGTCCTTGTGTATTCATTCACTCCTCAAGCCCTACCTTGTCGTCTCTTATTCTTATCCCTGTGGGTTTCCCCCCACCCTGCAGGTCTCTTTGCAGATCAGCCCTGTGTGGGACCCTGATGGTTTTGCCCACCTCTGCGGTGGTACCATTGTCTCTCCGTATTGGGTCATGACCGCTGCCCACTGCATCATAGCGTAAGTAACGCAGCGCCCCATCACGTCGTTGAGACGCCTCAAAGCGCTTCACGGGAGAACAATATATCAGTAACGGTATTAATCCTCTCCTTCGATAGAGCGCTTTATATTGTAAAGTAGATTTAACCGCGTATTTTGTGGGTGAATCCTGCCAGCCAATTGGGGCGAGTGAACATTTTTATCCGGGGGAAGTGTTTGCCAGGACTCCGGGGGAGAGAACATTATTTGGTTAAATATTATTGGCTATCTCAATTGTTCTTGAACCATTTTGCTTCCACCGTCCCTCTCCCCGAGGGGAGCCCGTTCCCTACGTGGCAGGGTTTTTAGAAGGTCCCAGAGCTCGGGTCGAGGCTGGATCGTAGAGAGGTTTAAACCGAGGACGCAGATGAACCTGGGAGGCCCCAGACTGTGGCTAACTGCAAAGCTTGTTTCTTGCCCAGAACCGAGGGGAAAATGTACCGAGTGGCTTTGGGAGAGCACGACCTCTACGAGGATGAAGGCACCGAAAATTACGTCGACGTGAACTACATTTACCTTCATCCTTACTGGAACCCCACTGACCTGACGCTCGGGTGAGTCAACGACAACATTTCCATGAGATGTGGTGTCGTGACTGTGCGACTCGTGGGCGAATGTGGCAGCTGATAGGTGGCTCCGCAGGACGCTGCTGATGACCGCGCAGCCCGGCCTGGCTCGTCGGCAGGACCTGGAAGTGATCAGTCACTGTGGCCAGAGAGTCATCTCACTCAGCTCCTGGTAACCCCGCAGCCAAAGCCCTAACTAACGGGGAGGGAGGTCCAAGCAGCGGGAAAGCTTGGCCGGACAGCGCTCTCGATGGCCGAGCTGTGTGGGGGTTTAGCTGGTTAGACTCCAGCAGTTACCCCAACGCACACTCTGGGCTCCCCAACACCCTACCCCCCCTCCCAAGCCTTGGCTCTCGCCAACCTTCGCCTAATACTTTCCGGAATTAAGTAAACGGGGGTGGGGGGGGGCGTCCCTCCAGCGAGAGAGAAAGAGAGAGAAAGAGAGAAACTCCTTTCTCTTTTCGAACAGCACTGTGGGATCTTTAACACCCACCTGAACGGGCACAGACGGGGAGGTTGGTTTAATGTCTCACCTCCAATAATCCAACCCACCCTCAGTGTTGCATTGATTCCAACGTGGGGGCTTGAACCCTCAACACGGGTGGGGTGCTCGAACCCTCAACCTTCTGAGTTATCCCTTGTGCTTTCAGCAACGACATTGCCTTGCTGCACTTGGCCGATCCAGTGTCTGAGGACTCAAACATTGAGATCGCGACACTGCCAACTCCTGGAGACACATTGCCGAGTGGTCACCCTTGCTACATCACTGGCTGGGGGTTAATCCAAGGTAAGTCTCACCTACTCTAAAGCTTCGCGTCCCGAGCCGCTGGGCAGTCGAGGGTTATTTCCCGGGGGGGCAATAATCCCATCAAAACATCATAATAATAATGATTAAATCCACGGTCGCTCAATCCACGGCTGCTCGTGTGCGCAATTGGCTGCCACGTTCCGCCCACAAGACACACAGTCAATTCACTTCCTTCTGTGAAGCCCTTTGAGGCGTCTCGAAGACGCGATCGGGCGCTGCATCGAATGCAAGGGTTGTTGTTGTTGTTGTTGTTGTTAATGGTATGTGACTGCTCCCTGCAGCCGGGGGTAACGCAGCGATCCGCCTGCAGGAGGCGCTGCTCCCCGTGGTAGACCACGCCACGTGCTCGAGGGACGAATGGTGGGGCTCCGGTGTGAACCAGCGAATGATCTGCGCTGGAGGAGACGGTTCAAAGGCCGGCTGTCACGTAATTACGAACTCATGATGCACAGAAAGAAATAGGTCCCCATGGAGAGAGGGAGTGAGAGAGAGAGAGAGAGGGACACAGAGAGAGAGAGAGAGAGAGAGAGCTAGCAAAGGAGACGTGAAAGACACTATATCACGTGTAATGATTCTCTCTCTTAATTCTCTTAATTCTCTTAAATCTGTGTCCTCTGGTTACCAACCCACCCGCCAGTGGAAAGAGTTTCTCCCTATATATCTACTCCTCTATTCCAGAACACCTCCATTAAGTCTCCCCTTAACCTTCTCTGCTCTAAAGAGAGCAATCCCAGCTTCTCTAGTCTCTCCGCATCTCTAAAGTCCCTGGTCCCATTATTACTATATCGTTATCAGTATAAAATTATAAAGTGTTTATCTCTACCTTACCCAAAACCAGCGTGAAAGGGCTCCCGAATAGTCACACCCTACTGAGCAGGTGCAAAAACCTTAAATACTTCCCCGGCTCAACCACCACAGGGCGGGGGGGGAGGGGGGGTGGGAGTAGTCCCTGTAAACCCAAGGTGGGTTGAGTTTGACACACATCACGACAGTTCTTTTCCAACGGTCGACATTATATCAATGGACTTAACGCTGTCGCATCTCGCCCTCAGTATACACAGTCGCTACACTTTACACGATATCCTGTTGTTGTTGTTGCCCAGGGGGATTCGGGGGGGCCTCTTAACTGCGAGGGAACCGATGGCTCCTGGGTGGTCCAGGGCATCGTCAGCTTTGGCCCAGGAACGTGCAACATTTATCAGAAGCCAACGGTCTTCACCAGAGTGTCTGCATACCTGGACTGGATCAATGAGGTGAGACCGGGGTTGAGTTGGAGTTGCGTGTCATCTCCTCTTCCCCCTTCCTCAAAGTCTTCAGCTCGTCTCCTTCAGGCTCCGTCCTGCTCCACGTCCCCCCACCCGGCCCACCCCACCCTCAGCCTTTCTGTCCCCACTCTTTGGAACCCATCCGTCATTCCCTCCCCCTCGCCCCCGCCCCTCCCTTGCCTCCTTCGAGGCATGCCTCAAGACCTTACTCTTCGACCACCCTCCAACCCTTGCCCTCCCCTAACCCTCCACCCCTCCTGATCCCAACCCCCAGCTCGGGTCCAAATCCCTGACTGTCCAGCGCCTTGGGACGTCCGCCCGACGCGAAAGGCGCCGGGTCAATGACGTATTGAAGTACGAGTCCAACCACACCGCTACGAGGCGCTATCCCGTGCCAAGGTCGCTGCGTGACACTGAGTTGTTGATCTCTTCCAGGTGGTCGCTAGTAAATGATGGTGACGGGAGTCTGACTGAGCGGCGAGAGCTGGGAGGCTGAGAGACCCACGAGATCTCATCAATAAAGAGAGGGCACAAAACACCATCGTCTCAGTGTCTTTGTCTTGTCTTCCTTTCTTAGTTGATCGGCGGGTTCCTACTTACTGCGAAGTAAACAAGAGGCTTGTGTGTGTGCGTGTGTGTGCGCGTGTGTGTGCGCGCGCGTGTCTGTGTGTGTGTGCGCGGTGAGGAAACCGCCCGGGAATCGAACCCAGGTCCTCTCGCTTGCGAGGCCGAGTGCTCTAACCACTGCGCTACAGCCACAGAGACCACACGCTGCGTAATTCATTTTTTTTTTATTAATTAAAAGTTTGGAAAACGGGTTCGAGCTGCTCGAATGAAACGAACAAGCGTGTAAATCCATCGCTATTGTACAGCGTAAGCCAAGTGTCTGGTTTCCTTCAATATATATATATATATATATATATTAAAAAAAAAGCCACGAATCCATAGTACCATCTGCGACAAAAATGATTGATTTTTATATTATAATGATATATCTATTTACACAGTGAAGGCAAACAGGTAACTGCTTGACAAGTCATTCAATTCGTAGCATAATTTACCCCTAACACTTTGTAATAAATACATATCTTCCTGAATTTCACTTCAATATCTTACAGGGCCGCAGGCAGGAAGGAGCAAATAGCCAGATCTCTCTGGTGTGTGTGTGTGTGTGTGTGTGTGTGTGAGTGAAAAGATGTCCCACTTGTCTTTTTGGCACAGGTAACAAAAAACGGACAGAGCTACAATAAATACTTAAATATAATCCTCGAAAAAAAAAAAACCCTCGCGTTCGACGTGGCGCCTCATCACGTCGTCTCGGGGGACGTCTCAAAGCCCTTCGGGGGATTTGCTATCAAGCGGTTTGACTGGGCGTTTTGCGGGCGGAACGCAGAAAACAATTGCGCTCGGCTGTGTCCCACCAACAGCCGTGGACTGAGTGGCCAAACGTTTGCGTGGACGGATTTATTACCCCCCCACGCCCCCCGGAAAGCGACCGGGTTCCTGCTTGCTGCTGGGGAAACCTGCCAAAGGTTTCGTCCTGCCGGGGAATCGAACCCGGGTCCTCTCGCTCGCGAGGCGAGTCCGCGACCCGCTGAGCTACCGGACAGTGAAGCCCAAAGCCTTTTTTTTTTTTTCATCGTCAAACACTCATAAATAATCACAAACGAGATATAGAAACTAACCGAGAAGATAAATAAGTTGCAGCAATCCAGTACGGCGCAGAGGTTTAAATACTTCTTCCCCGGCCCCATCCCCCCACACCCCACCCCCCCCCCCGCCCCACCCCACCCCACTCGCGATTTGTTTTGATATAAAGTGTATGTACAGTACAAAATCTTCATTTATAATTTATCGCCTTTCTTGATACATCGGACGCGTTTAGAAAAAGAAAACTCCCACCTTCTCTCTCTCTCTCTCTCTCTCTCTAAGCTCAACGGAAATCGTGACCGTCGGTTTAGACTGAACGGGGAAGGAACGAGAGAGTGCGCCGGGAGGAAGATAAGAGGTTAATTATCCTCTCTCTCTCTCTCTTTCTCTCTTTCTCTCGAGTGTCAAGTGGAGCTTTGCACTCCAGTGAAATTCTCCGGCGCAAGAAAGGGTGATTTTCCTTTAAAAGTAAAATGATAATAATAATAATATAATCGCGTTTGATAGAGCGCCTCATCACGTCTTCGAGACGTCTCAAAGCGCTTCACAGGAACACACCGGTGAGGACACGAAACAGACCCCCACACCTGGTTTTCAATGGCTTTCGCACAGAATTAATCAATAAATTAATCAATGGTTAGTGCTCATCAATAAAATAAAACCACCTTCGCTACACTGAAGCAAATTTTCCTTCAGGTACACCCCTCCGCATTTCAATAAACCCACGAGAATCAGAGCCTAATTGACACTAAATCAGTTTTAAATCCGTGTGAATTATTCCCCTCAAATTACAATATGTAATTCTTAAATAGTTCTTATGAGAGAGAGAGAGAGAGAGAGAGACGAAACGCAAAGTATTTCTTCCAAAACAACACCCCCATTCCCCCTCCTTGAGCTACAACTTTTGAGGACATTTCGCTCCAATAAGTTAGTTGTCTTCACTCTTTTTTTTCTCTCTTTCTCTCTCCCTCTCTCTCTTTCTCTCTCTCTCCATCTTTATACACTCGCGATAAAAGTTTCTGATCATCGCCATTGATAATTCCAGTAAAGTCTCTCTGTCCCTCCCTCACCCCCTCCCTCGATCCCTCTTTCCTTCTCCCCCTCCTCCAATCACTTCTGATTTCCGACCGACCGACCGCCTGCCCGGCTTTTCTCTTCCACCAAAACATTGGTAGGCGAGGTCTCCTCGGAGCTGAACTGGCCCCAGGGTGACATGTTTGGCAATGGAAATAATCCTTTTGTTTGACACAGCACCTTATCGCGTCGCCCGGCCTTCTCAAAAGCCCTTCGCGGGACGTACTGTAAAGTGTAGTGACTGCGCATGTTGTGGGCAGTCGGTTGCGCACAGCGGAGTCTCTGCCCCCACCCCCGCGAACAGTCGTGGAGTGAGCGACTACATTTTATGTGGGGGAACACCGGGAAGAGAGAGAGAGAGAGAGAAAAACTCCCTTCTCTTTTCAACTGTTCTGCCTCATTTCGCCCACAAAATATACAGACAACTCACTTTACGGTGTATCCTGTGAAGCGCTTCGAGACGTCTCGGGGACGTCTACGCCTGGTTCTCCTCCTGAAGCCCAGGGTAAATTTGGACCTTAAGTCATCCGAAACCATCCTCTCTTGCCCCCGCCCCCCCCCAACCCCACTCCCCCACCCCCCCCTCCCCTACTCCCTCCGTACCGCACGAGAGAGAAAGGAACTCTCTTTTTTATACAGCACCCGATCACACGGAAACACTTTGCCGTAAGTGTCAAAAAAAAACTTTGACGCTACAGTTAGCGATGAACGGTTGGTATTATCCAGAGTTTTCCAACTCCTGTTCACCGCTCGGTAATCAGAGGGGTGTGTGTGTGTGTGTGGGGGTGGGGGGTGTGCGTGTGTGTGTGTGGGTGGGGGGTGTGTGTGCGGGGTGGGGGGGCGTAAGGAAACTTGCCCCACATTGTGCCTTGCCCGAGAATCGAACCCGGGTCACTCTCTCTCTCTCTCTCTCTCTCTCTCTGTCGCGAGCCCTCTCTCACCGCCGAGCTACAGGATTCCACCTAAAAGTTAAACGTTAACCCGCGGATGATTAAACCGTGCGAAAACCTCGGCTTCGGACCCGCCCGGAAAAACACTTCCTTCCTGCTCGCACCAAGCCGCTGAATTTTGACCTGTTCCTTTCCAGGTACGGCGGACGCGGGTTAATAATACACCATCAAATAATCCTCGCAGCCTGATATCTCGTGGCTCGTCGCCTCGTCGACGCGGCTCAAAGAGCTTATCGCAGCAGGTTTTTACTTTTATTTTAACTGCACGCCGGGGCGCTTCGTGGGCGAAGGCGGCGGACAACTTGCGCCCAGCGACTTCCCGGTAAACAGCCGTGAAGGGGAGCGACTGGTTTTATCTGGGAGGGATTGGCGGCCAGGAAACCGAGAGAGAGAGAGAGAGAGAGAGAGAGAGAGAAGAGAAAGACTCCTTTTTGCCACAAGAACTTTAACGTCCACCTGAACAGCCAAAGACCGGACTTCGGTGTACAGGTTCGTTCGTGTCTCCGAAGTGTGGAGGACACCGGATTTTTTTCCTTCTATTTTTTTGTTCTTTCTTCCTATCTTCCTCGTTCCTTATCTTCCTTCCTTCCTTCCTTTCAAGATCCTCAGACTCCTCTCCAAAGCCCTTCATATCTTGGCACTTCCCCGCTTCTCCGACCTGCTTAATCCCCCCCCTCACCCCACCCCACCCCTACCCCCCACCCCTACCCTCCCAACCCACCACTCGCTGCCCTCCGCTCAAACTACTCCCCGAGCACTCTCTCTCTCTCTCAATCCCTCAGTCTCGTCCCCTCCTTCCCCTCTGTTCGATCACGACTGAAGACCTTCTTCGAAGACCGCGCTCACGGTCACCTCCCCCCTCCGCCGCCGTCGAGGGCCGCGGGACCCTAACCTGCGCGAGGGGAGCTGCGTAAATGCAAGTCGTTGTCCCTTCTTCCCCGTTCCTCTTTCTCTCTTCCTATCCCAGTATCAGGAGGAGGATCAGGGGAGATAACTCCGGTGAATGAACCATTCCCAGCGCAGACTCGGTGGACCGTTTCTCCTCTCGGGAGACTAATCCGCATCCTGGTCCTCTGTGTTTCAGCGCCTCGCTCGCTGCTTTCAGGTGGGACCAATCTTTGGGAAGCCAAGCGATGGAGCCGGAGGACACGATGAGGCGGGCACATTCCATGTGGAACCTCTCCGTTTCAGACTCGGAAAATTCCCAAAGGCTGTCTGTATCCCAACTGGTGACCAGGTACGAGGTGTGGGGGTGAGGGTGAGGGGTTACCGAGGGGGTGGTGGGGGGGGGGGGGGCGGCGCGAGTGCGCGAGTTTGAGCGCCAATTGGAGAACACAAGAGTGCTGCGAAAATGAGATGATAATAATAATAATAATAATAATAGTCCTGTGGTTTGATACAGCGCCTTATCGCGTCTTGGGGACGCCTCAAAGCCCTTCGCCGAACACGACCGCGAGGTCGGAATTGACCGCGAGTTTTCGTGGGCGAAACGCGGCAGCCAATCGCGCCCGCAAACAGTCGAGGGGCCTGACGTGAACCGAGTCGTCGCCGACGAGTGAGAAAGAGAGAACGAATTAAAGATAAAAGAGAAAATGAAAGGAGGGAAAGGAAAACCGAGGATGAATTAAAAAGAAAGATTGCGTCTGATACGGAGCCTCGGTCCTTGTTGTCAAATCTTTATGGTTAATAATAATAATAATAACCCTTGACTTTCATATATAGCGCCTTATCACGTCTTCGAGACGTCGTACAGCTGCTTTAGGCAAAGTCCAGTGCTTGCGTGGGAGTTTTTTTTGTGTGGGGATTATTACAGGTTGGCAGAGAGAGAGAGAGACAGAGAGAGAGATAAAAAACTCCCTTCCCTTTACGGTCCTTAACGTCCACCTGAACGGGCAGACGGGACCCGTGTTCCACGTCCCATCTGAAGGACACCCCCCTCAACAGCACACGCTGCCCGGTGCCCCTGCGTTGAAGTATCAGCTTAGACTACGAGTTTCCAAGTCCCAATATTTCCCGATCCACTGTTCGAAAAGAGAAGGGAATTGCTCTTTCTCTCTCCTTCTCCTTCTCTCTCTCTCTCTCTCCTTCTCTCCCGGTTTCCTGGCCAACAATTCCCCCTCACACCCCAAATAAAATCGGCCACTCGCTCCACGACTGTATGTGAGACGTCACTGCGCGCAATGAGCCGTTGAGTTTACCTCCAAATACGCAGTTGCTTCACTTGACATTGGAACCCCTTCGAAGTTCTTCGGGATGCCTTCCCGACGCGAAAGGCTGAGACGTAAGGATTATTACGTGGGGTCCCTGTGGCTCAGTGGTTAGAGCCCTCGCCTCGGGAGCGAGAGAGGACCCGGGGTTCGATTCCCGGGCAGGTTGGGTTGAAACGTTGGGCAAGTTTCCTTACTCCACACACACACACTAGGCCCTGAAACTCTGGAGCACCCAATCCCTCCGCCTCGCCCCCTTCCTTCCTTATCTTCAGGTCGCGCCTTAAGACCTTCTTCTTCGACCGTGCCTACGGTCACCCCACCCCACCCCACCTCCCCCAACACCACCCATCTTGGCCTCGTGCTCCTCCACTGTCAAGCGCTCTGGGACTCTACGCCGTGTGAGTTGTTGTTGGTACAAGGTGACTCTAACCCGAGCCTCTGTTGGTTTCTCTCTGTAGATTTCAGAGTATCCACGATCTGAGGAGCGCAGACACGGAGCAGGAAGAGAGGGTGAGACAAAAGAGGAAACGTTATGTGGCACATTGCCACGTTGCCACCGGTACATCTGTGGCCAGCGTCGCTCACGCTGGATCAGCACCGTCTATTAGGAACATGAGAGCCAGGAGGAGGCCATTCAGCCCCCCTCGAGCCTGTTCCGCCATTCTATTAGATTGGTGAGAAGTCCTGTAGCTCTCAGTGGTTAGACAGCTCGCTCGCCTCGCAAGCGAGAGGACCCGGGTTCGATTCCCAGACGGGGTGAAACCTTCGGCACGTTTCCTCACTCCGCGCACACACGCCTCTGTTTTACCGGCAGTCAGTAGGACGCTGGTTGTTAGACGACCGGACGAGGGTAATAATCCCTCCAAAAAATAATAATTTGGTTACTTAACCCACGACTGTTTGTGGGGACGCTGCTGTGCGCAATTGGCTGCCATATGCACAGTCACTTCACTTTACAGTATATTCTGTGAAGCGCTTTGAGACGTTCTCAATGATGTGGTTAATATACACACACATAAACATACAGATACACACACACACACAGATATATACACACATAGATATACACACACACCAACATACACACACACACAGATATACAAACACAAATATACACACACACACAGATATATACACACGACGCACATATACACAAACACACAGATACACACACACACACACACAGATATACCCACACAGACACACATACACACACAGATATATATACACACACACACAGATACACACACACAGATAAACACACAGATACACACACACAGATAAACACACAGATACACACACACAGATGTACACACACACGCACACACGCGCACACAGATATACACACCCAGCTCAGGCCCGACTCCTTGACTGTCCAGCGCCTTGGGACGTCCTCCCCGACGTGAAAGGCGCCGTGTAAATGTAACATGTTGTTGGTGTTGTTGTTGTTGTGTGTGTAGCTCGCAAGCCCTGTCACGTTACCGTCAAACAAGATGGAGTATCTGCGTCAGCTGTTCGAGTGCCGAGGCCCTAAGGGGGGGGCGCTGGCTCAGAGGAAGTACAAGTCCATGGAGAACCTGTCCCAGATCCGGACCATGAGCCCCGATATCAGGAACCTGAGGTCCATCTTCGAAAAGCCCTGCGCCCTGAGTCAGGGCCCCCCTCCAGCCTTCCCCCAGCCCAGCACCCCGGGGCCCGAAAGAGAGGGGCACCAGACCCCCAAGACACCAGCCCCTCGGGTCAAAGCCACCGATGGAGATGGCTTGGATGACGCTCCTCCTAAGCCCGACCAGCAGGTTGTCAAGGTGGGTACATGTCTCCCCCACTTGCTCCCCACTACCCCGCTCCCCAATGGGAGGGCTGTGTGGGTTTTTAGTTGGTTACACTTTAGCAGAAACCCCCACAAATAATAAACCCCCCAAAAAAAACACAATTGGGTCACTTCGATCCACAACTGTTGTGCGCAATTGGCTGCCGAGTTTCACCCACAAATTACGATCCCCCCTCACCCACCACCCTACTCACTCCACTCCCCACCCTCCACTCCCCCCACCCTACACCCCCACCCTACACCCCCCACCCTACACCCCCTGTCCTACAGCCCCTACACCCCCCACCCACCCCCCCACCAGCAAAAAAAGAATAATGGTTTGCTCTCATCATTGCCACAGGAGGGACTATCCAGCCAGACCGTCACCCCCGAGCGAGGACAGCGTCCGACACCCCTGCCCCGCAAAAGCATTTCTTCCTCAACCGCCAACAACAGACGTGAGTATTCACCGTGACCCGGGGACCCCCGACCCGGGCCGTCGAGGGTTCGGTCTCTAAATAACAACCACCTTTACATTTCCGTTTCGCCCGTAAAACACACAGTCACTCCACTTTACAGCCTATTGTGCGAAGCGCTTTGAGACGTCTCAACGACACGATAAGGCGCTACATCAAATGCAAGGATTATCATTATTACTATTATTATTATTAATATTATTAGTTTGCAAAGTCTCTACGGGATGGAAACGGGCCCATTGGCCCAACCCGTCCGTGCCGGTGTTTATACTCCACGTGAGAACTCCTCACCTGTTCTACCGTGAGCCGAGACGATGAGGTCCTTGATTTGTGGGCTTCAACTGGGTCAGTGTGACAGCTCGAGAGCACTCGGCTCTCAGGCAAGAGGACCCGGGTTCGATTCCCACAAAATACACGCGTCATAGCAAATTCCGTGAAGCGCTTTGAGACGTCTCAACGACATCCACGAGGCGCTATATCAAACGCGAGGATTATTGCAATTATACAAATTTGTGTGGTCCAATATAAAACTATTATAACGGCAGTGAAGAAAAATTCTATATTATTACGTATAATAAAAAACGAAACGATTGCAGGTGATCGTTCGCAATGAAATATTACTTTTCCGATAGCAAAGTTGTTGTGGTAATAATTAGATTATTACGCTTTTTTTATTATTATTATTCTTATAAAAAAAGTTAGGATTGTTCTATTCTAGGAAAATGCTAACATTGATGTACACAACAACAACAACAAGAAGATTGCATTTATAGAGCGCCTTTCGCGTCGGGAGGAGGTCCCGAGGCCCTGGACAGTTGGGTCGGGACCCGAGCATTGGTGGGGGGGAAATGGTCAGGGTGAGGGGAGGGAAGGGAGGGAGCAAGGAGGGGGGAGATGGTAGGGTGAGGGGAGGGGAGGGAGCGAGGAGCGGGAGATGGTTAGGGTGAGGGGGGGGGGGGGGGGGGGGGGGGGGGGGGGGGGGGGGAGGGGGAGGGGGGGGGGGGGGGGGGGGGGGGGGGGGGGGGGAGATGGTTAGGGTGAGGGGAGGGAGCGAGGAGGGGGGAGATGGTCAGGGTGAGGGGAGGGAAGGGAGGGAGCGAGGAGGGGGAGATGGTCAGGGTGAGGGGAGGGGAGGGGAGGGGAGGGAGGGAGCGAGGAAGGGGCAGAGAGTCGAGGGGGGAGCTGAAGGCACGGTCCAAGAGAAAGGTCTTGAGAAAGGTAGCGCCTTCATGTTGGGAGGACATGTCAAAGCAAGTATTATTACTGTTATATACTGAAACTGAAACTCGCAACCTTCTGACTCAGAGGCGAGAGGGTAAGTGACTGAGCCGGGCTGACACATGCGGAGAGTAGCCAGTGGTCACCGAGGAAGTGATGACTTCTACATTCCTACTGTCTATTGTCGGGAACTGTTTACAAGTCTGGCCAGAGCGAGCGAGAGAGAGCGAGAGCGAGAGAGAGAGAGAGCGAGAGAGAGAGACTCTATCCCTGACTACCAGTCACCCTCTGTCTACACATTACACTAAAAATAGGTCTCCTTTCATTACTTGCAATTTCCCAGATCACATGAAGAGAGAGTGGGAGTTAACGATAACATCAGTGTACAAAAAAATAACTCATAATATATTCACTCCCCGGCTGTTTGTTGGGCATTGAAATACCTCTGTGTAGCGACACCTTCGTATAGTCCGATATTGACACCTCTATGTAGTAGTTAACCAGCGCATTGGTTAGAGGACCCGGGGTTCGATCCCCGGGTGGGGCCAAACCTTGGGCAAGTTTCCTTACTCCGCGGGCCTCTGTTTGCCCGGCAGTCAGTGGGGAACCCGGTTGTTAGTCGAAGGCGCTATATCAAACGCAAGGATTATGATGATGTGATCCCCAAGTCCTGACGTGGGGAATGGAGCCCACGAGCTTCTGACGAGGTGGTGGTGGTGGTGGAGGGGAGTGGGGGGTGCGGGGAGGGGGGGGTGACATGGGAATCACCTTCCTGTGGTCTTATAAGGTCCTCTCTGATCTGGGTGTGTGCGGTCGCCTGAGCTGGACGGTGTCGGGGCCGCTCTGTGCTTGATGAGAACACTGCTATTTCCGGTGATCCAGAACCTCGTCAACGTCTAATTCTGCTCCCAGTGAGCAGCGCTGTGTCAGAGGGCAAAGGCAACACGAGCGAGTCCCAGGGTCGGGGTGACTCAACAGAGAACCAGCCATTAACACCCCCCCACACACCCCCACCCCCGACTAGATCCGACCTCATCAGCAAAGAATGTGACACGGACATCGCAATAATAATAATAATAAAAATCCATGCATTTGATGCAACGCCTTCGAGACGTCTCGCAGAGCAATTGGCTGCTGAGTTTCGCCCACAGTCACTACACTTTGTCAAATGTATCAAGCGCAAGGATTATTATTGTTGTTGTTGTTGTTATCGCACAAGTGAGAGCGCGCCCGAGAGATGCAGACGTGAAAGGTGGCCACTAGAGGGCACTGTATCACAAGCAGTTGCTCCAATGGTGTCCCAAGACCACAAGATTGGGTTTGGAATGAAGACCCTTTTGGCCCATCTGGTCTCCCCCCTCTCTAGGACACCCACCCTACCGCTTCCCCGCCCCCACCCCCTGTAGTCGCTCAGTCCACGACTGTTTGTAGGATTCCGCTGTCCGCCATCGGCTGCCGCGTTTCACCCAGGAAATACACAGTCACTCCACTTCGCAGTGTATTCTGTGAGGTGCTTGAGGACAGCTCAACGACGTGATCAGGCGCTGTAGCAAATGCAAGGATCATTATTACTGTTGTGTGTTTAAATGCTATTTACGATGATCCCGATCCCGCGGCCTGGGGTCTATGGTGGGGATTCCACCGCTATTTCAGTCTCGACACAATTGTAAGGGAGAGAGTAGGAGGATTTGGGGAGTGTGGGGTGCGGGAGGGGGGGAGGGGGGGGGTGATGGGAACAGGGAACGTGTGAGATCATGGCTATCTGGGAAGTGTCCAGGAACAGGTGCCGATGGAATGATAGGAACGTAGGGGTGACATGGCTGCTTCCCTCCCCCTTCCCCCCCCCCCTCCCCTGGGAGAGCGACAGCAATCCTGAGCCCCTATTAATAGATCGCGTTCACCCTCCTAACATAGCCCTCGGCACATAGATAAAACCAGCTGTCATCGGCTCCCAGAGTCCGAAAGAGACTGAGCCTGAGCCTGAGCCGGGAGCGGACTTCCTTTCACATAGAGCCATTCAGACACTCAGAATTCCTGTCTTCCCGCAGGGAAACTAGCACATCCCGGGATCTCTCCGTCCCGGAGAAGGCTGAGGTGAGTCCTCTTGCTTTCCGCCCTCCAGTCCTGCTCGGAAGAGGCTCGATATAAATGCAAGTTGTTGTTTTTGTTGTTGGGGGGGGGGAGAGAGAGAGAGAGAGAGAGAGAGAGAGGGGGAGAAAGAGCTCAGATTGAGGTTGAGAGAGGAATGGACACGGCTCGAATGAGCCGTTCTCTCGTTGTGTGTCTCGGTGGTAGCGCTCTCTCTCTCTATCTCTCTCTCTCTCTCTCTCTCTCTCTCGCCCCTGGAGTCAGAAGTTTGTGGGTTCAAGCCCCGCTTCGGGAATCGGAATCACGTGGTCTCAGAAATGTTTTCACACTCAAGAGTTGTTGGGGGTCGAGAATACTCTGCCCAGTCGGGTGGGAGAGGCAGAGAAGATTGTGGGCTTCAAGCGTGAAATAGCTGAGTATATAATTATGATAATAGTCCTTGCACTTGATCCAGCGCCTCATCACATCGTCTCAAAGCGCTTACACAGAATATACTATGAAGTGGAGTGACTGTGGATTTTGTGGCAGAAACGCGGCAGCCAATTCCACACAGCGGCGTCCCACAAACGTTCGGGGAAAGTGGGGAGAGGGGGGGAATTATCACCCCCGATCCGCCAATTAACGCACAACCTGCCTTTGCCCACAAAAATATACGGTCAATTACGCTTCACAGTATATTCTGTGAAATGCTTTGAGACGTCTCGATAAGGTGCGATGCGAAAGACAAGGATTATTACTATTATGTTACTTACTGCTGAGGTGTGTGTGTGTGTGTGTGTGTGTGGGGAGTGAGGAAACTTGCCTAAGATTTTGCCCCGGGTCCTCTCGCTCGCTCGCGAGGCGAGGGTCTCTAACCGCTGAGCTACAGGACTCCTATGCGTAGGAGTTTGGGGAAAGGGCAGTGCCCCAGTCTGGGCAGTGGGATCGGATGGACGGCTTCTCTGAGAGGAACCGAATGGCCCACGTTCTGCGCCAAGTCATGTGTTTATTTCCGGCTGATCGGAGATTTGGCTGCGGGAAGAGACAAGTTTAAGATGATCTGAAATAGAATTAAAGTGGGGGTTGGGGGGGGGAAATAAATGCCTCGCACAGAGAGCGGTGGGAATGTGGGACTCCCAACCGCACTCTCCGTTTGAGGCGGGTGGGTCGGTGGGTGAGACCAAATTCCATAGTCAACCCAGCAGCTGCTGTGGAGAGAAAGAGAAAGAAAAAGTAAGAGAGAGAGAGAGAGAGAGAGATGGAGATAGAGAGTCAAAGAGAGTGTGTGTGTGTGTGAGAGAGAGAGAGAGAGAGATGAAGAGATTTTTCGCCCACAAAATATACAGTCAATTCACTTTACTGCGAAATGCTTTGAGATGTCTCGAAGACGTATCAAATGCAAGGATTATTATTATTACTATTATAGATGGACAGAGCGGGAGATGGAGAGAGTCGGGGAGAGTCAGAGTATGTAAGACACATAGAGAGAGAGAGAGAGAGAGAAAGAGAGAGAAAAAGAGAATGAATGACAGAAAGGAAGATCTAGAGAGGGAGAGAAGAGGGGGATAGAGAGAGAGTCAAAAAGTGATCGAGAGAGAGAGAGAGAGAGAGATGGGGAGAGAGAAAGAGAGAGAGAATCAGAGAGAAGGGCAGAGAGAGAGAGAGAGAGAGAAAGAGAGCGAGAGAGAGAATCAAAGAGTGAGAGAGATTAGGAGAAAGGGAGAGAGAGAGAGAGAGAGAGAGATACAAGGAGAGAGGCTTCGGATTCTGTTCCAGGAATAGTGAGTGTCTGCATTCCGGCCAAACACAGCCAGGAAACCGCGAGCGAGAGGGGACCCGGGTTCGATTCCCGGGCAGGACAGGGGGCGAAACCTTAGGCAAGTTTCCTTACCCCCCTCCACACACACACACACACACACACCCCTCTGTTTACACCGCAGTCAGTAAGAACCCGGTTGTTAAGTCGATTGGCAGATCGCCTTTTTCCGAAGGGGTAACAACCCCTCCCCACAAAAACTTGGTCACTCAATCCACGACTGTTTGCGGGGACGTCGCTGTGCGCAATTGGCTGCCGCGCTTGGCCCACAACCCAGTCACTACGCTCGACAGTGTGTCCTGCGAAGGGCTTTTGAGGCGTCTCGATGACACCATAAAGCGCTATATCAATTGCAAGGATTACTATTATTATTATTATTATTATTATTATTATTAGTCACCCACAACCAGTCTCAAACGACTTGACGCGGAATTGCTGTCAAATGTGACTGTGTCCGTTTGTGGGGCTGAGAAGAGGGGAATCGGTTTCCTCTCTTCTACTATCTCCGTCTTCTCTTTCTCACTCTCTTTCTCTGTCTGTCTTTTTCTCTGTCTCTCTCTGCGTCTCTCTCTCTCTCTCTCTCTCGCTGTGGTCTGCTCCTGTTTCTCCCTCTCCCCCTCTCTTTGTCTCACCCTTTCCCTCTCTCTTTCCCTCTCTCTGTCTGTCTTTGTCTGTCTCTCTCTCTCTCTCTGTATATATATATATATATATATATGTGTGTCTCTCTCTCTCTCTCTGCCACTCTCTGTCGCTCTTTCTCTACCTTCCTCTCTGTTACTCTCCCTCTGTGTCTCTGCCTCTCTCACTCTATCTCTCCGTGGCTCTCTCTTGGTCTCTCGCTCTATCCGTCTCTCTCTCTCTCTCTCTCTGTCTGTCTGTCTCTCTCTGTGTAATAATCCCTCCACCAAAAACTGAGAGATTATTAACTGAGGGATTAATAAATTATTTATTTATCCCTTTATATCTCTGTCTATCTCTGTATCTCTCTCTCTCTCATCTCTCTCTCTCTCTCTCTCTCCCTCTTTGTGTCTCTGTCTCTCTCACTCTCTCTGCCTCTCTCTGTCTCTCTCTCCGAGTGCCGGGTGATGTATGTGCTGTGTCCCCACCAGGTCAATGTGAGCGCAGTCAGTCAATCCACTGTTATTTTCTTTGTCCTCGTTCATCCAAGTGGAATTTGGCTGAGAGCAGGCGGAGAGGGGGGGGGGGGGCGGGCGGGCGGGGGAATGGGGAATAGTAGGTGGATGGAGGAGGGTCGGGGGGTGGGGGGGGGACACGGGACAGTATGACTGTCTGACTGGTGGAGAGTGCGCAGGGGAGGGAAGAGAGAGAGGTTGAAAGGACAGGGGAAGAGGACTGGGGGTGGGGGGGCTGGGGTGGTGGGAGGGTGGGGTGGGGGGGGCCGGGGTAGGGTGAGGTGGGGGGAGAGCGACACACGGAAACACAGCAACGGGCGTTCAGTGTGAGCCCGAGAGCGACTCCTCCGGGTGGTCTAACGCGCGGAATTTCTTAACAGATTTCCCAGTATCACACCGCGGGGTTAATTAAGTTGACCCCAACGTTCCCAGTGATTTCCCCCCCAACCCCAAACGCGGGAGTCATACCTCTCTCTCTCTCTCTCTCTCCCGCGGTCCTGACTGTAGCTCAGTGGTGAGAGCCACTCTCGCCTCGCAAGCGAGAGGTACCGGGTTCGATTCCCGGGCTGGTCAGGGCGGGTTTCCTCACTCCACACGCACACGCACACACACAGACACGCACACGCATGCACACACACGCCTCTGTTTACTTCGGAGTAAGTAGGAAGAGTCAGTCGATCGGCGCATCGCTTTTCCGGGGGGGGGAGAGGGGGTAATAAACCCTCGCCCCCCCCCCCAAAAAAAAAAGTCATTCATCGGTCACTCGATCCACCCACGGTCGCGCGGGTCCTCTGCTGCGCGCCATCGGCCGCCCCGCTTCGCCCGCAAAAAACCCACGCCCGAGTCGCTTCGAGACCTCGCAACCGGGCGACGAGGCGGCCCATCAAACGGCCCCTCTCGGGCCGTTATTAGCACCGTTGCGGTGCAGTGGGCGGCGCGCGCGGTGGGGGCGGGCGGGGGGGGTGGGAGGGAGGGGGAGAAAAGAGGCCGAGGGCTTCCCGGTGGGCCGGCGCCAGTGGCGAGCGGTGGGGCATTCTCCGAGCTTGAGGTCAGATGTTGACTCAGCGTTGAGATCCCCATCCGGCCACAGACTGTGATTGTTGGGCGGTGATTCAGCCTCGGTCAGTGCTGACACAGCGGGTCTGGGTCTGTGTGTGCGTGTGCGCGCGCGCGTGCGTGTGTGTGTGTGTGCGTGTGTGTTTGAGCGTGAGTGCCGGCTTTATCTCAGTGAATTTGTTTGCTCAGTAATTAGCTCAGGTTTGGCCGCAGAGTACGGATCACTCTCCGCCGCGAAGCACTGAGCGACCGGGACAGGTGCGTAGATTGAGTTAAGTGTCCGTGTGTATTTAATCACTGTTTTTTTTTGTGTGTGTGTGTATGTGTGTGTGGTGTGTGGGAGGGAGGGTTGGAGTGGGGTGGGTGGGGGTTTACTCAGGAGAGGGGGGAATTACACAGTCAATGCAAAACACACGGACGTCCGAGCGGATACACCGTGTGGAGTCCTCGGTCACCGATAAAATAATAATAATAATAATAATAATAATCCTTCCGTTTGATACAGCGCCTTATCACGTCGTTGAGACGTCCCAAAGGGCTTCGCGGGATACACTGTAAAGCGAATTGACTGTGTATTCTGAGGGCGGAACGACCCCACAAACAGTCGTGGATTGAGTGACCAAATCATTGTTATTATTATTTTGGGGAGGGGAGGGGTCATTACCCCCGACAAAGCGATCCGCCAATCGACTGACGACCGGGTTCCTGATTACTGCTGAGGAAACAGAGCCGCGCGCGGAGTAAGGAAACAGAGCCGCGCGCGGAGTAAGGGAACAGAGCCGCGCGCGGAGTAAGGAAACAGAGCCGCGCGCGGAGTAAGGGAACAGAGCCGCGCGCGGAGTAAGGGAACAGAGCCGCGCGCGGAGTAAGGAAACAGAGCCGCGCGCGGAGTAAGGGAACAGAGCCGCGCGCGGAGTAGGGACGAGCCGCGCGGAGTAAGGGAACAGAGCCGCGCGCGGAGTAAGGGAACGGAGCCGCGCGCGGAGTAAGGGAACGGAGCCGCACGCGGAGTAAGGGAACGGAGCCGCGCGCGGAGTAAGGGAACGGAGCCGCACGCGGAGTAAGGGAACAGAGCCGCGCGCGGAGTAAGGGAACGGAGCCGCGCGCGGAGTAAGGGAACTGAGCCGCGCGCGGAGTAAGGGAACAGAGCCGCGCGAGGAGTAAGGGAACGGAGCCGCGCGCGGAGTAAGGGAACGGAGCCGCGCGCGGAGTAAGGAACGGGGGCCGCGCGGAGTAAGGGAACGGAGCCGCGCGCGGAGTAAGGGAACGGAGCCGCGCGCGGAGTAAGGGAACGGAGCCGCGCGCGGAGTAAGGGAACAGAGCCGCGCGCGGAGTAAGGGAACGGAGCCGCGCGCGGAGTAAGGGAACAGAGCCGCGCGCGGAGTAAGGGAACAGAGCCGCGCGTGGAGTAAGGGAACAGAGCCGCGCGCGGAGTAAGGGAACTCGCCCAAGGTTTCGCCTTAAAAGAAAAATAGAGAAATAGTTACAGAGTGATACAGCACGGAAATAGGTCCCCTCTCCCACACCCCTCCATCCCCCTCTCCCGCACCCCTCCATCCCCCTCTCCCACACCCCTCCATTCCCCTCTCCCGCACCCCTCCATCCCCCTCTCCCACACCCCTCCATCCCCCTCTCCCACACCCCTCCATCCCCCTCTCCCACACCCCTCCATCCCCCTCTCCCACACCCCTCCATCCCCCTCTCCCGCACCCCTCCATCCCCGTCTCCCACACCCCTCCATCCCCCTCTCCCGCACCCTCCATCCCCCTCTCCCACACCCCTCCATCCCCCTCTCCCGCACCCCTCCATCCCCCTCTCCCGCACCCCTCCATCCCCGTCTCCCGCACCCCTCCATCCCCCTCTCCCGCACCCCTCCATCCCCTCTCCCGCACCCCTCCATCCCCCTCTCCCGCACCCCTCCATCCCCCTCTCCCGCACCCCTCCATCCCCGTCTCCCGCACCCCTCCATCCCCCTCTCCCGCACCCCTCCATCCCCCTCTCCCGCACCCCTCCATCCCCCTCTCCCGCACCCCTCCATCCCCCTCTCCCGCACCCCTCCATCCCCCTCTCCCGCACCCCTCCATCCCCCTCTCCCGCACCCCTCCATCCCCCTCTCCCGCACCCATCCATCCCCCTCTCCCGCACCCCTCCATCCCCCTCTCTCGCACCCATCCATCCCCCTCCCGCACCCCTCCATCCCTCTCTCCCACACCCCTCCATCCCCCTCTCCCGCCCCTCCATCCCCCTCTCCCGCACCCCTCCATCCCCCTCTCCCGCACCCCTCCACCCCCCTCTCCCGCACCCCTCCATCCCTCTCTCCCACACCCCTCCATCCTCCTCTCCCACACCCCTCCATCCCCCTCTCCCGCACCCCTCTATCCCCCTCTCCCGCACCCCTCCATCCCCCTCTCCCACACCCCTCCATCCCTCACTCCCACACCTCTGGGAAAGTTCCGGGACTCGGACCTACCTGATCGAACGCTTTGCCTCTGCAGGAGAGTTGGGAGCGTTGGAGCCGAGGAGCTCCGGGACAGAGCAGAGCGCGTCCGCGGAACAGCCCCCAACCTCGGTCAGCGAGAGGTCGGCGGTCTATCAGTCTAAAATACCCGGAGCCGGTATTTTGGGTTGCCCGGCAAAAGCGGTGAGTATTCGGCATTCCCGACATTCCTGCTGTCAGTCTGATGTCGGCAGGGGCCGGTCGCGGGGTCACTGGGACTCAACAGCCGCTCAAACTCTGCGCCCACACAAAATACACAGTCACTACTCTGCGAAGCGCCTCGAGGCGTCTCGAAGACGTCAACAAATGACATTTGTAGAGCGCTGGGGCACCCCGGGGCGCTGGGCACTGATGGATTTGAACCTGGGGGTGGGGTGCGGTTTGGGGGATCAGGGAGGGGGGTGGAGGGCGGGGAGGGTAGGGTAGGGGGTAAGGGTGGGGGGGGGGGCGGGAGTGTGAGCGAAGGCGCTGTTGCGCCCCAAAGGAGGCAAAGGGACTGTGGGATGGAGTTCCAAAGGGTTGGGGGGCAAAGAGGCCGTGATGGCCCGACCCTCGATGGTGGTGGGGGAACAGGACGAGGGCCGGAGACGCGCGAGGAACACACGAGCTTCGAATCGCGAGCAGATTAAAGACGTCTCAAGTTCCCCCCACGACCTTCAAGTCAACGTCCTCTCTCAATTGGCCTCGACAGGGAGTCAATGCAACCTCCACCCAGTACGACAGCGACACCTGCCGTCGATTTGATGGCACTGCAGTGCACATGGGGTGGGGGGGGGGGGGGGGGGGGTGGGAGAGGGCGGACGGAGCGAAGCACGTCTCGCCCACAAAGTACACAGTCACTACGCTTACGCTTCACGGTATATTGTGTGAAACGCTTTGAGGCGTCCGAACGACGCGATAAGGCGCCTTATCAAATGCAATTTATTATTATTATTATTATTATTATGGGGGTCTTATCGGTGTCTGTTTACAGGTTGTCTCATCACCTGAAATCGTCGCTCCAAACAGGAGCCTTCATCAGATCGAGGTAAGGGTGGGGGGGTGGGGGGTGGGGGGTGGGGGGGCGGTGGGTGTCTGATGGTCGTTGGCATTTTCTCTGTGGGTAAATGTGTGTCTTTATTCGTGTTTCACTGTGGTTTACCCCCTCAATCCTCACCCCAAACACCCGCTCCCAAGGTCACAGGTCTCCAGAGGTGTAACCAGAGGACACGGGTTTAAGGTAATTGGCAGAAGAACCAAGAGGGGAGACCGGGAGACTATTTTTTTTTAAACCCAGAGAGTTGTTACGTAGTGCCTCGGAAAGGCCGGTGGAAGACTCGGGCGCAGAGACGCGGAAAGTGAAAGAGAGGAAGAAGAGACCGGAGATGGAGAGGCAGAGAGGAATGATGAGATAGAGAAAGAGAGATGGAGAGAGAGAGAGAGAGTGAGATGAAGAGTTAGGTGGTGAGAGAGAGAGAGAGAGAGAGGAAGAGCGAAAGAGAGAGGGAGACAGAGCAACGAAGAAAGATAGAGAACAAAACGGAGACGCAAAGAGGAAGGGTGAGATGGAGAGATGTGTGAGAGAGAGAGAGATTGCAAAGGAAGAGAGAGAGAGAGTGAGAGGGCGGTGTGGGGTGGGGGGGGGGGGGGGGAGTGGGGCAGAGGGAGTGAGAGACAGACAGAGAGAGGAGTGGGGGAGGGAGAGAGAGGAGATGTCTCAAAGCAAGAGAGAGAGAGCAGGTGGTGGTGGGTGGGTTGTGGGGAGAGGTGAAGCAGAAGTGATTGGGGTGACGTTCCCGCTGAGTGAGATTTTTTTCCGGTGTGTGGATTCTTTGTTAAGAAATATACTAACGCCCACAAAATACACGGTCACTTCACCCTACGGTGTATTCTGTGAAGCGCTTTGAGACGTCTCGACGACGTGATGAGGCGCTAATGTCAAATGCCAGGATTATTATTATTATTATTATTATGAACTATCGCAAAATTAGACCCAATTCCTTCTGTGTCCGTGTTGGTGTGTACACCTGTGTGTGTGTCTGGGGGTGTGTGTGTGTGTCTGGGGGTGTGTGTGTGTGTCTGGGGGTGTGTGTGTGTGTCTGGGGGTGTGTGTGTGTGTGTCTGGGGGTGTGTGTGTCTGTCTGGGTGTGTGTGTGTGTGTCTGGGTGTGTGTGTGTCTGTCTGGGTGTGTGTGTGTGTGTCTGGGGTGTGTGTGTGTTCGTGTCTGGGTGTGTGTGTGTGTCTGGGTGTGTGTGTGTGTCTGTCTGGGGGTGTGTGTGTGTGTCTGGGTGTGTGTGTGTGTCTGTCTGGGGGTGTGTGTGTGTCTGGGGGTGTGTGTGGGGGGGTGTCTGGGGGGGTGCGCGCGCGCATGTTTGCAGTGGTTTTGACTAATATGCGCTTAAAGGGACATTAAAGCGCGTCGATCGGACATTCCTGGCCAATGAGATGACATCGTTTGCATTGTGAGCGTGTGACAGGCACCATCACACACGCACACGCTCACGCGCACGCACACGCCCTCCGCCCGCGCTCCGAGGAAATAACAACTTTCTTTAACATAAGCGGACTCACCTTAAGGTGGTTGAGGCCAGAAAGGACACTGGGACTCATTGAAACAGCAGCCGGACCCTGTGATGGCGGGGAGTGGGGGGGGGGGGGGGGGGGGGGGGGAGGGCGGGTGTTCTGGAGGGAGCAGATCAGATGGCCTGAAAGGGTCTTCTTCATCCAAACCGATCTTGCGAGGCTCGCCACCAAGACTGTACTCTCTCGGAAACCAGTGACCGTCCTCGCTCGGAGACCGATAACTCAGCCTGGCTCATCGGCAGGACCTGGAAGGACAGACCGGTCACTTGTGTGTGTTGGGGGGTGGGGGGGGGGTGTCCAGGGAGTCAACACCCTCAGCTCCAGTTGACCCTGCAAGCCAAAGCCCTAAGGGTAGGGTGGTCCTAGCTGGACAAGCAACGGGAAAAGTTTGCCGAACTGTGTGCTGTGACCATTAACCAGCGCCGTGTGCAGTTTGTGTGCAAGAGTGGGATCGCAGAAGTCGGAGGAAGAAAAGAAAAAAGTTTCTCCCTTCACATCCCTCCCTCCCTCCCTCCCTCCCTCCCGCTTTGACTCATTACTAACAGCCTGGCTTGAGTTTGAAAGAAAAAAAAACATTAACTAACAGAGAAAAGGTGGAGGAGACCCCCACCTCTCACCCCCATTCCTCCTCCTCCTCCCCCCCTCCCTCCTCTCCTCTCACCACCTTCTCACCTTGTTTCCACGAAGATGGAGAGGAACGAAGACAGAAACCGGGAGCGAGAGGGAGTGGGGTCCACGGAAGGCTTGCCGCCCCCTCCCCCCGACCCCTCGGCCTTGCCCCTGCCGCCCCCTCCTCAATCACTCGCCCAAACCAGGCAGCAGCGCCAGATCAATGAGTTGAAGCGACTTTACCGCCACATGCGGCCCGAGCTGAGGAAGAACATGGAGCTGGTACTGAGCGAGGAGTGGGGGGAGGTCTTGGACGCAGAGCGGGTGGCCTCGGGAGCCACCGCGGAGACCCCCGACCTCTCCCCCCCCGGCGAGGTCCAATCCATGCGATGGATCTTCGAGAACTGGCCCCTGGACATCATCGGGGACCATCAAACCGCCAAGCGTCTGAGAGAAGAGGAGACCGTGCCTCTTGGGGATGTGAGAGGGACCTCGCAGATGTTCGAGGCCCAGAACCTAACGGAGACGGGGGACCAGCGAACGGAGACCCCCAGGGTGGAGAGGGGGGACGTCCGCACGGCTCTGTGGCTATTTGAGACCCAACCCATGGACTCGCTCAACAAGGTCTCCACGGAGGAGGGGGAGCTCCAGGAAGCAGTGCTCAGGGAGAGGGAGGCCATCCCCGGGGGGGACGTCAGCGGGGCCAGGCTCCTCTTCGAGACCCAACCCTTGCACCGGGTGGGACGCAGCGGGTCGGCCGAAGAGCGCAGCGTCCTTCAGCTACGTTCGGAGATCCAGGAGCTGAGCGGGGGGGTGAGCCGGACGGTGGGGCTGTTCGAGACCGAACCGCTCTGCGCCATCCGGGAGCCGGGGGGTGTCATGCACCGGGTGCGCTCGGTGTGCCGGGAGGAGATACAGCACAGCGATCAGGCCAAGAGCGCGCGCTGGCTCTTCGAGACCCAGCCCCTGGGGGACATCAGTGGAGGAGAGCACTCGCCAATGGTCAGGGTGGTCCGGGGCATCTCGCTGGAGGAGGAGGCCGGGCGGGGGACCGGGGGGGTCGGTGTCGGGCGAGCGCGCTGGCTGTTTGAGACCCAACCACTGGACGCCATTCGTGAGCGGAGCTCGGAGCTGGCGGAGGAGTGCGAGAACATCAAGGTGGTGGAGGGCGGAGACGTCAGAAAGTGGAGGTCTCTGTTCGAGAGCAAACCTCTGGACTCGAGGCCCCCGGGCGAGGGGGAGGGCGAGGAGGTGGGGGGGGAGACGAGGGAAGCGGTCACCGGAGGGGACGTGCGTTCCACCCTCTGGCTCTTCGAGACGCAGCCCATGGACTCCCTGAGGGACAGCTTCGAGGTGGGGCAGCTCAGGAGGGTGGTGACGGAGGAGGAGAAGGGGGATGTCAAGCAGAAAGCCCGGGAGTTCGAGAGCCGGCCCCTGGAGGTCACCCGGGGCCAGCCCGGCGAGGAGAAGGAGGAGGCGGCGGACGTCAGGAAGGGAGACGTCAAGGCCTACCAGCGCCTCTTCGAGAGCCTCCCACTGGACGGGATCAAGGAGCCGGGCGGGGAGATGGTCGCCATACGTTCCCAGGTCATCGGGGGCAACGTGCGGGAGAGCCGGGCCTTGTTCGAGAACCCGCCGCGCTACGCCATCGCCGACGGGGCCGGGGGTTACCACCAGGTCAGGACAGTGAGCCGGGAGGAGGAGGAGGCGATGGGCAGCGGGGGGGACGTGAGGAACTACAGGTGGGTCTTCGAGACACAGCCTCTGGACCGGCAGGGGTGCGAGGAGGCGCAGCTGGTGAAGGGAATCACCAAGGAGGAGGCGTGGGTGGGCGATGTGGGCACCGCCCGCTGGCTCTTTGAGACACAGCCCCTCCGGGGCCTGGCACCCGATGCCGGGGGCGAGACGGAGGAGCAGAGGAAGGGCGGCGGCGAGGTCAAGACATGCCGTTGGCTCTTCGAGACGCCGCTGGCCGACGCCCGGCTGGAGCGGGCGCAGAGGGAGGCCGACACCGCCCCGGGGACGGGAGGCGACGTCCGACGGTGGACCTGGCTGTTCGAGACGCCGGAGGTGCCGGGGGAGAGCGCGAGCGGCGAGAGGAGCTTGAAGGTGACGGGCCGCGCGGACTCGGACACCGGCACGGCGAAGCACCTCTTCGACTCGGAGCCCGTAGTCGTCGGTGGAGGCGGCGTGAGATACACCAGCAAAGTGGACGTGCGCTCGGGTGACGTCTCCAGGGAGAAGGAGATCTTCGAGAGGTCCTCGCTGGACGCCATCGGGGAGGAAGCCAGATCCGGGGACGGGGAGGAGCAGGGGCCCGAGCCGGGGGCCGTCCGCAGGTTCACCTGGCTCTTCGAGAACCGCCCCATGGATGCCATCGGGGAGATGGACGCCCGCCCCGCTTCCAGCTGGGCCGTGGCTGACGTGGCCGCGGGGGACGTAGGCGGGAAGAGGTTTGTGTTCGAGACGCGCTCGCTGGACCGAATCGGGGGCGACGAACCCTCCCCCTCGCCCTCTCCGGCCCCCGCCCTAAACCCGGAGCCCGGAGTCCCAGGTGGGGTCCGCTCCCGCACCATGCTCTTCGAGAGCCGCCCGCTCTACGCCATCCGCGACCGCGAAGGTCTCTACCATGAGGTGACCACGGTGAAGAAGGACGAGGTGGTGAGGGGGGACGTGAGGGGAGCGCGGTGGCTGTTCGAGACCAAACCCCTGGACTCCATCCGGCCCTCGGACGAGGTGTTCGTGATCCGCGCCGTCACTCAGGAGGACGTCCATCGCGGGGACGTGACGGCCGCTCGCTGGAGGTTCGAGACCCAACCCCTGGGCTCCATCGGGGACCAAGCCCCTCCACCCAGCGCCAGGATGGTGGAGGAGGTCCAGGGAGGGGACGTGAGCTCGGGCAGGGAGATATTCGAGCAGGAGCCGGCCAGGAGTTACGTGAGGACGGTCAGCGTGAGCGACATCCAGAGCGGAGACGTTAGGACGTCCACCTGGCAGTTTGAGAACCTCCCCATCGATTCCCTCAAGGGCTCGGCCGAGGAGAGCGAGGGGCAGGTCAGCACAGTCCACCGGGAGGACGTGGAGAAGGGAGACGTCAAGAGGTGCACTTGGCTCTTTGAGTCTCGCCGGTCGGACGGGTTTGGGGACGCGGGCGCCGGGCAGCCCACCCGAGAGGACGTCCCGCCCGGCGACGTCAAGTCGACAACGTGGCTGTTTGAGACCACCCCTCTGGACGCCTTCCAGCAGGGTCCGGGCAGGCAGGAGGTCGGCCCTCCGGCCGGCCAGAGCGTGAGGAGTAGTTTAAGGTCGCTATGTGCCGCAGGAGCCGTGCGGTCGGGCGGGCTGGCGATCGAGTCCTGCCGAGTGGGCACGGTCAGCATGGTCAAATACCGAGTGGCGGGCACTGACGAGGGCACGAACAGGGGGTGCGTGGGTGAGGCGGACATCCTGAAAGAGGAGGTCATCCACGGGAACCTCCAGAGGATTCTGGTGGAGCTGCTGGACAAGACCAATGTGGCTCCGCAGGGCATTCTCCTCCGAGAGGACAAAGATGGCCGGATCTCCTCAGCCAAGGTCCAATTCTTCAGCCGGCCGCAGCCGGGGGCCGAGCAGGAGGCAGCCCACTCTCCCGACCTCAGGGTCATCCACGATCTTCTCCGGCCGGGCTCCTCGGTCAAAAAGGGCATCTTGATCCAAGAGAGCGGCAAGGGCGAAGCTGAGATGACCGTCTACTCGCTGCTCGACCGCGCAGAGGCTCAGACCGAGACCAGGGGAAGGGCTGAGAATGGCAAGTCCATGGTGGGTTCTCTCCCAGCCAACAACCAGGAGCAACCAGCTCCAAGCCTGGCCGGGCAGCAAGAGAGCGGGAAGAGCAGGAACGTTCAACTCATTGCCAGTTGCGTCGATGCGGGCGATTTGGACTCCCTGAAGAAGGAAGAACCTGTCCAGGAGAAGGAGAAGGTGGAGGAGAAGGTTGCCCAGAGGCGCTTCGAGGAGATTCCTGGCACGGTGAATACCAAAGAAGTGAGAGGAACTAAGGTCTCCTCGGTTGCCTGCAGTCTCACTCCAGAGATCCAGGGAGCGGGAGAAGCCCGTGTGAAATTGGGTCGTTCTGCCCATGTCCATCGGGCTCACAGGCCCTGCCTTGGACCAGCGGTGACGGTGTCTCGAGGGGAGGATTCGGGCCTGCAGGACGGGGCTTCTGGAGCCAGCGAGCAGCAGCTACAGGTGGCAATGGAAGGCATGAGGGAGGCCACAGCCCAGGCGCAGGCCCATGGTCGAAGCAGCCAGCACAGAGCCGGAGTAGGCCCAAGCCCAGCACTGAGCCCCAGCCGGAGCCAGCAGGTCAGTGAGATCGCGGGGGATCGAGGAGGTGGAGGAGGAGGAGGCCTCGGCCGGCCCACGGTCCCAGCCACCGCCCGCTGCCAGAGTCACGGGGCCTCCCACCAAGCAGCCTCGGCCCAGACTGTGTCCACCAGCCTTCATGGCTTGGGGAGGCTTGGGTTGGAGAGCTCAGCGCTGGGTGTTGAGACTGGGTCAGTCCCAGGTCTGGGACGGGGCCTAGGCCGAGGCTTGGGACTGGATTTGGGCCTAGACCAAAGCCTGGAGCTAGGCCCGGGCCTGGGGCCGGAGCACAGCCTCCCCCGCCTCGCTCTTTGCGTTCAGGACCGAGTTTGCCTCCCGCCACAGCCTGATGCTCCCTCTCCTCCTCTCCCCCCAGCTTCACTGAGGCAACAACAACAACAACAACTACAACTACAACAGCAGCACCAACAATATCCAGCTTTGGCCTCCTCCAGTTCCAACTCTACCTCCAGGCCTGAGGCCGACACTCCGCCTGCCCCAACCCCAGCTCCAGGCCGCGGACCCAAGCCCAAGCTGCCTCCCAAACCAGCCCATTTGCAAGACCTTCCCCGCCGTGTGAGCAACAGCCAAAGAAAACCACATTCGCTCAACAGAGGCCCTCAGCCCGAGAGTAGGCCCCAAGGCCTTGTCCAGGCCTCGCCAGCGCCCATGGGCCTGAGAGCAGAGGAGGAGGAGTTTAGCAGCAAGGTCGAGGCGAAGACCAGAGTCCCCAGGACACCCCTGCAGATGGCCGAGGAGGAGCACAGGAGCAGGAGGAGAGAGGGAGAGAATGTGGCCCTCAACAAGGAGGGGAGAGAGACCTTGCTGAGGGAGCCCAAGGCTAGGGGCCGGGAGACGGAGAAGGAACGCCGCAAGAGGCTGTCCCTCCACAAGGAGGAGATTGAGAGAGGCCACGTGGAGGCGGCCATGGACATTTTCGAGAGCCTGAGGAGACGCGAGGAGCTGCAGAAGATCTTGACCAGCGTGGGGGAGTTTGAGGAGGGGGAGACGTCACGGGTGGATGTCAGGGCTCTGAGGAGCCTGTTTGAGGAGATCCCCGAGTGGGTGGTGGGGAGCAAGGAGGAGAAGACAGTGGCCAAGGGTCCGCAGGGGCCTCATGGCTCCAAGACGGAGGCCAAGGGGGTCGAGGATACCCCCTCACCCTCCGTCAGGGTGGTCTTCCAGGACCTGGAGCGGGCGAGCTCCGAGGTCATCCGCCTGAAGGAACAGACCCTGGCCAAACTTGTTGAGATCGAGGACTCCATCCAGAAGGCCCTACGCTCCGTTTCCAGCCTTCGCTCGGAGGCTGACATCGCCGGCCTGTCCGGGCTTTTCCGGGAGTCGCTGGACTCTGAGACGCCAGCGCAGAGGCAGGGGCGAGTGAGGGTCACTCCAGCGTTAGAGGTCCCCTCCCCCAACCCAAGGGTCCTCGTCCCCTCCCCCTCCTCCCCATCCTACATCTCCATCCAATCCGCCGCCCGTAAGCCAGACCACCCCCTTAAGAGGGCGGCGCTAGGGGCCCAGCCCCCGACCGCTCCCCCGGACACCGGCCGCTCACCGCTGGTCTCTCCCGCTTCCCCAAAGCCGCCTCCGCTCTGCAACGGAGCCCCACTCGACCCCGCGAGCGAGGGCGTCCCTTTAAGCGCGTTCAAAGGGGCGGGCGCCTCGTGCCCCCGGAGCAAAAGCGTGGTGGAGTTCAACACCGGCTCGGCCCAGGGCGAGATCATAGGCACCACCATAGTGACCGAGGAATACCAGCAGATCGACAGCTTTGGCCACAAGCTGGTGACCTCCAAAACCTCTACCACGGTCACCAAACAAAGCGAGTCCCAGCCCCCCAACAGGTACCACCAGCTCACCCCCTCCCCATCCTCCCTCCTCCAGCCCAGGTGCCCGTCGGTGAGAGCCGAGGAACCGGGGCCCTGCCCACCAGCTGCTCCCGGCATCGGTGTGGTCTTTCTCTCCTTCGGTAACCCCACCGCCTCCGTCAAGAGGTGAGGCAGGTTGGGTTGTCGCCTGAGAATCTCTTCACCGCCAGGACCACGCAAGCCAACCCTCAACCCCCAGCCCCAACTCCCCCCAACTCCAGCCCCAGGTCCTGACCCCAATCCTGGCCCCCAACACAACCCTAAACCCCAGCCCCAACTCCCCCCAACTCCAGCCCCAGGTCCTGACCCCAATCCTGGCCCCCAACACAACCCTAAACCCCAGCCCCAACCCACAACTCCAGCCCCAAACAGCCCGACCCCAGCCCCAACCCCAACCCTCAGTCCCAGCCCTACCCTTAAGCCCTAACCTCAACCCCCCCCCACCCTGCCCTCATCCCCCATCCGGGTCCGTAATTATTTCACCCCCAATAACACGGACCCATCGCCACTGATCCCTACTATCTCTCCCAAAAAACCTCATCCCAGGAATAACGAGGAGGAAGGAATCCCGGCGGAAATCCGTCTACTCTGGAATTAAGACGCCCCCCCCCACCACCCCACCCCACACCCATCTCCCGCCCCCACCCCCTACACACATACACGCACCACACAGAGAATGACGTGTGCTTTAGTGACTAGATCACTAGAAATTCCGGTATTATTTAGCGTCCCCCCCCCCCCACCCCCCTCCCCCCCCACTCCATCCTATTCTATTTTCTCGCACTTTGTAGTTGCAGCTCCCCCCCTCCCCACAATAATACAGTAAGACGTAACGGTCTCTCCTTTTCGCTCTATAAACTGCTCGCTCTCTATTCTCAAATGTTTCTCTCCCCCCCACCCCCCCACCCCTTTCTCCCTTCTCCCCACCTCCCCCCCCCACCCCACGACCCCCTCTCTCTCTCTCTCTCTCCCCCTTTTTTAATATAATTACTTTTGATTACTTTCTGGTTAATAAATCCTTTTTATTATTTGGTGATTATTTCTTTTCTCCTGTCTTCTTTTCTGAATTCTCTGACCGGGGGGGGGGGGGGGGAGGTGGGTGGGTGGGTGGGGTGGGGGGGTGTTGTGTGTGCTGGGGGGTAGTGCGTGAGGTATGTGTGTGGGTGTGGGGAGTGGGTGGGTCGGGGGTGATTTTGCTCTGCAATAATCCAACGTGTTAGGAAACGTGTTGATTGTGATATATTTGGTATCGATATTATTTTATTGCTGTATTATTATATTATTATGAACTTGTTATTTCTCGGCTTTCTATACCTCACCCATTGATAATAATCCTTGCGTTCGACACAGCCCGGTCTGAAAAACGCTTGACAGATTTTACTGTTAAGTGTAGTGACTGCGTTCGGTGGGTGAAGCCCATTTCCTCACAGCGAGTGACCACCGATTTTGTTGGCAAACGGGCTGCCGCCTTTCGGCCGGAAGGAGGCCATTCAGCCCATCGGAGGGATTGAGGGAGGGAGGGAGTCCCAGAGCTTGCTGAGGAGGGACAGTCACTCTCACTTCTGAGTCAATCACTCGGACTCTCTCACCTTGTGTCCGCCTGGCTCAGTTTGTGGCACACTTGCCTCTCACTCAGATGGCATGCCCAATTGGCTGCACTTTGTTTCGACCACAAAATACACAGCCACTACACTTTACGGTACATCCCGTGAAGCACTTTGAGACGTCTCAACCGCGGGATAAGGCGCAACACGGTGGATTCAAGGCTCGGACCAGGTTTTGAGCTCACAGGCCAGGGTTACACTCCAGGGCAATGGTGGCGGAGCACTGGCGATATTCACACAGGAAAACTACATTGCGTCGTCAGAGGTGCCAATGAAATTCATGATACTTGGGAGTTCTGTAGTTTGGTGGTTAGAGCGAGAGGACCCCGGTTCGATTCCCAGACGGGGCATAACCTCAGGCAAGTTTCCTTACCCCCACACGCCCCTGATACCCCGGCAGTAAGTAGGAACCCGGTGGTTAGTCAATTGGCAGATCGGTTTTTCGGGGGTAATAATCCCTTCAAAATAAATAAAAAATAATAATAATTTGGTCACGACTGTTTGTGGGACATTGCTGTGCGCAATTGGCTGCCGCTTTTCGCCCACATGCTATACAGTCTACAGTATTTTCTGTGAAGCCCTTTGAGACGTTTCGAAGACGTGATGAGGCACGATATCAAATGCAAATATTATTATTGTCCACCCACAAAAACCGAGATCAACAATTTGCATTTACTGCCTGTGTGGTAGCGTCTCAAACGGGTTGAGGAGCTTTTATCCGTCCAAACCTATTGCTCTCTACGTATTTTCGGGGAAGTGTTCCATTTCTATCTCTGAGATTTCTCGCACTGTGTAGGTGGGATTCATGGAATTGCCAGTTTGGTTTGAAGACACTTAAGCAACGGTTATGGGTTTCCGCCTGTGTCAGGCACTCGGCCGACCAAAAAAAAAAGAAGATATTTGTGGTGGGTGGTGGTGGGGGGCGGAATATGCGAGACCAAACACAACCTCTAGCCCTTGTTCTATCTTCTCTCCAATACTTTCCAGCCTCGGTCACCCATTACAACAGGATTTAATAGAAACGTTGATGGGAGAGTGGAGGTGCAGTGGAGTGTGTAGGTCTCTGGCAATTGTGGAGTCCCATAGTGAGCACTCGCCTCACGAGCGAGCGGACCCGGGTTCGATTCCCTGGCGGGGGGCAAAACCTTATGCAAGTTTCCTTATTCCACACACCTCTGTTCACCTCGCAGTAAGTAGGAACCCGGTTGTTAGTCGATTAGCGGATCACTTTCCGGGGCTAAAAATCCCTCCAAAAAAATGTGGTCGCTCAATTTTCAGGAATGTTTGTGGGACACTGCTGTACGCAATTGGCTGCCGCATTTCTCCCACAAAATATACAGTCAATTCACTTTAAAATATATCCGTGAAGCGCTTAGACATGTCTGAAGAACAACGTGACAAGGCCCTGTATCAAATGCAAGGATTATTATTATTAATTAGGATTCCCCACCAGCCACCGGGCTCCACCACCATCTCATCAACTATCTCTCGTCTCGGTTTCAGAGCCCGGCGACCGACCTACTTAATTCTCATCAAAGCCCGGCCCAGTCAGTGAACCAACTGACAGCAGACAAGCCTCGGACTCTCTCCAGCTTCCAGTGTATCATCTGCCACAGCAACCTGAGGTCAGTGACTGACCTATCCCCAGCCCTAGCCTTTCCCTATCACCATCTCGGCCGTCACCCAAAGCCTATCACTGCCCTTGCCCCTTCTCGCCCTAACTCACTCCTCCCTTCACCTTGACTCACCTCTCCCAGCCCCAGATCCCCAATTAATCCACATCAACAGAAATTTGTGGTGTCCTGTAGCTCAGAGGTGAGGACACTCGCCTCGCAAGCGAGATGACCCTGGTTCGATTTCCAGCCGGGCCGGTTGTTAGTCGATTGGCGGATCATTTTTCCGTTGGGGGGTGGGGGGGGGGATAACCTCAAAAAAAATAATAAATCGGTTTGAGGGACACTGCTGTGCGCAATGGGCTGCCGTCTTTCGCGCACAAAATAGTGCACTTTACAGTATACTGTCCCGAAGACGTGATAAGGCGCTAGATCAAATGCAAGCGTTATCATTATTATTATTATTTGATGTTTATCATTTTAAAAACATCTTGTTTCTATTCCAGCTTAAATGGTTATGCTTCAATGAAGGGGGACTTTTACTGCATCCCTCACTTTCAGCAGCTGCTCAAGTCAGAGGGCTTTCACGGGGAAGAGTTTAAACCTGAGCAGAAGAGTAATGGACCCTTGGAGGGAGACGGCGCTGATCCCAAAGCCCAAGTTGAAGAATCGAGAGGGCAACTGAGCAGGACAACCAACGTTGGGGAAACAAGTCAACGGGATGTCATCCTCAGTCCTGCCCACACTAGCAAGCTTGACCTTGAGCCGAGCGGAAAATCAGGGTCACCCAGGAAGCTGAAAATTACTTGGCCTCCTCCTAAAGAAGCCCAGAGGATTGTAGACCAAATCGCAATGTTGATAATACTCAACGCCTACTACCAGCCCCGGTCAATGCCTCTGAACTGGACCAAAGCCAACCCTTTGAGGACAACCCCAAGGAGTTTGAGCGAAAGGAGCACTTTGTTACATCCGACCACATTCCTTTAGGATCGAGTGTTAAGCATGGAAACGAGGACATCAACGGAAAACCCGAACACACCATGAGGGAGCTCAGGTCCTCGCCCCAAGCCAGGGGGGATAATAAGGACCACCCCAGTATCAAGGAACTGACCCGGGTTTTTGAACTGGGAGACTCAAGCAGATCCATTGGGAAGAATGTAAAGCAGGAAATGGCGACGGAGACTGAAGGAGATCTCAAAGGGAGCAAAGAGAAGCCCAGCGTTTCATCCCAGTTGAAGACAGACGAACTGGCCCAGAGTCTTAAGGAGCTGAGTGAGATTTTTGAGTCGAATGCTTCGGGGGAGGTGAGTGGAAAGGAAGCGAACTGTGAAGATCCGGTGAAGAACGAAGACAAGCTCCATCTTGTTTCAGGCCCTGAAGTCAGAGCTGAACAACAGGACCTGAGTGAGCGGAGGCAGAGTTTTGAGCTTAGTGATGAGGACAGACCCAATGAAGGGACAGTTGTAGTGGCCACCAAACCTGGAGAAAGCCCAGAGGGACTGAGAGACAAGAGCATTGAAGAGTCTTTAGATGACGGAACAAGTTGTGAAGACAGGGGTAGTTTGGAGGAGTCACTGCTGACCACACCAGCACTATCACCGAGCACGTTACCGAGCTCAGATAGTCAAGCCACCTCGGTGCTCAGCTCCCCGCACTCGAGTGAAGGTAAAGATGAATCAATGTCAAATTGTGATACCAATTCCCCCAGCGAGCAGACAGACACTAGTGCCTCCTCAGCCAGTCTCGCTGTTCAAGATCCCATGGAAAACGGGCAAGAATGTATTAAAAGCACAACAAAGGGAATGGGCGAGTTTGGCGAGACGTCCATTGAGATCGGACAGGAGGACGAGGACCGATTGACCGCCAGCCAGGATACCTCAGATGTGGCTGAGGAAGCTCTGGTGAGGGACATTGGAGTGGCTATGTCTGCCTCATCCAGCGAGGATTACAATTCTTGTTTAGACAGTGATATCTCAGAGGAAATGTCTACTGTTCTGGAGGACAGTGATGAGGCTGACAGGGATCAGCTCCAGTCGCTTGATGTTTCTCACCGAGAGGATGAGAAGGGAATCGCTGCGGAAACACTCCAGATTGAGAGGAAAGAGACAGAAACTGATGAGAATTCAGAGGTTTCCAGAGCAAACCAGGATGGTGTGATTGCTGATGAACCAGCTGAAAATAAGGAAGATATCAAGACGGAGAATCCATCACTCAATATTGGGGAGCAAGATACAAAGGAACAAGTGGCTTTGGACCCTGAGGTGGACAAGACATTCAATTCTGAGGTGGACAAGATGATGGACATGACTTTGAATCCGAAGATGGCCATTAAGAATTCCTCTAATAAGACCACTCTTGCAAAGGAAACGGCGAAAGCAAAAGGCCCCAGTAAAAGTCCGTTGGCCAAACTGTTTGGCTTCAGTGACTCAGGTAACGCCAAGAAGACAACAGCAGAACAACTCAAACCACACAAACCCAACTCACAATCAGCATCCAATCTGGAGAAAACTCAGGAACAAAAGGTTTCACATCCAGAGAAATCTCAGGAAAAAATCATCTTCGATCTGGAGAAAGCTCAGGAACAGAAGGTTTCAGATCCAGAGAAATCTCAGGAAAAAATCACCTCTGATCTAGAGAAGTCTCAGGAAAAAATCACCTTCAATCTGGAGAAAGCTCAGGAACAGAAGGTTTCAGATCCAGAGAAATCTCAGGAACAAATCACCTCTGATCTAGAGAAGTCTCAGGAAAAAATCACCTTTGATCTGGAGGAAGCTCAGGAACAAAAGGTTTCAGATCTAGAGAAATCTCAAGAAAAAATCACCTCTGATCTAGAGAAATCTCAGGAAGAAATCACCTTCGATCTGGAGAAAGCTCAGGAACAGAAGGTTTCAGATCCAGAGAAATCTCAGGAAAAAATCACCTCTGATCTAGAGAAGTCTCAGGAAAAAATCACCTTCGATCTGGAGAAAGCTCAGGAAAAAAAGGTTTCAGATCCAGAGAAATCTCAGGAACAAATCACCTCTGATCTAGAGAAATCTCAGGAAAAAATCACCTCTGATCTGGAGGAAGCTCAGGAACAAAAGGTTTCATATCCAGAGAAATCTCAAGAAAAAATCACCTGTGATCTAGAGAAATCTCAGGAACAAATCACCTCTGATCTAGAGAAATCTCAGGAAAAAATCATCTCCAAAGTGGAGAAATTTCAGAAACAAGGAGCCTCCGATTCAAAGAAAACCTCTAAGGAGCCAGAGGTAAAGGAGGATGGGAGCGAGGACCTCCTGGTCCTGAGCGGATCACAAACATCAAGCGAGCATTCGACAGAGGCTAGCCTCAACACATCGCTGACCGAACTCCCCATTGAACCAACCAAAACCACTACGGAGCAGACACAGCCCAACTCTGTCATGGGCAAAATGGCTGGAACTAACGCGGTTGAAAGCAGACCCACTGGGGGGAACGTGGCAAGCGATGTCACCGACCTTTTCGACCCACTCAGTCAAGATCCCAACCCCGGCACGGAACCCAGCCAGCAACCCAACAGCAGCCCCAACTCTGCTGACCTCTTGGACTTCGAAGACCGTGGTTAATCTGCAGAGCAATTCACAGTCCACCAAAAAATTACTTTGAGCCTTGTAACTGTTTAAGGAAAACCTCAATGTGTTATCTATTTCTCACACCCCACTCCTCGACCTGCGACCCGCTTTGCTTGGCTGGCTCCAACCTCCTGCTTGTCCCTCGTCCCCTCCACTCCACCATTGCATTTCAGCCACTACGCCCCCAAAACTCTGGAACTCCCTTCTTTGTGTGTCTTCAGATCAAATCTGAAGACCTTCCTCTTTGACCGCACTTACTGGCTCAGCTTCAGGCTCTGCCACTGTTCACTCTCCGAGTCGCTACCCTGCGTGAAGGGCGCTGTGTAAATGCAAGTTGTTGTTCATCCTCAACCAATGTTCATCCTTAATCATTTAGTCACGAGAGTATCAGTTAGAAGACAGTCCTTCAACCCATATGATCTCATCCTTTCACATACTACCGTCCACTCACTACACCATTGAACAGTTTATTAAACGACACAGTAGGAGGTGACTGGAAGGTATCAATGTAAGACAGTTTGCAAATTAGCCCACGGGAGAGGTTAGGAGGATGTTTTTCTATGGACAATAATAATCCTTGCGTTTGATATAGTGGCTTATCACGTCTTCGAGATGTCTCAAAGCGCTTCACAGAATATACCGTACAGCGAATTGACTGTGTATTTTGTGGGCGAAACGCAGCAGCCAATCGTGCACAGCAGCGTCCCCACAAACAGTCGCGGATTGAGTGACATTTTTTTCAAGGGATTATTACCCCTGGAAAGCGATCTGACAATCAATTAACAACCGGGTTCCTACTTACTGCTGAGTAAACAGAGGCGCGTGGAGTAAGGAAACGTGCCCAAGGTTTGCGAGTCAAACCCGGGTCCCCTCACTTGCGAAGTGAGCGTGATAACCACTGCACTACAGGACTATTCAGCCCATCAGCCATCAGCTAGAGTGCTCTAACCAATATATTACTTGGATTGTAAGCTCAACAAATGCAGGCTTGAACCTGCCAACACGTTGACGAACCCCCAGCATTACCTCTGATCCGGTTTGTCTCCACTATAAATGCCAGGCAATGAATCGATGTCTCGTTGGCCATCTCCACATGAACGACAAGAGAATCCCGGACTCTGCTCATTAAAAATCCAGTGGAAGACCACCGAGCGATTCAGTCTCCATAATTACAGCTGCGGGAAGGAAACGGGACCGGGAACTGTGCCGTCTCCCCGTGAAAAAAAAGACTCAATCCCGTCGTGTTAATATTGTTGAGCTGAGCTAGACCACTCGGGACAGTTTGTGACAGTGACGCTCAGTAGGAACTGGAGGAGGTCATTCAGCCCCTTGAGCCTGTTCCGCCATTCTATTAGATCCTGGCTGATCCGTACCTCAACTCCAATAGCCCACCTTCGCTCCATATCCCTTGACACCCTGACCTAACAAACACCTCTCCACCTAAGCCTCGAACATTTCAATTGAACCAACATCCAAAGCCTTTTGAGGGAGAGTTCCGGATTTCCACTACACTTTTGCGGGAAGAACGGCTGTTAAATCATTAAATAGTTGACGCTGATCGATAATGTGACTCGGTTTTCCTTTATGTAAACGTTAAACCTTGATCACCGTGCATCGAAATGTATCACAAAGTTTCGATGGATTATTAATAATATTCCTTACATTTGGCACAGCGTCGCTCACGTTCGAGAGGATATCCCAAAGTGCTTCACAGGATATAATGTAAAGTGCAGGAGCCAACTTATGCACTATTCCTCCAGCGCTGCATTGGAGCGTCAGCTTAGACGATGTGATTCCAAGTCCCTACGCGTGGCTTGAACCCACAACCGTGACCCTTTATGAGTTGAGAGCGCCACCACTGAGCTAGGCTGACACGTGCAGTGTAGTGACTGTATTTTATAGGAAACAATATCGCAACAGAAAAGGAATAAAGAAAATTAAGACCAGCAGAGGCGATTTGGCCCATTGAGCCCACTCCACCACCACGTTCCCATACTCCTCCTTCTCTTACTGATATATTTAGTGCACTTCACTTAATTGCATAATTCACTTAATTGCATGATAGCCCTTCAATTTCATTCATAACAGCACAATTGCACTGGTTGAGGAATTGACCTCGTGGGTGTGTGTGTGTGGCAGAGAGTGAGAGGAAGAGAGCCAGAGTGTCAGATAGGTGAGCCAAAAGAAAGGCAACAACAACTTGCATTTATATAGTACTCTTCACGTCGGGAGGACAACCCAAGGCAGCGCAGTGACTAGAGTGTAGCACCACTAAAGAAATTGTGGTAAGTGCGTACTCCCTATAATTGCATCCGGTCCCGATTCCATGCAATTATACAGAGTGCTCTGTAACGCTTTCTAACTCTTGACGTCTGACTCTTCATCTATGGATCTTTGATGGAAGTTGCTCAACATTGTTATAAGATTCCGACTCCCTGTACTGTAGTGGTGCCTCACAAGCGAGAGGACCTGGGTTCGATTCTCAGGGATTGAAACCATAGCCAAGTTTCCTTACTCCACAGGCCTCGGTTTACCTGGCAGTAAGTAGGAACCTGGTTGTTAGTCAATTGGCGGATCGCTTTCTGGGGGTAATAATCCCTCCACTTCAAAAAAAATAATAATTGGGTCACTCAATCCACAATGTTTGTGGGAAGACTACTGTGCTGCTACGTTTCGCCCATAAAATATATCCTGTGGATGGCTTTGAGATATTTCAAAGATATAAGACGCTGTATCAAATGCAAGGGTGATGATTATTGCCTATACAATACCAAATTATATTTGTATAATGCCTTTCACGGCGGGAGGACGTCCCAAGGTGCTGGGCAGTCAGGGATTTGGACCCGAGCTGGGATAGGGTTGGGATCAGGTTTGGGTGGAGGGCAGCCGAAGGCACAGTTGAAGAGGAGGGTCTTAAGATATGCCTTGAGGGAGTCGAGGGAGGGAGCGAGGCGAGGGGACTGTGGGATGGAGTTCCAAAGGGAAAAGGCTGAGAAGCTGAAGGACCGACTGCTGATGGTGAGGTGGGCAGGGCTGGGGATGTGGAGCAGGCCAGAGACTGCTGAGCGGACATTGGGTGTTTACCCGTGGCCTCCAACCGCAACACTGGAGAGCCATCAGCTCTAACCCACAGCTTCATACCAGGCACATAGGCTGTTCTACTCCAAGGACCGACAGGGGGCTCTGCAGCCAGAGAACGAGCAGCTCCCAGCGAGCCACCAATCAACTGATAACCGTGTCCCTGTTTACTGCTGGGTAAACAGAGGCGTGCGGGTGGAGTAAGGAAACTTGCCTATGGAATGCGCCCCATCACCCAGGAGGGACCCACCCTGATTACCTAATCTCAGAGAGTATTGGCGAGAACCCAGCCTTGGAGCCCCCCCGAGTGTGCACTAACTGCTGGAGTTCAACCAGCTACACCGGGTCAGGAACGTCATGGAGGCAGTCAGTTGAGGTGTTCGGGCAGAAGACAGATGGGTACTTGGAACAATAGCAATAATCCTTATGTTTGAGATAGCGCCTTATCTTGTCGTAGAGATGTCTCAAAGCGCTTCACAGAATATATTGGAAAGAGAATTTACCATATTTTGTGGGCGAAAAACGCGGCAGCCAATTGCGTACAGCAGCGTCCCACAAACAGCCGGTTATAGTTTTCGAAAGGGAACTGGATACGTACTGAAAAAGTGCTATGGGGTAAGAACGGGGGAGTGGGGATGAGTTGGTAGCCCTTTCAAAGAACCAGCACAGGGACAGTAGGCCGAATGGCCTCCTTCTGTGCTGTAAGATTCTACGATCCTAATTGACTGACCAAATTATTATTATTTATTTTGGAAGGGTTATTACCCCTCCGCACCCTCAACGGTAGGGGTACACGTGGAGTCCTGTAGCTCAGTGGTTAGAGCACTCGCTTTGCAAGCGAGAGGACCCGGGTTCGATTCCCGGCAGAGGGCGAAACCTTGGGCAAGTTTCCTTACCCCACACGCCTGGTAATAATCCCTCAAGAAAATAAAATAATAAAAATGTGATCACTTTAATCCACGGCTATTTGTGGGGACGCTGCTGTGCGCAATTGGCTGCCGCGTTTCACCCGCAAAATATAGTCAATTCACTTTACAGTATATTCTGTGAAGCGCTTTGAGACGTCTCGAAGACATGAAAAAGCGCAGTATCAAATGCAAGGAGTATTATATTCTATGAGGACGCTTGAGGATATGAAGGTAGGAAAATAGATTGGAACATTTCAACAAAATGGAACTGGCTCCTTCCATTTCTGTGATAATCCTCGTATTTCTTACAGCGCCTTTCACATCGGGAGGACGTCCCCTTGACAGGGTTACTGCAAAGTGCTATGACCATTTGGTAGGTGGGCACAGCAGCCGATTTGTACACAGAATGTCCTGCGAACAGCGTTGAAGCGAATAATTGATTTTATCTGCAACAACTTGCACTTACGTAGCGTCTCTGAGCACTTATCTAGAGTAAGCCTTGCATTTGGTATAGTGCCTCAGTACTTCGGAAGGAAGTCTCAAAGCGCATCGCAGGATTTACTTTAAAATGCAGTGACTGTATTTGTAGGCGAACGAGGCAGCTAATTGCACAGAGTGAGTGACCAATTTTATTTTGGGGTTTGTCGGTCAGGACAACGGGAGAGAAGCTCCCTCCTCTTTTCAAATAGCGCCGTGAGATCTTTAACGTCCGCCTGAACAGGCAGACGGGACCTCGGTTTAAAGTCCCATCCTCAGGACGGTGGGATCGTTGGCCAGGACACTTTTTTTTAATAATAATCCTTGCATTTAACACAGCACCTTATCACGTTGTTGAGAACAACAACAACAACAACAAGATTCCATTTATAGAGCGCCTTTCACGTCAGGAGGACGTCCCAAGGCGCTGCACAGTTGGGTCATGACCCGAGCAGGGGGGAAATGGTCAGGGTGAGGGGAGGGAAGGGAGGGAGCGAGGAGGGGGGAAATGGTCAGGGTGAGGGGAGGGAAGGGAGGGAGCGAGGAGGAGGAAGAGAGTCGAGAGGGGAGCTGAAGGCACGGTCAAAGAGAAGTCTCAAAACGCTTCACAGGCTATACTACAAAGTGAATTGAGCTGTGTATTTTGTGGGCGGAACGCGGCAGCCAATTACCCACAGCAGCGTCTCACAAACAGTCATGGGTTGAGTGACCAAATTTGTTTTTGGAGGAATTATTACTCCAGAAAGCGATCCACCAACCAATTAACAACTGGGTTCCTACTTACTGCTAGGCAAACAGAGGCGTGAGGAGTAAGGAAACTTGTCTGAGGGATAGAATCCGTGTCCTCTCGCTTGCGAGGCGAGCACGTTAACCACTACGCTACAAGACTTCTCGAAGCTCATTCTGAACCCACAACCTTCTGATACGAGTGGTGCGACACACCGGACCGTATCTGTGACCCAAACGCCCACCGAGGGCTGGCAAACCCCCCACCTTTAAACAGCACGATAGGAGATTGTTTGCTCTTTATTGATTAAAAGGAATCAGGAAAATCATGCAATAAAAACCCAAAGGATAATCATGTTTTTTTTTTAAAAAGTCACGATATTTTACACCTTTGTTGAGTTAGAATAAGAAATGACACCAAATTGTGTTAACCTCAGCAATCACCTCTCCAGTTATAGGTGTTAATAAGTAAAGCCACACCTTAACCTTAACTCCCCCGCTCCCCCCCAAAAAAAAGTTATTGAAAACCATGTAAGTGGATGGTGTGAAAAGTCCCACAACCTTCTGCGTTGGAAGACAATTCACAAAATGGTGGACATATTCACTGCAGTTTCATTTCTCTTCAAATCTTATGCGGAGCCGCTAACTGTTTTTTGTTTGGTCAGCCGGACGGGTGTCTTGACACATGTGGAAACCCGTCGCTTAAGAGTCTCCAAACCCAAGTGAGAATTCCATACATCATCCCCGCCCACACACGGAAATTCCAGATTGGCAAGACCCAAGGCTTCGGGACCCCAGAGTGTTCATCAAAGCCACTAACAAATGTCAAGGCTAACAGTTATTCCCCCCCCAACCCCAATTTAAAGTAATACTAAACAAATGCGCTGTATGTAAACATGCGTTGGATTACATCAATCACCTCTACGTGCATTTATTCCCAAATTATTTCACCTCATCGTATACAGTCGTGCTTGCTTTCAAATGATCCATTTGAGTTCCTTCCCCCATTTCCCCCCCGCCCCTTCTCCGGAACTCTTTTCTCTCCTCTGCCCTCCCCAACAACCCCCACCCCACCGCGGAACAAACAAAGACAAAACACCTAAATCACCAGTGTGTGAGAGGATGTAGTTTTCCAGTGTGTACTAGAGAGATCACCATTGACATCAAGGCATGGTGCAAGCCATCACCCGAAAACAGTGCAAATCCCCACCTTTTGCCCCAGCTCTCATTGACAAGCAACAAGCCAACTCTGGGTTGTCTCATCAGCAGTGCCCTGGAGTACTGCAGACCCGACTGGCTCAGGAATCGGACTAGAGACCATCACAGAGGGTAGACTTGGTTTTGGACTTCCATTGCCAAGCACATCACCTTGGAGCCAACTCAGCTCCAGAAAAGATTCCACCTACTTTCCCCCAACTCCCCTCCAAACCATGGGCAGGTCTCTTGGCTCCCGCTGCTATGATTCCCGCTGCTCACCTCTCCTATCGCAACCCACCCCACCCCACTCCCCCCAAAGTTCTCGCTGAGCCTTCAGTCACCAGGTATCTACTTTGACTCAGTTTGATTCTTGGGAGCAGAAGGCGTCATCTTATTTGTTGTAAATAATTAATAACCCTTAAATTTGATACAGCGCCTTATCAAGTTGTCGAGACGTCTCAAAGCACATCACAGAATATATTGTGAAGTGCAGTGACTGTGTATTTTGTGGGCGTAACGTGGCAGATAATTGCGAACAGCAGTGTCCCACAAAGTCATGGACTGAGTGACTGAATAATTTTTTGGGGTGGGGGGTGAGAGCAATCTTCTGCCTTCGGTATTCAAACAATTACAGTTCCCGTACAGATATATATGGTTACTGACAATGTAATTACACTCAGTATATTGTGTGGAGCACTTTGAGACGTCTCAATGACGTGATAAGGCACTATATCAAATGCGAGGATTATTATTATAATTCCAGCTCGCCCTATTTGTACAGCCAGCCAAGATCTTGTTATATTTGGCTCAAGCTCATTCAGACTCCTATAAGTGTCTTACAGTGACAGGCACTGGATTTACACTCCGCAATAGTTAGTATTTATTATCATTGGCAAAATAAATTGGCTCCAAAGTGGCAGTGATTTCATCACTCCCACACACTCCGCGTCCAAACCCAACCCCACTCGGATTCTGTCATTAATAATCTTGTTTCATTTGGATTCTAAATTGATCGGTTATTGGAAAATTTTAAGTCGAGAAGACTTGCCATCATTGGGACAAACTCGAACGCTCCAGAGATTTCACATCAGGTGCTATACACCCCCTTCGCACGCGCATTTACACACACACGCACTTACGCTCATGAAGAGACTTTGTTTCCCATTGCCAAAGACCACTCCGGATCATCATCGTCACAAAGTATAATAATAATAATCTTTTGCAAGAAAAAAAATTAAGTGTTCCTTTTGATTAGTTTCCAAAAACAAATCATCTGTACTGATGTTACAGAATTCGGCCGAGTCACTGAACCACATAGTCTAATGCATTGAGAGTCTACGAACTACTGCGGGGGGGGGGGGGGGGGGGGGGGCGGAGGGAAGGGGTTGAGCCAGATTTAGGGGGAGGGACACAATGAGGGGTGGGGCTAGGATTGGGGGAAGGCCGAATGGAGGGATGGAGCCGGTGGTGGTGGAGGGGCAGAGGGACGGGTGGAGTCGGTGGTGAGGGAGGGGCAGAGGGAGGGGTGGAGCCTGTGATGGGGGAGGGGCAGAGGGAGGCGTGGAGCTGCAGTGGAGGAGGGGCAGAGGGAGGGGTGGAGCCAGTAGTGGGGGAGGGGCAAAGGGAGGGGTGGAGCTGGTGGTCGGGGCGGGGCAGAGGGAGGGGTGGAGTCAGTGGTGAGGGTGGGGCAGAGGGAGGGGTGGAGCTGGTGGTCAGGGCGGGGCAGAGGGAGGGGTGGAGTCAGTGGTGAGGGTGGGGCAGAGCTGGTGGTCGGGGCGGGGCAGATGGAGGGGCGGAGTCAGTGGTGAGGGTGGGGCAGAGGGAGGGGTGGAGCTAGTGGTCAGGGCGGAGCAGAGGGAAGGGCGGAGTCGGTGGTGAGGGTGGGGCAGAGGGAAGGGTGGAGCTGGTGGTGAGGGTGGGGCAGAGGGAGGGGTGGAGCCAACAGGGGGGAGTGGGGGGGGGGGTGGGGGAAGAGAGAGAAAAACTAATCTCTCTGATCAGTAGTCAGTCAAAAATAAGGCAATTAAAAAAAGATGGATGTGAACGCTGCCCGTTGAGAGCCCAGACGGTTGGATATTGCATGCAGTAAGTAACCTAGTAAAGCACTTGATGCTCCATCACTTATGTAGTCCAAACACTCCAATCACTTCCTATTACGCTGAGTTTGCAGCAAGTGGGGTTTGTGCCTCACAGGAGGTGAGCACGGAGACCCACCCCCCACATGTACCAAATACGTCGCTCTTTGGCAGAAGTCGCTTCCGTTTTTAGGCCAATACCAGTGAGATACCCATTCACAGACCGGGTTCAGCAGTCTCTCTCTCTCTCTCTCTCTCTCTCTCGCGATTTAACTAATGGTAAGTTGTGCAAATCCTATGAGTTTAATGTCGTCTGGTAGATCGGATTCTTCCGCCCCGCAGGCCTGTGGGTTTGAGGAAAGAATGAGGCGGTTTATTTCCAACTCGGGTTTGACTTTCCGCAAATATTAATAATAATTGTTATTTTTATTAACGCCAAGTATATAGTTTGGGTCACGACATGCCATGCGACTGCCAGGAAGGCGAGAGGCGAACTAGAGCCAGCCTATACTCACCAATTTGAAGGTGACTGATCTATTGGTAGCTGGTTCGTCAACTATTTTCTGTAGATTTGCTGCAACTGAAAAGAGAAAGAACATTTCAGTCATAAAACAACAACAACTTGCATTTACACAGTGTTCTTCAGTGCCTCGGAGCACTTACTAGTGGCATAGCCTGATGGCGAGGCAGGGGGTGGGGGGGGGGGGGGGGGGGGGGGGAGAGGAAGGTCTTTAGGTGCGATCTGAAAAAAGGGAAGGAAGGGGCAAGCTGGAGGGAGAAAGTTACAAAGTTTTGGGGGCATAGTGGCCGACGTCTCAAAGAGCTTCTCAGGACATATTGTAAAGCGGTTTGACGGTGTATTGGGCGAAACATGGCAGCCAATTGCACACGGCAGCGTCCCACTAATGGTCATTTTTTTGGGAGGGCTTATTACTGCTGGAAAGCAATCCGCCAATTGACTAACAACCTACTTACTGCTAGGTAAACAAAGACATGTGTGTGTGTGTGTGTGTGTGGGGGTAAGGAAACTTGGGTCTAAGCTTTCGCCCTGCCCGGAAATCAAACCTGGGTCCTCTCGCTTGCAAGGCAAGCGCTCTAACCACTGAGCTATAGGACGATGCTCAAACCAGGAGCACATTCATCGTCCTGTATGTGTCTATTGTAATGTTCGAGAGACGCAATGGTGCAGTGTCTTTGTGCTGAGCATTGCTCTCATTGCTTGACCCCCAAATAGGCTTTGCTGGCTTGGAGGCCATGAATGAAAGGTAGGACAGAACCTTGAAGGTTGAGCAGGGAGGAGGATTGAGTGGTCCACGGTATCAAAGGCAGAGGGAGCCCCGGTCGCACATGGTCAGGATGTCCTTTGTGACCTTGACCAGAGCAGTTTCTGGTGGGCAGCACGGAAACCCGATTGGAGGGGGTCATAGAGGAAGTGAAAGGAGAGGAAAGAGTAAAGCTGGGAGGCAACGGCTCTCTCAAGGACCTTGGTTAGGAAGGGGAGATTTGAGATGGGCCGGTAGCTGGCTAGCTGTGATGGGTAAAGGGAAGGTTTCTTCAAGGTGGGGATGATAGTGGCTGTTTTAACGGTGCCAGATGACAGGGAGAGCTTAATGATGTTGGCGAGTAGTGGGGCAAGGAGGTGGAGCTGGGATTTAAGAAGAGCAAAGGGTAAGGGCAGGAGAAAACATCTCCTGCTAAGGATTGCTAAGGTTGGAAGCGGGGTGGTTCAGGGTGGGGTAGGTCATTCAGTGAATCTATAGAGATCGGGATCCCGGGATCCGTTACTGTGAAGCGCTCTGAGACGCCGTCTGGCGTGGAGGGAGCTATATAAATCCAAGTTGTTGTTATTGTTGTAGAGATGGATCATACAGAGGTGGAAGCGGTGGTCTACATGACCAGCTCTGCGCCCCCCCCCCCGCCCTAAACTGCAACCCAAACCGCGTTGTACGGCAGGCAGAGGAAAGAACATGCGAGATAGCACAGACAGTCACTTTGGAGAATACAATCAACCAACTGCACATCAGCGCAGACATGAAATCATTTTAAATTGCAGCTTTGCGGGTGACAATTATAACCTAAAACTTCTGAAGTTGATTGGCTTAATGATGGGTTTTCCGGGCTGAGCTGAGCTATGTCTGTGTGGCGTCTTGGCATCAGAGTAGCAAAGGAAGTGGGTAAGTCAGTCAAATAACAAGTTACGACAACGCAATTCTGGGATTGAAAACCCACGTTTATGATAATAATAATAACAGTCCTTGCGTTTGATATAGTGCCTTATCACGCCGTTGACTCTCAAAGTGCTTCACAGGATATATTGTCGAGTGGAGTGACTGTATTATGTGGGCGAAACACGGCAGTTAATCGTGCATAGCAGTGTCTAACAAAGAACTGTGGATTGAGAGACTAAATTTCTCTTTTATTTGAAGGGATTATTACCCCCGGAAAATGATCCTGCAATCGAGTTCCTACTCACTGCTCGGTAGACAGAGGCGAGTGGAGCAAAGAAACTTGCCTAAGATTTCGCCCTTCCTGGGAATTGAACCCAGGTCCCTCGCTTAAGAGACGAGTGCTCTAACCACTACGCTACACTACACTACGCTAGTTCATTTAACACATTACGACATTGTATTCAGTGCTGGGGTTCGGCTGATACTTACCTATTACCACATCTTTGCCATCAACAAGTCCTGCTGAGACCAGCTCTTGGGAAACACCATCAGCTGTATCTGTGGGAACAATCATAGATCACCCGTTCATTACAGTGACCTTGTTGTCTACTGTCCTTCAACTTTGTCTTTCTTTCCCCGCCCCTTCTCTGATTCTCCTTAAGCTGCTCCCTTCCAACGTAATAGTAATAATAATCCTTGCATTTGATATAGCAGCTTATCATGTCTTCAAGAGCGCTCTCAAAGCACTTTACAGAATATACTGTGAAGCGAATTGACTGTACATTTTGTGGGCGAAACGTAGCAGCCAATTGCACACAGCAGTGTCTCACAAACAGTCCTCAATAGAGTGACCAATTTATTACTTTTTTTTGAAGGGATTATTACCCCCAAAAGAGCGATACATAAATCGACTAATTTATGTCGATTAGTCGACATTAACAGAGAGTAATCAGAGAGTAAGGAAACTTGCCTAAGGTTTCGCCCTGCCTGGGAATTGAACCCAGGTCTCTCGCTTAAGAGGCGAGTGCTCTAACCATAACAGTACTTTGTATTGCAGCTTTGTATTGCAATAGAGTTTTAGGGCCACAGTGTACATTAATCAACAAAATCCTTGCTTTATACGCAAGACAGGAAACATACCTCTCCCAGGTGTAAATTCAAATCGTATGTCATTCAACTCCTTCTTCAGATTTCTATTTGAAGGAGAGATGTTCCAATTAATACCAATTAAATAGTAATAAATAATCCTTGCATTTGATATAGTGCCTTATCACATAGTTGAGCCATCGGATAGACCTTCACAGAATATAACACGGTGTGTACAGGTGTATAGTGGAAGGGATGTTTGTAGCGCATTTGTAGGGAATTCCGTGGAAATGGTGCGCCCATTATACTCAAACCCGTGTCACAACAAAGAGCGGTGAGCAGAACAACTCACCGTAATCTCAGCACAAGGCTGATTGGGGGCTTATGTGCCTCAGACCCAGGAGCAACCTGAAAGCAAAAGGTATCAGATAAACAGGAGGCTGGGCAGGGGGGAAATCTTCAATACCTGTACAAACAGCGTAAAGTTAAGGCACACATTTCTTTCACCCCGGGGTTAAGGTTCTATATATGGTGTAGGCGCTACAGTCTATTCAGACATTCAAGAGGCAGATCTTTAGATCCTCGGTGAGGAAGGTTAACAATAATCCTTGCATTTGACACAGCGCCTTATCACGGCTTTCAGACGGCTCAAAGCGTTTCACAGGATATACTTTAAAGTCAATTGACCGTATATTTTGTGGGCCAAAACAATACTAAATTACATTTCCACAGCACCTTTCACGACGGGAGGACGTGGCAGGACGCTGGACAGTCAGGGATTTGCACCCGAGCTGGGGGTTGCGATCAGGAGGCGTGTAATGCAGGTGTGGGGGGATGCAGAAGGATGAGCACCAGCCAGGCTGAATGTAAACTTATGGAACGGGCTCCCCAGGGAGACAGAAGGTGGAAGCAGAAAATATCATTTGTTTCAAGAACAAACGAGACAGATTTCTGCTAGAAATATCTGGGGATACAGTATATAGCTTGGGGATCACCATGACAAAGCGACTGACGCGATGGTGGAAGGCGTAGAAAATTCTTATGTTTCTGAGCTGTGCCTTGTATGAATCGACGAAGCCTGGATGTGAAGGAGGGTGGCGGGGACCCCTGATTGACTTTGGACAAAGAATGAAGGGCGGACCAGCAGCTGGCTGGAGCGATACGACGTGTACCTGGGAGGCTGGGAGCTGATGCTGGGCTGCAGTTTGCTGGGAAGGGTCCGACAAGGGGACTGAAGGCTGGGCTGTAGGCACCACGTTGGTGTGAGGAGCAGTCGCGGGGGCGTTCGCTGTGGGCTGAGGTAGCACTTGCTGCTGGACTTGGCCGCTTGGCTGTGGAGTTGGGACCGCCGTCTCCGTTGATACGATGAGCTGAGAGCAGATTGGACACCAAAATAAACCCCATCGATTTTCAATCATAAATTATCATAATAATAAGTTGTACACTGTATAAAAAAAGCTATGGGCTGCTCTTTAGTGTGTAGCTTCAGGTCATAGCTTGATGCTAGGGATGGTACGGAGGATAAGATCAAATGCCGCCCTGTAGCTCAGTGGTTAGAGCACTCGCCTCGCAAGCAGGAGGACCTGGGTTTGATTCCCGGGCAGGGCGAAACCTTAGGCAAGTTTCCTTACTCCACTGCCTGTTTCCTAGCAGTTGCCTAAGGTTTCGCCCTGCCCGGGAATCAAACCCAGGTCCTCCTGCTTGCGTGGCTGTTACGTCGATTGGCGGATTGCTTTCCGGGGGGGGGTAATAATCGCTTAAACAAAATAATAATTTGGCCACTCAAGCCAGGACCGTTTGTGGGACCGCCGGAGAGAGCAACTCCCTTCTCTGCGGGATCTTTAATGTCCGCCCGAACGGGTAGCCGGTTTAACATCTCATCGAAAGCGTGGCCAGGAGGGGGCGGTTGAAGTCAGGACGCTGGGGCCTTTAAAAAGCAGCTCAGTTTGATGGGAAGACGGAAGGGTGGACGTTGTAGAGCGATGCGATCAGAGAGAGCGAAGAACCTTCTTTACCCAAACAAATCTTGTGATCCCAAACCCCTCTCGCGTTAAGGCCCATAGCCTGCAGTACGGTCAGCATCCTACAGGTGGCCCCACAGCATGCATTCAATTAACCCGGGTCTCTCACTCGCGAGGCGAGGGCTGTAATCATTAAAGCCACAAGACTCCGCAGGTTTAATACGTGGTGTGGTCCCTTTTTTTTTTAAAAAAAAATCTTACAGGGCCTTTGCAAATCATTAAAACGTCGCATAAATACAACTGCGCAAACTGGAAAATGATTCAATCAGCGGTGCGTTTCACGGCACAACCTATAAATTGCGTAATTAAAAAAAAAAACGTCGTTAGTCACATCCAGGGCTGAGGAATTTCGCAAATCAAGGCGACTTGTTTAAACACAGCAGTTACGAGGAGCTGCAAAGTGAGTGGACACTGGACGTAAGATCCTGCATCAACAGCGAGGTGAAGAGGTCACAAAACACATTTAGAAAAGCCAAGATTGTTATCTGCAAAGATTTACATAGTGCAGTGTCCCACACCCAGATTCAGTGACCACATTTTTGTTTAAAAAGGGATTATTACCCCAGGAAAGCGACTGCGGAATGATAAACAATACTTTAGGATGTACCAAGACAACAGTATTTAGGTTTGAGTAGCAATGGGGGAGTTTCAAGACAGACACCACGTCAATGTTGACATCTCTAACAAGGCTGCACCCTCTCCAGTAAAATAGTTTGCGGCTTGGTCTATAAATTAAAGTCTGAAGCTTGACCCAGAGGCGAGAGTGCTACCCGTTGTGCCAGGTTGACACCTAGACTTGTGGCTTGAAACACAGAACGCTAAGGTAAGCGTCAGCACTTTGCTTACTTGTTTTTGGAAAAAAAAATCAAATTATTTTTAATAAAGTAATAAACTTGTATAAAGAAATTCAGCAAATCACCAGGAAATCCACGCTTACCTCTGGGGCCTGCATTGACTCCTTCACTCTGGGGGACTGGTGAGAAAGAGAGAGAATAAATCAATGGGACGTGTGGAAGTACCCGTTGCATCATTACACGGAGGTTCACAGACGCGGTTTATTGCGAGCATTCTCCTACCATTGGGTGTTCCTGAAGTGGTGACAATGGCGTCAGGATAGAGAAGGCAGGCTGTAGGGGGAGTGCTCCAGCTATACAACAGCAAAAACTATACAACAACCAAGACCCACCTCTTCGACCGCGGTTTCGGCCACCCTCCTACCCCCAATCTCCCTGCCCTCCACCCCTCCTGATCCCAACCCCCAGCTCAGTCCAAATCCCTGAATGTCCAGGGTCTTGTAATCATAATAGTAATCCTTGCATTTGATACGGCGCCTTATCACATCATTGAGGCGTCTCAAAGTGCTTCACGGGATATACTGTTAAGTGAATTGACTGTGTGTTTTATGGGCGAAACGCGGCAGCCAATTGCGCCCAGTGTTCTGGAGCAATGGGATGGTGGCTTCTGGGCGACATAATCAGGGGGTGACGATTTGAAAATAATGACCTTGAATTCAGTCACTGCGGAGAGTTATGGAAGCAAACAGGAACCAAACCAAAGCTGTGCCCAGGGTAGGAACAAAAGCCATCCTGGGAGATAAGCTCCTCAGTGAAACCATTCGACTCCCGCGAAGCCAGCTGCTCAACTGATAGACTAAAGCCTGACGCACTGAGCTACGCGTCAATAGGTTTGAAAGACGAGCTCCAGCAGTGCGCCCCAGCTGTGTTTGGATGGGGCGGTAACCCACAATATGGAAGCTGTTACGAGCAGCTGCCCGGAACGCTGAGGCACGACACATGCGGGTCCAAGCAATCCTCAAATGTTTACGCAAACCCATTTGTTAAAGGAATAATAAATATTCTGAAGAAAGGCTCACATTACCCACCCATAACATTTCGGGTCCATTTCATCAGAACTCAATCCACAGCTGTTTGTGGGGGACGCTGCTGTGCGCAATTGGCTGCCACGTTTTGCCCACAAAATGTATACAGTCAATTCACTTTACAGTACATTATTTGAAGCCCTTTGAGACGTCTCGAAGAAACAATAAGGCGCCATATCAAATGCAAGGATTATCATTATTGTGAGCTTCTTTCCAATGAGCTGGTAATGGCAATGCTGAGGCCAGCACTGGGACATGCAGTTCACTGCGTTGATCTCCAGTCTGGAACCCTGCATTTGGCTTCAACGCAATGGAAAGAAAATGAGGGGAGGGGAGAGAGAGAAACTACCTGCAAACTTGCCTCGCAAGCCCCCAAGCTTATCTTCCAAGGCTTGCCTTGAGGTGACCACTGCCCAACAGTACAATTCTCATGCTATAGAATAATGATCCTTGCATTTGATATAGCACCTTATCCCGTCATTGAATCGCCTCAAAGCCCTTCACCGAAACTAAAATACAGCCACTGTCACTACTAATAGATTAACTATACAGAGGTGTCATTACTTATATCAGACAATAAAGAGGATCAGTATGGCTGCACTTGTGCAAGTCTCCACCATTTTTCTTGTGGTGACTAAAGCCAAACACGCATTTAGGCTTGGGGTGTGGTCTATTAAATGAATAATCAGTACAAAGCCACAGGAAGCCCGGCCCTGGCCTCCAGCTCTTTAAGACTTAGCTTCATGAAAATGAGTGAGAGGATCTTAAAATCGATCCGATCGATAATTGGGAGCTAGTGGGGCCTGGCAAGGACTGGTGTGAACGCGGCAGTCAATCTGCGCACAGCAATGTTCCGCAAAAGTAGCAATAATGCGAGTGCCTTGGCTCTTTTTGAATAGTGCCTTGGAATCTCTAAGGGTCACCTGAACAGGCACCCGGGACTTTCGTTCAACATTTTGCACTGTCAGTGTACACTGAGCTCAAAGTCCCGACGTGAAGCTTGAACTCACAACCTTCTGACTCAAGAGGTGAGCGCACTCCCAACTGAGCCAGGCTGACACACATTCAAACTTTCAAGACTGAGATGGATAGATGTTTGTTAGGTCTGGATATTGAGGGAAATGCGGCAAAGGCGGGTATTTGAAATTGAGCTATAATACAATGCAAAATTACATTTGTATAGCGCCTTTTACGTCGGGAGGACATCCCTGGATGCTGGGTTCACATCAGCCATGATCTAATAGAGTGGTAGAACAGGCTCGAGGGGCTGAATGACACCCCCCCTGTTCCTATAGCCATTCTGGGCCAAGTCTTGGAGAGATACCAAACGACTGCATCAAAGTTAAAGGAAAAGCAGCAAGCTGTGATGCCATGAAGGGGTGGCGGGGGGGGGGGGGGGGGGGGGGGGGGGGGAAGCAAGCAGCTGCTCTATATCAGAGAAAGATGGAGGGAAACTGATTTTTTTTCCTTATGTAGAGCAAAGGGTAAAAGAAAATTAAAAGCAGCTGCTGCAGGAACGAGCTGCAGTGTGCAACACCTCCTTTTCACCCAGCAATCGCAGCTGTGATCACTGTAATAATGATTATCCTTACATTTGATATAGTGCCGCATCGCGTCGTCAAGACATCTCAAAACGCTTCACAGAATATAACTGCAAAGTGTAGTGACTGTGTATTCTGTGGGCAAAACGTGGCAGCCAATTTGCCCGCAGCAGCGTCCCGCAAATGGTTGTGGGTTGAGCGACGTGGGGGCTTGCACCCGCCAACGTCTGACTCAGAGGCAAGCGTGCTACCACCGTGTCAGGGCTGACGCACCCTATCACCATGTAAAAAGCAGTTTGTGTAGTTGACCACGTTACCTGAGCCCTGACGTTTCGCAGGGACCAAGCCTCAAGAGCATTGCTATTCAAATTTTAATATTTTGAAAAATTCGCAGATTCGGGCTTAAAGTAATGATAATAACACTTGATATGGCGCTTTTCACATCTTCGAGACGTCTCAAAGTGCTTCACAGAATATGCTGTGAAGTTAATTGACTGTATATTTGTGGGCGAAACGCGGCAGCCAATTGCGCACAGCAGCGTCCCCACAGTCGGGGATCGAAATGACCAATTTATTATTGTTTTTTTGAGGGATTATTATCAGACGTGTGGAGTAAGGAAACTTGCCCAAGGTTTCACCCTGCCGGGAATTGAGCCCAGGTCTTTTGCTAGCGGACGATCATTACTATTGGAAAGAGTGTGCTTTTTCTCTTGCGGTTCTCAATAAAACAAGTGACATTTTACACAGCGCCTTTCACTGCAAGTGGACTTCCCAAGGCGCTAGACAGTTAGGGATTCGGACCCCAGCAGGGGTTTGGGATCAGGAGGGGCGGGGTGGGGGGGCTTTTGGATTAAGACGGGTCGTGCACACTGTTAAAAACAATGGTCTCCAGGCTAAAGAGCATGAGGCCACGAGAGCCAGGAAGTTAGAATTCCAGAGCTCCAATAATAACCTCTAAACAAAACATACCCTGTCATTTGGGTGGCGTGAGAGGAGAGCTACACAATCTGTACACTTAACGTGGAGCACGGGAACATAACAGCATCTGTGATATGCATTCAGAGTTCTCTTCTCCTCTCCAGGGACGTATTCCAGGCGATGTAGAGGAAGCATGCTTCCCGTGGACTTACCCGTAGCTGAGACACTGCAGCCTTCCCTTCTTCGCTCTCTTCATCCAGCTCATCGTCGCTCCACTCCCAGCCGCCATCTTCTGTCTTGTGCAGTCGGCCACTGGAGCCTGGCACACGTCTCACCTGCAACACAAACAACAATGTTCAGAGGAAGATTGAGCCCTCAAGATATCTTTGCATCTCACAGTATCTATCCTCCATCCTTCAACTCCATCCAGTAGTTTGAGGTTAATAATCCCTTTAAAAAATATATATATAATTGGTCACTTCAATCCACGACTGTTTGTGGGGACGCTGCTGTCCGCAATTGTCTGCCGTGTTTCGCCCACAAAATATACAGTCAATTCACTTTACAGTACATTCTGTGAAGCGCTTTGAGACGTCGTGAAGACGTGATAAGGTGAGAAGAAAAGACCAGTGTGTATTTTTGTGGGCGAAACGTGTCAGCCAATTGCGCACGGCAGTATCCTACAAACAGTCGTGGATTGAGTGACCAAATTATTATTTTTGGTCTTCAGGGAAATGGGAATAGAATAGATTCATTGGAGGAGCAAACATCACTAAACCCAAAGGCCTCAAGCGGTGACTAAAGTGAATGCTACCCTGTGTGAAGGGCATTATATAAATGCAAGGTGTTGTTGAAATCCACCCACAGTCAAACAGCCTACAGACACTTGCGGTCTGCGTTCACACTGAGTGACGACTTGGTAAAAAGTACCAATCCCAAAGAACTCGAGTCCCACTATGGCAGAATAGTGGGAAAGTTTCACACACCGCAATGTTATCTTCGATACAAAACACACGCAAACATTTCAGCATTACCTTTTTTGACCTCTCAGCTATCGTAGGTGCTCGGGTTAGTAATTTTTCTTCAAGGTATTCCTTGTTCTAGAATTTATTTCAAAACAAAAAGAGAAACGTGTTAATAGAGACTTTCACATTCCAAGCTCTCAATCACTAAACTCTCCTTCCCACTTCAACCTCTGAGTTGTGGGGGGAGGAGAGGGGAGAAGAAAAAGAGAGGGCTTGAGAGTCTCATCGAATGAGCCATACAGACAATTATTAGCTCCGGAATGCTTCCTGATTTCACACCTAAGTGGCCTAGCTCTGATTTTAGCATTATGAAAACAGGATTATTATTACACACACATATTTCCTCTCCAGTGATATTGAGTTACTGTATAGGATTTGACGCACTGCTTTCTACCATAGGTGTACGACCAGGAGATTGTTCAAATTTTCAGAACGTAACGCACTAACTTATCGCACAACAATAACAATAGCAAAATTACATTTGTATAGCGCCTTTCACCTCAGGAGGACACACACACACACACAGAGAAGAATACAGCTTACCTTTGCTTTTTGAAAAAACTTGTGTTTTAATAGCTCAGCTGCTGTAGGCCTGAAAAAGCAAACACAAAAAGTGAGAACTCGGGAATGAAACGGCAGCCTGGGGAAACGAGGTCCACTTGCAACATCACATCAATGTGCAATGTGAATTACCATTCAACCAGTTTGATCTCACATAAAGGGTAGTGGAAATCTGGAACTCTCTCTCCCACAAAAAAGGCTGTGGATGCTGGGTCCACTCACATTTTCAAGACTTAGGTGGATAGATTTCGGTTAGGTCAGGGTATGAATATGGAGCAAAGGCAGGTAACTGGAGTTAAGGTATAGATCAGCCATGTTCTAATAGAATGGCGGAACAAGCTCAAGGGTCTGAATTAGTTACTCACTATGTTCTATCTTTTGAATCCCTACCCTACCATCATTTAGCATTAACTACATCCCCATTCAGCTTGTCCCTCTCCTCTGAAATTCTATACTTTCTTCTTACACGGAGTATACACGCTTGCATGGACTGGCCAAATTGTTAATTTCCTTGCAATAGCACTCTATGTTGTAGCTTTCAACAACAACTAATTACATTTACACAACGCCTTCCACCTCGGGAGGACGTCCAGAATTTGGACCCCAGCTGGGGGTTATAATCAGGAGGGGTGGAGGGCAGGGAGGGTGGGGGTAGGAGGGTAGCCAAAGGCATGGTCGAAGAGGAAGGTCTTGAGTGTGCTTTGAAAGAGGCAAAGGAGGGCGTGAGGCAAAGGCACTGAGGGATAGGGTTTCAAAGAGTGGGGGGCAGAGAAGCTAAAGGCCCGAACGCCAATGGTAGGACAGGCTGGGCGGGGATGTGGAGAAGGCCAGGGTTTGCTGAGTGGAGGGAGCGGACAGGTTGATAAGGAGTTAACCTGAATCCACACAGCTGATACTCGTGCAAACAAAGCTCCTGATTATCTAGTTTAACTAAGGTGTCCTTGCTCCACATATACGCCTCAATCACCTGGCAAGTAGGAACCCGTTTGTTGATTGGCGGATCACTTTTCATTTCCAAAAAAATAATAATTTGGACTGTTTGTGGGACACTGCTGTGTGCAATTGGCTGCCGTGTTTCGCCCACATAATATACAGGCAATTCACTTTACAGTATATTCTGTGAAGCGCCTTTGAGAGTTCTTGAATACGCGATAGGGCGCGCAATCAAATGCAAGGATTATTATTATTATTATTAATGAAGTGCAAAGCCTCCTGCAGTATAAAACACTCAAGTCATCCATGGCTGCTAGAAAATGCTGAGGTTATTTTCTGATGTGTTAAAGCAGTTAAACTAGACAACCTGTTGAGGTAGACTCAACTGAGATGTTTAAAAGCGAGCGCCAACACATAGTCTTCCATTTGCAACTGTTCAGGCTGACTTTAAAAGAGATGGTACTACTTAAAATAGAAGGGAGTCGCTGCACTTTACAGTAAATCCTGTGAAGCGCTTTGAGACGTCCTGAGACTGGACCTCCGTTTAACGTCTCAACCGAAGGACAGTGACTCCAGCGAAGCAGCGTACTCCACTCCACGTAATACACTATAACCAGACTCGTCCAACTGGCCGCCTGGGGCCTCCGACCACGCCCGGCCCGGAGCCCCGACCTCGCTCGGCTCAGGGCCCCGACCTCACCCGGCCAAGGGACCATTCCCAACATCATTGTCCGATGAGCAAATGCAGGCGATGTTCGGCAACGGGACTGGCCAATCAGGATAAAATATTGCTTGTGGGACCCCCTGGACCTTTCTTAAATCCGGCATCTGGCCCTCAGCAGCCAAAGGGTGCGACTAACCTGAACTTACACCATTTATCGGAATGTCCGCTCCAACGCAAAACAACTCTGTGCAGCTCAGAGGGATTGAGCTCAGTGCCTGCCCGGCTGCAGAGAACGTAAGAACATAAGAATTTGCTGGGCAAAACTGGACCAAGGTCCGTCTATTCGCCTTTCACCGTCCTGACAGTCGCTTGACATGTCGTGTCCCGAGCTATGCAGTTGCCCCATATATTATTTTCCAGCAGACACATGTCTAATTTGTTCTTGAAACAAATGACATTTCTGCCTTCACCGTGGGTCTCCCTAGGGAGCCGGCCCCATCGGTTTACTACAACAGCAACAACTTGCATTTATTCCGCGCCCCTTCGAACGAGGTAGCATCCTGGGCTCGCTGACGGAAGCAGTTTAGAGAGCTACGCTTCCCAGCACGAAGAAAGCAGCGAGCAGCTATTGATCGCAAGCAAACAGGAGGGAAACAGTCTGCGAAATGAACTTGGAAAGAGCACAATGCCTTGGGTTGTTAAATGAACAAAGCACAGGCAGAGGTGGAACGAAGTCGCAGTCCCTGGGCACGGCTGGTAGTTTCACTGCCCACACTGAGCGTCACATTTCACAAAGGCAGAATGGCGAGTGGGCGCTGGTTCCAGAACTCACGACGACGGTTTAATTAACTCTCAGGGCAGCCCATTGTACTACCCGCGGATACTATTTCCTGTTCAATAATAAAAGAAATCATTTCATAAAGCTCCTCCCCAAAATAAACAAAAAGCGTTCAGAATGTACAGTGCACTTCAGGTTTTGAAGCACTCAATAATAATAATCCTCGGATTTGATTGCACATCACGTCGTTGAGACGTCTCGAATTGCTCAGAATATATTGTAAAGTGAATTAACTGTACATTTCATGGTTGAAATGCGGCAGCCAATTGCGCACCGCAACAACAACTTGTACTTATATAGCGCCCTCCACACAGGGTAGTGTCTCAGAGCGCTTAACAGTGGTACAGCCTGACTCAAAGCCGCGGGGAGGTGGCCATAAGCGCGGTCGAGGAGGAAAGTTTTCAGGCAGCACTTGAAAGAGGGGAGGGGGCCAGGCGGAGGGATTGAGGGAGTGTTTTCCAGAGTTTTGGGGCGTAGTGGCTGAAAGGGCATCCTCCGATGGTGGGGCGGTGGGTGCGAGGGACGAGCAGGAGGCTGGTGCCAGTCGAGCGGAGGCGCCAGGTGGTGGATTGGGAAGTGAGGAGGTCAGAGAGGTAGGGAGATGACAGGGAGTGAATGGATTTGAAACGTCCCACAGTGGTGGATGAGCAAATTATTTATTTCTTTATTTCTGGAAGGATTATTACCCCCGAAAAGCGATCTGACTGTCAATCGACTACCAACCAGGTTCCTACTTACTGTTTGGTAAACAGGTACGTGGAGGAAGGAAATTTGCAGAATGTTTCATTCTGCCGAGCAATTGAACATGGGTCCCCTACGCTACCAGATGACTGAAACGGAAAAGGTCCTTCAGCCCATTTGATCTCCTCATTCCAGAACACCCACTCTGTGTTTTAATACGAGTCCTAGCCTCCCAGACGCACAGGAAGATCTGCTCTTTGAAAATAACTTGCACTATGGAACACCTTTCACACAGCACAAAGTTCTTTGCAGACAAGGCGTGAAGGTCAGAGGATTAGGCCCAATCAAAGAGATCTTCAGACTATAACAAATTACATTTGTACAGCACCCTTCACGTTGGGAGGACGTCCCTAGTCCCTGGACAGTCAGGGATTTGGACCCGAGCCGGGATGAGGAAAGGGTGGACGGCAGGAAGAGTGGGGATACGAGGTTGACCTAAGGCGTAGGTTAGAAACATTCTAAAAGAGGGAGGGAGTTAGTTGGAGGGATTTCGGGAGTGTCCCTGAGAGCTCTTACCTTTTCTCCGGGTCTTTCTGTAGACATTGTGAAACCATCTTCCTAAAAGACTTGCCGTATCTTTTAACCATTTCCTTGTCTTGCACACCGGTCTCTAGTGACGGAGGGTCATTCTGAAGTGTTAACATCAAAACCTGAGAAGCAAGAGGAGAACATTACACAGAGAACAGAGTTCTTACAGGGCCAATAAAACCTTGAAGGGCTTCACAGGTAATTAATGTCAAGTGTAGCGACTACTTTTAAATTTTATTCACAGATTTGGCAACCATTTTGCGTAAACAAACCACAAAATGGCTAATTAGCAAACCAAAATGATGCATGACTGATTGGTTTGGAGGACTTGTAATTTGTGGAAAAGTTCTCCTCAAAACAACACCTGGAGCAGAATCAGTAATGACTTTTGAAAGGTCTCGGGAAAAATAGAACCAGAGAAACTTACAGCACAGAAGGATGCCATTCGGCCCATCGTGTCTGTGCCAGCTCCCTCAAGAGCAAATCTTTCAATCCCACTGCCATTTCCCCGTACCTCTGTAGCTGACTCTTAAGATATCTGTCTAGTTCCCTCTTAAAGGCCAATACCGTTTCTGCCTCAACCACTGGTCCCAGTAGGGAGTCCCAACTACTCTGTGCGTGAAAACATTTCTCCTAATCTCCCTATTTTCAGGGATGAGGGACTTTAGTTATGTGGAGAGACTAGAGAAGCTGGGATTGCTCTCCTTAGAGCAGAGAATGTTGAGGGGAGATTTGATAGAGGTGTTCAAAATTATGATTTGATAGGATAGATAAGGAGAAACTGTTTCCCCTTGTGGGTGGGTCAGTAATTTAAGAATTAGATTTAATGGGACATAGATTTAAGAAAATTCGTACATTTGGTCTCTATTTGGTCCAAATTTAAGAAGTTTCCCCAATTCTGTCCTATCTTATGTTTCTGAAAACTTAAAACGAGGTGGAATTTCAAGCTTCAGATTGTGCACTTTTCAACGTATACTTTCCCTCAATCCCTCCGCCTTGCCGTGAAGACCTTCCTCTTTGGCTGTGGCTACACTCACCTCCCCCTCCCCCCAGCCCGGTTGCCGTGTAAATGCAAATTGTTGCTGTTGTCTATAATCCCAGTCTCCAAATCCCAAACGACAGTGTCTGTGGTGGCAGTGGTAGTGGTACCTTCATAGGCGGGTACTTGTGATAAGGAGCTGCTCCTGTAGCCAGTTCAATGGCTGTGATGCCAAAACTCCAAATGTCTGCCTTGAAATCATATCCCCTAACCTGCGAAGACAACACAAGACAAACCTGAGCACGGGATTACATTTATTTTTACTGCAGCCGATAAGATTATTATTACGATGTCAAATTGTATTCTGTAAACTTGCCCAGGTATCAAGTTAGCGTAATCTAATCAGTCGCAGAATACGAGGTTGGAAAGCGATCTGCCAATCAACAAACAACCGATTTCCTACTTACTATTAGGTAAATAAAATAAGACTCCAGATAGGAGAGATCATCATTCATCCCACCTGCTCCATGACTTCAGGTGCCATCCAGCACGGTGTCCCCACAAACGTCTTCCGCACTTTATTCCTGGTCATGTCACCTCCCGTAGCGAGGAATGCACTTACTCCAAAATCTGTAAGGTGTGGGGGCGGTGGTAAAGACAGAGGGGGAACAGATAAAATATATAAGCAGCACGGTTACACATTAATTTCCTCCACTTTCCAACAGAAGGACAATTTATTGATCATGACAACTACGTACAGTTATATAGCACCTCTCACGCAGGCTAGAGGCTCGGAGCTCTTTACAGTGAGATGTCTAGAATGCGTAATTAGCCGCTATATCAAATACAAGGATTATTATTATTGTATTGACTGTGGCAGGGCATGACGCTGAGCCGGGAAGAGGTGACCGCAGGCACCGTCGAAGACCTGAGTTCAATTCCAGGCAGAGGGCGAAACTTTGGGCAAGTTTCCTTACTCCACACAGAGCCTAATAATAATCCCTCCAAAAAACCAAAACAATAATAAATTGGTCATTTTCAATCTGCGACTGTTTGTGGGACATTGTTGTGCGCAATTGGCTGCCGCGTTCGCCCACAAATATACAGTCAATTCACTTTACAATATATTCTGTGAAGCGCTTTGGGACGTCTAGAAGACGTGAAAAGCGCTATATCAAATGCAAGTATTATTATTATTATTATTATAAGATGAAGCTCTTTAGGCGCGACCTGAAGATAGGGAAGGAAGGGGCAAGGCAGAGGGTTAGAGGAAGAGTGTTCCAAAGTTTTGGGGCGTGGTGGCTGAAAGGGAGGTCATAAGAGAGGTTCATGTGAAGAAGGCCCTTCGGCTTATTTGGTCTCACCCTTCAACAAAATCCGCCCCTCCTCCAATTTCTTAAATGCGTACTCCCTGGTAACTCAAGCTGTAGATAGTCCTGTGCGTTAAGAAATACTTCCTGGCGTTTGACCAAAAATTGAAGCTACAACAGAGGCCAGCAACAGCAACAGACAGTTTGAGGTCACCCTGAGGAACGGAGATTTGTGCATTTCTCATCCTGATCCTTCTCTTACACCCCCCACCACCCCCACAATACTACAGCAAGTCCTGAACAGAGACATTACAAACGGAGGTCACTGGGTAGTAAGGCATGACATGGACACAGATTCAGATGATAATAATAATAATCCTTGCATTTGAAATAGTGCCTTACCATGCCGTCAAAACGACTCAAAGCGCTTCACAGGATACACTGTAAATTGAATTGACTTGTGTATTTTGTATGTGAGGGGGGGTGGGGGGATTAAGCAGGGTTCCGAAGGCCTTAATAGTAATAAACCTTTCATTTAATATAGCACCTAATTGAGATGTCTCCAAGTGCTTCACAGGATATACTGCAAAGGGTAGTAACTGTGTATTTTGTGAGCGAAATTGTTGGTAATCATTGTTTGAAGAAAACTTTCTCTGAATAAATCCACTGCCCGCTGTGAGATTGCGTAACAAACCCTCTTAACTGATTTGGTTAGTTGATGCTTTTTCTCTGTATGGCTCTCGGTATCTTATTCCCCACTGACTCACAAACTGCACAAAAACACATGGTGGTGGGGAAAAGAGGTCACCTTCCTCGTGAGCCACAATTCAATGCTGCCAGCTGATTTTTCCCAAAACAAAGGCTAGCATTGGGAGGAGTAGCGCAGAGAATTGTGTTACCAAGTGACACAAAGATATTTTCCAAGCACGTTCTACCTCCCCTTTGGCTCAGATAGTTTAGTCAGTAAGTCAATGAGCTACGTAGGACAACGTTAGCTCTGGTTAACCCTACAAGCCAAAGCCTTAATAGGAAAGGTGGTACTAGCTGGACAAGCAGCGGAAAAGCTTGCCAGACAGAGCTCTCGATGGCAAGCTATGCAGTTTTAGCTGGTTAAGACTCCAGTAGTAACCCCAATGCACACTCTGGGATCCCCAAGCCTTGGCTCTTGCCAACCTACGCCTAATACTTTCCGGAAGTAGGTGAACAGGATGTATCCCCCCAGGGAGAGAGTGTGCATAGCATTCAACAATCTATCTCTGGGATTTCCGTGTGTAGGTGGGATGCATGGAATTCTCAGTTTGGTTTGGAGACTCAAGCCTGGTGATGGGTTTCCGTGCGTGTCAGACACCTGGCTGATCAAAAAAAGCATTGGACATGAAGGTCCCAGGTTCAGTCGTGCTGAGTTAGCAGATCTAAGAAAGGAGGTGTTGGTTTCTAATCCTACGTCTAGGCTGTCTCTTCAGGACAGTACTGGGGGAGCAGTCACAGGTGCTTACCCCTCAGACGAGACATTAAACAGTTTGTTGTCCTGTTAAAAGATCTAGTTTGAAAAGATTAGGGTTTTGCCTAATATCCTGGGTATTAATCCTTCAAATAAACTAACTATAAATGAACTCACCTTATGGACGTTTCTAGGACCTTCTTTTACCTAAAATAGCTGTCACACTTGACTACAAATCGATGATTGACAGTAATTACTGTAATGTGCTTAAAGATGTTTTAATAATAATAATCCTTGCATTTGATACAGCACTTTATCACATTGTTGAGGTATCTCAAAGCGCTTCACAGAATATACTGTAAAGTGAATTGACTGTATATTTTGTGGGCGAAATGCTGCAGTCAATTACACACAGCAGCGTCCCGCAAGCAGTCGTGGATTGAGAGACCAAATTATTATATTTTTTTAAAAAAAGGGAATACAAGTGATCCGACAATTGACTAACAATCGGGTGCCTACTTAAAAATAAAAGTTGTGTCATTATGGGTGAGATTGTATGCGCAATGTTGCTGCAGCTGTGATAAATCTCACGAAACGGGATGAGAGGCATTGAAAAGGCTTCCAAGAGGCAAGCTAGTTAGGTTCACATCACTGAATAAATTACAGGCGATGACTGAAGCCCAATGTATTTTTCATGAGGAAAGAAAAAGTACTGTTAAGTGGAATTTGATGCATTATTAAATAATAAGGGCATGAGCTCAGGTGGATGTTGAAAGAACTTCTGTTCAAATGATGGAGCTGACTGGACAGCCTCGAATGCTGGGAACCTAAAAGGCAACACAACACTCCAAATGGGGTCTGACCAACGCTCTCAACTGTGAAAGAGCTTCGTGAAGCGCTCTGAGACTCTACCCTGCGTGAAGGGCGCTGTATAAAAGTGCACGTTTTTGTTGTTCTTTCTATGGATAGGAACAGGAAGCCAATTTAATGTGACGAACACATTTAATTTAAACGGTACGTTTGGCGAGACTGATTGAAGATTAAATCCAAAACAAATCTGTGAAAACACTACTTCAGCTTGTTTCCGCAGATTTGCTCACTCAATACACGACTGCTTGTGGGACACCGCTGTGCGCAATCGGCTACCGCGTTTCACCCACACAATATACGGTCAATTCACTTTACACTGTGCTCTGTGAAGCGCTTTGAGATATCTCGAAGACACGATGAGGTGGTATAACAAATGCAATGATTATTATTCAGTGAGCGGGTAGTAAATGCATGGAACAGAGGCCCTAGGGAGATGCTGGAAGCAGAAAGTGTTGACTCTTTCAGGAACAAATTAGATAGATTTAATTTAAGAAATAATATCTTGGGAAATGACACGTGCAAGTAACTGCCAGGATGACAGCAAGTGAACTGGATGAACATTGGTCTTCTTTCGTCCAGCAATCCTTATGAGGTGGAGGGATTGAGGCAGGGAGCTCCAGAGGTTTAGAAGCTGATGGTACAGCCACTGATGGTGGTGCGAATGGGTTCGGTGGGAGGGGAAGGGTTTGTGTTAGCTGAGCGAAGAAGGCGGAGTGGGGTAATGAGGTATGTGCAGGTCAGAGAGGAAGGGAAGGGCTAGGATGGGGCAGGGAGAGAAAATGATCTAATAAACTGCTTGAACAGATTCAAAGAGCCGAATGGCCTCTGCACTTACCTTAATTATCTTAGTTATCTTAAAGAGGCCTTAATTATTCCTCAACATTTTACTGTTACTTATTAACAACACTGGTTTATGTGGTGTTGGAAAAGCAATATACTGAGACAATATTTGCAGTAACACAAACAGCTCCTCTCTGTTCACTCTGATCTGAATCCCTTTGCCAGAGAGCTCTCTCATAATCTGCCAGCGTAGCACGGCAGGCAATTTCACGCGATCATTTGAGTGACATTTCTTGCATTAGTGCAAATTAATCCCACACATCTGAAAAATGTCACGCCGTGAAGTTTCACAGAAACACAAGACTTGTATCACACCTCGTAGGAGAACGTGGTTCAGCTTGCCCTCTCCTAGAACCCTCTACTCAAAACCATTGGTTTTATTTTGCCCCACTGTGTCTCCCTCCCTAGGCTCTCTACTCTCCATCCATTCCCCTATCGTTCCCCTCATACCCTTAATTAATAATGATGAATCCTTGCATTTGATATAGTGTCTTATCACGCCATTGACACTTTTCTTTTAAACAAAAGGGATTATTACCCCTGAAAGCAATCCGCCAATTGACTAACCAGGTTCCTGCTCACTACTAAATAACAGAGGCATGTGGAGGAAGGAAACTTGCCAAAGGTTTTGCAAACTTGAGTCATTTTGCTTGTGAGGCAAGCCCACTAACCATTACGCTTTGAGACAGAGATAATGAATATTGCTCAATTAAATGGCTTTTTAAATGGCAATAATGATATGGCTTTTTGCCTTTTCCCATTTACTAAGGCTTGTATGTACAAAAGCCAACACAAACAACACCCATTAACATGGCGCCCTTCATGTTGGGTAATGTCTCAGAATAATTTACCAGGGCGGGGTTAGAAGCTGAGCATAGGAAAAGGGAGAATATGTGGGTAGGAGGAAGAGGGCCATCAGCAGAGGGGCAACATGTCGGGGTAAAGTCAGGGAGTTCCAGAAGTTAAGAGGCAGAGTATTTGAAGTATTTGGGCACTGATGGCGGGAATGCTCAGCAAACTGGGTTAGCGAGCGGAGGGGACGAGCAAAGGAGCAAAGTAGTAGATCAAAGTAGCTGAGGCAAAGGAAAGTGTTCTCAGTCAGGGACTGGACATGAGGGAGAAGGAAAGCTGATATTGTACAGTCCTGTAGCTGGCTGCCGCTGCTTCCAGCACTTGTCAATGGGCTATACCAAATAAGACCTTATACTACTACTAATAATAATAATCCTTGCATTTGATATAGCCCAGCAGCCTATTGCCTTATCACATCGTTGAGCGATCTTAAAGTGCTTCACATAATATACTGTAAAGTGGATTAACTGTGTATTTTGTGATGAAACGCATCAGCTAATTGTGCACAGCGGCGTCCCACAAACAGTCTTTGATTGATTCACCAATTTTTTTTTTGAGGGATAGACCCCTGGAAAGCGATCTGCAAATCGACTGCAAACCGGATTCCCACTTAGTGCTGGCTAAACAGAGGCGTATGGAGTAGGGAAACTTTTCGCCCTATCCGGGAATCCAACCTGGGTCCTCTCGCTTGCAAAACGAGCGCTCTAACCACTACGCTACCGAAATCTGGTACCAGTTAGCCATTATATTTCACATCATGGTTGTTTGCGGGTCACTGCTGTGCACAAATTAAGCGCCTGCTATTCGCCTACAAAAAACACAGTCACTCCACTTTAAAGTGAATTGACTGTATATTTGTGGGCAAGACCCAGCAGCCAGTTGCGCACAGCAGCGTCCCACAAACAGTTGTGGATCAAGTGACCAAATTATTATTGTTTTTTTGAGGAATTATTATCCCTGGAAAAGCGATCCGCCAATCGACTAGCAACCGGGTTCCTACTTACTGCTAGCTAAACAGGGGCACCGTAGAGTTACACAACAAAAAAATTACATTTAAGTGCTATACAGCACAGAAGGAGCCCATTCGGCCCATCGTGTCTGTGCCGGCTCTTCGGAAAGAGCTATCCAAATCAAAATAAGTACCATTAAAAACTATATCCTGCGAAGTGCTCAGATACTTCCCAACGTGAATGGCGCTGTACCAAATGTAAGGATCGCTATAAGATACTCATTCCAGGTATCCATTATGAACTACTCAAACCCAGGGATCCATTATGCTCTATATTAGTTATTCAGCTTCTAGGTACACACTTTTTGCTGTGCAAGCTTTTTGGGTGATCAGCCAGGTGATTGACACGTGCAGAAATCCACAGCCATGCTTACGAGCCTCTAAAGCTCTCCACCCTTCTCACTGAACAATGACACATATCACACAGATCTGAACTTGCTTCTCCTAAGGGTTATTGGCGGATGCAGAATTTGGGGCCTGTCCGACATGAAAGCCAGGGCTCTTAGTCACTCACTGCGTGCCTGAGAGCTACTAGCAAATTATGAAAAGCTCAGGGTGGCGTTAGCAAGGAACCCCAATTTCATACGTTGGCAATAACTTGTGAAAGGTGACGCTCTTAATAATAATTCTTCCATTAACAGAGAGTGCCTCATCATGCTGAAAAGTCTCAAAGTGCTTCGAAGTTTTCTATAAAGTGCAGTGACTAATTGTAGACGAGCCTACATAATTTGCACACAGCAGTGTCACAACTCTTGAAGCCGCACGAGCAATTTATCGGGCTCAGCCGCAAGAACTCTCGCCTCTCGGTCAGATGTTTGTGAGTTTACTGAGGTCGCGAGTCAGAACTCTCGAGTTCAAAGTCTAGACTGACATGCATGCAACGCTGTCGAGTGTTGCATTGGAGTGACTTTGGTGCCGTCCTTTGGATGAGATGCTAAATTAGCCACAAAACTCTGGATCACTCTCCCTTAATTCCTCCACCTTATCCCTTCCTTCCCCATCTTCAAGACCTTCCTCTTCGATCGCGCCTACTGCCACCTTTCCCCTCCCTGCCCCCCGGCTCAGTGTCATGCTCCGCCACTGTCAAGCGCTCCGAGACGCTGCCCTGCGTGAGGGGCGCTATTATATCAATACAATTTGTGTTATTTCAAGACTTTCGGGTCGGTGCCGACAGTAATTACCTGCAATCTGAACGGAGCCTTCTTCACCGAGGAGAATGTTTCCCGCCTTCACGTCCCTGCAAGATAACGAGAGCAGATTAGCTGTGCCGAGATCAAAAGGGAATATGCCGCCTGCGATTGAAAGCAATTAGCCTTTCCCGAAGCAGCTGTTCAAAATAACGACGAGGACCAAACTCAATCCAGCAATTTCCAGGATGACAGACTTTCAAAGAACACCGTTGTGTTCCCTCATACGCTTCACAATCGCCACATTATTGGTTAATCATCTGGTCTGTGGGAACTCGCTGTGAGCAAAATAGCTGACACAATTGCTTATACACACTCAGTCACCGTGCACAAATTGACTACTACTGTTACCTACAAATACACAGTCACTCCACTTTACAGTATGTTCTGTGAAGCGCTTTGAGATGTCTCAACGACCTGATAATATGCTATATAAAATGTTTTAATAATATATTTATTATTATCAAGTGCTCAGAGACGTTAAGGGCGCTCCAAATACTTACGTTATAATAATATTCCTTGCATTTGATGTAGCGCCTTATTACGTCTTGGGGGAAGTCTGAAAGCGCTTCAAAGAATATATTGCAAAGTGAATTGACTGTATGTTTTGTAGCAAAATCAATTGTGCACAGCAAACAGTCATGGATTGAGTGACCAAAGTATTATCTTTATTTTGAAGGAATTATTACTCCCGAAATAAAGTTCAAGGTGATTCTCTCCAGTCAACTGAAGGAACGACTTCCCAACCTTCTTGTTTATTTTCGGTTTCATTTATAGCCTTGGAAGCGTGCCGCAGTTAAGGAGTTATTAGAATTGTACAGGAAACTGGAGGAGTAACAATGATAAGACCCTCTGATCTTCACTGATTCCAGAAAGCAAGCAAAATTGGTTTTCTTTTTCCCGTTAGAAGATTATTAGCTGAGATTAATTTAGACGGTGGGAAAGATTCTGAAAGGGGACAACAAATTAAATAAGGAAATACATATTCCTTGAGTTGTCAAGGCGACATTGCTATAACAACAAAATGCGCCCCTCACAGGATAACGTCCCAGGATAAGGATAACGACCCAGGGCGCTTGACAGTGGCGGAGCAGGTCGCCAAGTCGGGAAGAGGTGACCGTAAGCCCAGGAGGAATGCATTCAGGCACGACCTGAAGATAGGGAAGGAAAGGAGAAGGCAGAGGGACAGAGGAAGAATGTTCCAGAGTGTGGGCGTAATGGCTGAAAACGCGGCCACTGTTGATGGAACAGAGGGCACGAGGGGATGTCTAAGAGGCTGGAGCCAGTCGAGCGGAGGAAATGGGTAGTGGGTTGGGGAATAAGCAATTCGGAGAAGCACAAACAGATTTGAAAATGAGTGTGAGGATCTTCGAATCGATCCACCATGCTAGCAGAATGCTAATAATCCTTTACGTTTGATATTTGTCCACAAAATATATCATCAATCCACTTAACAATACACACACACACACACATATATAGATTGTTATTACTATTATAGCATCTTTCACATCGCTAGGATGTCTCAAACCACTTCCCAGGTTATACTGCAAGTGGAGTGATTGTGTGTTTTGTGGGCGAAGAAACAAAAGATAAGGTTAGAAGGAAATGTTTTACTCAGAGGTTTGGAATTCATTTCCTCAAGTGGCTCATTGAGCAATCAAAAGGGAACTGGATAAGTACCTGAGCAGTAAAAGCATTATGGATATACAAATATAGATAGGAAATAGTACACATTTTTTCCAGAGATCACTCCTCTCCCTACCCTAAGAAATCTCCCTACTTAACTTCACAGCAAACACATATATCTTGACCAGTGATACCTCAGATAAAATTAGCCATTCACTTCACGTAGGTCAATTGCTGTGCGGTAATTGCCTGGCAGATTTCACTGCAAAAAATGTAGTCACTGCACATTACAGTAAATTCGCTGACATCCTCCCAATGTAAAAGGCACCATATCAAAAACAAGGATTATTACTATTATAACATCCTTCCTGATATTGCCTGCTCAGTCCCCGCCTAGTAGAGATAAGGAATCCGTAGCATATTGGTTAGAGCGCTCGCCTTGCAAGCGAGAGTACCCAGGTTCGATTCCCACCTGGTGCAAAACCAAGTTTCCTTAACTCAGACGCCTTTGATTACCTAACAGTGAGCAGGAACCGATTGATAGTGGATTAGTGGATTGCTTTCTGGGGGTAATAATCTCTCCCCAAAAAAACTTGGTCGCTCAATCCAATTGGAGGGTTTCACCCTCCATAAACAGTCACTTCACTTTACAGTATATTCTGTGAAGTGTTTTCAGATGTCTGATTAACGCAATGAAGCACTATATCAAATGCATCGATCATTATTATTATAAACCCCTCCCTCAGAGAAATCACGGCGGCAGAGCTGAAAGGGGGGGGATTAATAAGAAGAGTAAATAGCGCGGCAGACATGATTGACCAACAGCGCTGAAAATGGCCAGGTTTCTATTCCTGTTTAATACGTTTAAATTGGTAACCCAATACAATCAGAGCCTTTTGTGGTTCGAGCAATTATCAAGGTCAATCTCAGGACTCGTGTCCTTGCCAGTCTCCAGCTCCACCTTATACTGCTGTGTCACACAAATACACAGCACACAAGAGGAGATTTTATGAGAATATCAAACACCACTCCTCGTAAGAATTTTATGTTTCACTTAAAATTAAAGAGCGCAGGAAACCTTTAAAAGCCCTCCACGATCAGGTTCCGTGACCTTGTAAAACCCTACCAACCCGTCGACTCCCTCCGCTCTGCAGGCACTGCCCGCTCCACCATCGGAACCCGCACCATCCCTTTAGCCTTTCCTCCACCACCACCTGGAACTCAATCCCGGAGCCCCGCGGCCTCGCTCACTCCTTTGCCTCCTTCAAGGCCGTTCCTCTTTGACTGGGTCTTTGGTCAGTGGGGGAGCAAGCACCAACACAGACACGATAGGGAGAGAAATAGAGCAGGGAATGGGATTAGAGTAGAAATCCAGCAGGGGAGCAAGCGTGATTTTTATGGACGTAATGATGTCTGATCAATTCCTGATCAACCTCCAGCCCGAAGCAGACTTTATTCAAACCAAGCGTGTATTTTCTGCCCAGGAGAACTTGCTGAAGGGGGCACTAGGGCACTAGCTGGGTATAGGGATTCTGGGTATAGTAATCTATTCCGAAGGTGATCAACTCCATTATCAGAGAATGAAATGTTTTCGTTCTTGGTCAACCGAGCATATGACACACACAGAAACCCATCACTGTGCTAAGAGAATCCAAACCAGAAGAAGTTCCATGCATGCCACTTACACATAGAAATTCCCATGTTTGGAATGGAATGTATAATCTCTCTCTCTCCAGATGGACAAATCCTGCTTAACTAATTCTGCAGAGCATAAGGCACAAATTGCTCGCTCTCTTACCTTTTGCACCGTGGAAAATTGCTTCAGATCTCCGTCACTTAGTAACTGGCTTCAGGTATTCCAATTAATGAGTAGGGTTGGAGGACTTGAAGCCAGTTACTGAGTGACAGAGTCTGGGAAGAAGTTTTCAGTGGTGGAAAAATGCAGGAATGAGCAATACTTAGTACATGAACTCACATTTTTAGAACAACTTACCAACATCTCAGTGTTTCAAAAGTCAAGTGCAGTTGATTGTTTTGTCAAACATGGCAGTCATTTATGTACAGCAAGGTCCCACAAAACAGCTTAATATTCCTTGCATTTGATATAGTCCCTGTCACATCTTCGAGGCTCAAAGCGCTTCACGTGATTTACTGTGACGTGTACATATTGTGAGCAAAATTTAGCAGCCAATTGCGCACAGCAGTGTCCCACAAACAGTCTTGGATTGAGTGAGGGTAACGTCAGGGGGACGTTCCAAAGTGCTGGACAGTCAAGGAACTGGACCTGAGCTGGCGGTAGGGATCAGGGGAAGGGCAGGGAGGGTGGGAAAAGGTGCAGTCGAAGAGGAGGATCTTCAAATGCGTCTAGAAGGAGAGGCGGACGAGCAGGTGACGTGGAGCAGGCGGAGGGAGTGGACAGGTTGATATGGGGCAAGGATAGGGGTGATGCAGAGGATGACAAAGCTGCAGAGTTCTGGATGATCTGCAGCTTGCGGACCGAAAGTAGGGGAAAGCCGACAAGCAGGGAGTTGGCATAGTCGAGCCTGGATTTAATAAATATGACAGGTCAAGTTACCGATTTTTTTCAACCAATCTTAGATAAGTGAAAAAAAACTCATCAAAGGTTCTACTTGAAAATGTGCTTTAAATGCTTTAAAAATAAAAATCATACCTGTAGCCAGAAATATGCTCGCAAGCCAGAATACTTTAAAACTTTTTGTTTGAAAGGGAATGAGTCAAGTTTTTGACAAAAAAAACTTTGCATTTGACATAGTGCCTTATCACATCGGGGCTTCACAGGTTACATTGTAAAGTGAATTGACTGTGCATTTTGTGGTTGTAAAATGGTTATGTGGAAAGGGCAAGGATGTGGGATAAAAGGGATTGAGTGCTGGCAGAGACCTGAAGGGCTGAATGGCCTTCTTCTGTGTTTATAAACATCTACGGTTCTAAGGGGTCAAAATGCCTCCGTTTCTGTGTTGTAAAAATTTACGGTTTTTAACATTGCTACTGTGCAAACTGCGTTGTACAATAAACTGCACATAAAGAATGCGTGCACACATGGATTTACAATCTAAATGCCCAGTTTCACTGGGGTCTTGTGTCCCTGAAGTTCATCTTGGATACAATCCACATTGTGAGTCAGTCTGTGGCCCAGTCATTAAACTGGTGGTTAATGCGGCTGTGTCCTCTGGTTCTATTGTTCAGTACGAGATTAAACAACTTTTTTTTAATTTGATTTTATTGCTATAATAAACAATCTTTGGGACATTATATTGTTATATTGCATCTCATTCTTCCAGAATCTCCACCCTACCATCTTTCCATCACAAGGTCAAGCTATTTTTAATATGTGGCTGCATCCTGGCCTCAACCACCCCGCCTGGGAACTTGTTCCAGTCATTATTACCCTCTGGATAAA